GTCCATGATTGACAAGGAAAAACAGTCTCATTAAATATTATGTATCTACTATTGATAATTTTGAAATCGTTACCTTTACTTACTCACAGTCAATAATCCTTTGTACCTTGCGCATAGCCAAGGAACACTCATTTGATGACTATTGGCTCCAATTTGCCTTGACTTTGATGAACATAAGCAGAGCATCCAAACACTCTCAAGTAATTGAAATCAGATGGCCTTGAACTCTATTTTTTTCTGGTGTCTTGAACTCAATGACACTTGAAGTGCATCTGTTCACAAGCTATGCAGCAGTGACTATTGTCTCAACTTGGAAAGCCTTAGCCAACTCGGAATTGAATAGCATGTTTGTTGCCTTGTTCAATAATGACCCATTCATTCTCTCAGCAACTCCGTTTTGTTGAGGGATTAGTCTCGCAATTCTATGCCTTTGAATACCCTTATTGGCACAAAATTGATCAAACTCAGCATTACAAAACTCAAGATCATTATCCGTTCTTAAAGTCTTAAACTTTTTATTACTTAGATTTCCAACCAAAATTTTCCATTCTTTAAATTTCTCAAAAGCCTGATTTTTGTGTTTCAACAAATATAACCAAACTTTTCTAGAGAAGTAAGTCATAAGTGATAGATAAGAAATGGAAGTTATCACTATGTCTTGTTGTACTTAAGGGTCCCCACAAATTTGAGTGAATGTACTTAAGGACGTGTAGATGTGTATTTTTTGGTTGGGAATTTTTGCATGTGTTGTTCTGCCAAAATGTAATGCTCACAAAAATCAAGTTTGCTGACTTTGTACTTTCCCAGTACATTTTTGTTGCTCATCAATTGTAGACTCTTCTCACTGATATGGCCAAGCATTTGGTGCCAAAGTGTAGCTTTGCTGTCATTTTGGGTATTGGCAATTGATACATCTCCATGGACAATCTCTCTGATAAGATAATAGAAACCTGCTATTTTGATAATCTTCAAAATAATAAAAAATTTTGCAATATACATAGAGCCTTGCTCTATCTTGTTGGTATAATCCAAGTCATCAATCATTTTAATGCTAATCGATCTTATATCAGCAACAGAACAAGAATGGTTGTTACCAATTATTACCTTACCTTCATCAAGTTCTTGATAGTCCGACAGTCAATGCTTGTTGTGTGTCATATGATAGGTGCAATCATAGTCAATAATCCAGTCCAAGACCTTGGAGTTTTTTGACGTCATGAAACTTTGCCGTCTTTATAGCCATCACCAAAGTTTGTTGAATCTTGGTGACCTTGTGATGTGTTAGTTGATTCTACTTCTTCTTCTTAATTCATGAATAACCATACTTTTTAATATGACCCATTTTGTTGCAAAGAAGCATTTTTTGTCGGTGTTGAGGCTAGGACTCAGGTTGTTGGTCATTGTAGGTGCTTTGTCATGGTTCTTGGGCTTCAAGTTGCTTCCATCGGTGTTCTTGCACTGCTGTTTGCCACGAGTCATGTGATTTTTGCCATCGCCGGAGATCTTTATGTCTACTCTGATTTCCAAATCTTTGAATTTGAGCGCGAATATCATTTCATATAGATTGATCAATGACCTCATGTATTTGATTTCCGATTTCACCTCCCTGTATACTTCTGGAAGGAAATTGAGAATAATGATTGCCTTATTTTTGTCGTTGCGCTCTTCTTTGTCGCTTGATTTTGCAAGCTCAATCATCATCTTCAAAAACTCGTCTAAGTTGACATCCAATGATTTTGCGTGCTACATCCTAAATCCAAAGAGACTCTCCTTTAGATAGATTTTGTTGTAGAGAGAGCAACATTGAAACATCTCCTCAAGCTTCTTCCATACTTTTGTTGGTGTGTCTTTCTTGTCAATTAGGCGGATAATCAAATCAGGCAGGTGAAAAATTATGGTAACCATAGCCGTTTTAGACTTTTGCTCTCTTTGATCTTGGGGAATGTTATTAGACTATGGCACTAGGTCAGAGATGATCTTGAGCAATCTCAGCTCGGCGAGGAGTGTTGAGATTTTCTTGCGCCAGACGTGAAAATTTCCAATGCCGTCAAACTTCTCGATGTTAATTCTCATTGCCAACGACAGATTCCAAAAATTGAAACTCGATATGCTTCGTTGTGACAAATTTGTGTTGGTGTTTTGTTGTGGAAGATCGTTCCTCGTTTCAAGCTTGCCGATGCGTTCTACGAGGCGATTCGATGCTTTCGAGTTCGGCAAGTTGAATCGCGCGCATGAGACAGAATCGACAAAGCTATGAAATCAATATCAATGCTACGATGCTCTGATATCACTTTATGAATTTGAACCCCAAAACCAACAGAAATCAAAGTCCATACACACAAACAAACACAAAATTTTGTTAACAAACTTCATCTCAAAAGCTTAATCCCCGCAAATAATTGAATAAAAGAAATTCTAGAATATAACCAATGTCAATGACGTCAAACTTTTCCTTCTCACAGTCTTTACAAAATTTTAATCCGGTGAGAAATACACACAAAGACAATAACTCATGTTTCCCAAGCAAGACAAACACTTCTTCACATACAATTTTCTCTCTCTCAATGTGTTTTTCAATCCTCACACTCAACTTTTCTTGAAATCCCCTAACTGTAATGAATCCTTTAATCATTTGACTAACTTTAAATCACCTTGACTTATAACGGAAACTTATATGAGAATTTATAAAAGCCGTCAATTCCAATACAATCTATAGGAAATTCACACATCAACAAGCTGATTATTAAACAATAAAAATGACAAAAAACTCTAAAGAAAAACCCACATGTAACTAAAGTTGATATTTCACAAATTGTAAGGAAATAACACCCATATTCTATAATTGTAAAATCATTGTTGGTCGTAGAAATTGAGCTTTAGCATGATGAATATTGTATTTTATTGATATTCAATGAAATTTAATCATTTTTGTATGATATAACCATCAAAAAATCTACAAAAAATATTATTATCAATCCACGATTAGAAGTTGTACTCATGTTGTAAAATATACACATTCTAAAAAAAAGTAAAATTATATTATTTTATTGTATTCATACATTCTTAAGAGCAAATTTTATATTTGAAATGAGTAAAAATGATAATGTTGGAACTTTTTTTTACGCTTTTGAAAAAATATCACATAACATCAAGGTAAATGCAATTCAAAGGATGAAAAAAATCAACTTACTTTTATTAGTTAAGTATGTTTATGGTTGATATATGGAGCAAAGTCTTTGATGAAAGATGCCAATGCTCTAGAAATATAGTTCACACATTAAGTAAAAGTAAAAATTGAGATGTGAAATGTTGTCACATTCATGAAGTCACATCAGTTTTATCAGTTGATAATGATTATGTAAAAACAAAAAAAAAATTATTTTGTATGTTAAGCATATATATATTTATATATATATATATATGGATTCGCTGATCATGTCAATGAAATAAGACATACACTTGATGTTAGTAAGAATACATTCATCTTACAAAATGGATAAAAGAAAATCTTGTATGATCAAAATATAGAAAAAGAGTTTGTCATTATTTTTTTAATCTGTTTTTGTTTAATAAAAATTTCAGATCAAGCAAACTTAAATGATTAAGAGTCAAGAGATTTCTTTCAATACAACAAGAGTATAAACGTGTGTGATCATTGTTTAAAATCTAAAATAAAATGAAAAACTGAACGGTGTTATTGAAAAATCATATAGAGGGAGAGTAATCAATGATCTTGTGTGTTACAATTTGACTGTAGCTTATAGTACGATTCATATCTCTAGGAACAGAATATGTATAGTTGGCATGAAGAGTTTGGAATATTCAAAACAAGGAGAGGTTTAATAAATATCATAGATCGAGGCCAACAGAAATATAACTAGGTTGACTGGATGGATGTTAGTGTATGACAACAATCTAAATAATATTAAAATAAAAACCTTCATAAATTTTTCCAATCTTTGGATGTTGAAATATATGATAATTATTTGTCAATATAATGCAACATACTACTTGAGAGAATTAGATGATACAAAACTAACAAAACTATGTTTAAACAAGTCAAGATTTACGAAACCCGGATAAGAAAAAATTGATGACACGGAGTAACAATCTATTTTTTAAAAAGATGGGAAGTATGAAGATTACTCAATTCGAGTTGAAAGTTCAGTCCACAGAATCTGATTTAAATGAGGATCATACATTCTCACCACGACCAAAAGTAGATTTCGCTCAACGAGACGAAGTGGGAAAATTAGTTTCCTTGTAAGTGTCTTGTAGTGAATAAGATAGCCGTTGATTTTGTTCTAGTGCGGGGATTATCTTCGTAATCCACCTTGGAGTAGGACGGATTGCGAAACGCTGAATCTTGTGTACAATTTTCCCCTCCTTGATAAAAGGAGGGGATATTCGTTGCCCCCGCAATTTCCATTCTTAGAGCTGCTGCGATCCCACAACATTCTTCAGTTTCGTATCTGGCCGGTGCTGCTTAGAAAACTTTGTTGTCATATCATAGATTGAGGCCAAAAGAAGTATAACGAGGTTGACTGGATGTTAGTGTATGACAAAATCTAACACATCAACACGGGATTTCCGTGTCTTACAGCCACCCTTTCAGGCAGGAGCTTGGCAAGTTTCATCAAAGAATTTCGTTCCACTTCGTTCAACTTTATGCTTAAAGTTCTACACTGCATCGGATTGAATGTTCTCCTCTGCACTCCGGGATACAGTAATCGAGATTATTCAACTCTGCAATCCTGAAACCTTTGGAGAAGATTTTGATGATTTTCTATTCCCACCTCTCTCTTCCTTCCATCCATTAACATGAGATTTCATTTCGATTCACTCAACACATAGATCTTCTCTGATTTAAAAAGGGCTTCAGCAACCAGGTCCAGGATTTCCAAACGTCTCACGACTCTGCGGGAAATTTAGCGCTGAAGCCACCGCAGTCCAGTTCGACTCCAAACACGATAGAACATCAATCACCGACAAAACAGAAGGCTTTGGAAAGAACCGTCTTCATACAAGATATAGCTTCACAGAACAGGATGAACTTCCCTGTAGGTGTAGATATCCAAAGGTTGTAATTTGGCAAATAGCTTACAAGATCGACTCACGAGGCAAAATGCAACTTTTGGAAGAAGCCGAACTAAGGGGAGTTTTAACACTACAAAGATTTTTCTCTGCATAGTCGGGCTTTAGGATACAGGCCTACATCAATTCCTTTCCCTTAATTACACCATATCCTAAAGCGGGGATTTTTTTAAATGGCAGATGATGAGATAGACTCGTCGTCGGGTACAATGAAACACATGCCTGACTAGCATTGGACTACTACGAGGAGAAGGGAACAGAATGAGAGAAGCCGAAGAAATTTAAAATCTTCCATTCACCGCTATACCTGCAAGAAATTCATACAAATTACTCTTTATACAAATAAAGCTAGAACCAAAAACAAAACGATTCAGCTGTGAACTATGCAAGCCAATGAATATCCCAGAAGGTCAATGTACTTCTTTCCATCTTTTGCACAACCCACCCTTCGCACAAATGCGTCAGCTGATACCTTGCCGTTTCCGAATTTTCTATTCGCTGAGGTCCTTTTTAGCATCCTGTTGAATATCGTACAGCACAGTTATATCCGCGGCTGTCTTCATCTGTCACAGAACACAATACGTAATTTGAGAACTAAAAACATTTGCAATGGACATTAAAATGACAGGACCTATCGAATATGCTCACAGCAGTTAAATTCCAAATCCTCCGAATTCTTGGTAATCGAAGTAGGTCAAAACACCGCTTTTTCAAAAGCCAATCCAGTCACTCTGCTTCAGAGTGAGTAAGCCGAATTTAAGCAACATATTAAGGGAACAACGCAGAAAACCTTGCAAGAGAAAAAATTACTTCATTTTATGCTTTTACCTGAACAAGATTAACCCACTGCTTGATAGCACAACCAGGTGCGGCTATGAGGCCAAAAAAGAAAAGAACTGATTTCTCCTCGAAGGCAAGTCTCACTGCCTGCAATCGCACAAATACCAAATGGTACAAAGATTACTTTCCAACACGGCAAAATCAGATAATCGACAAAACAGTGAGAAGCTTGCAAATGCATGTAGTAATTACCTCCACTAGGTTTCCTGTCGAATTGGGTAAAAGAAAGAGCACGACATACAGAACCTGAAACAGATGAAGCAGTTTAGTTAATTGTACGAAGACTTGGCCTAGAACAAGCTCCTCGAGGTTGAGCGAACAGCTTGGTGACAACCACGACACGATAAAACAGGAGCTGAGATAGACATTTTATGACACTTATAATTTCTAATGTCTCAAAGAATGAATTTCATGTCTACTCTCGGGCAAGTTGCTTATTGGCGAAAGAACAATGCTTACAAGCATCTTGATAGATCTCAAAGAACTAAGGTTTCAACTGGTTAAAACCTCAGTAATTGGTATATCTAAGACAGAACGGTCATAAACTCAAACTAGAGGAATAAGGTAAGTGATAATGCAAAACAAAGTGAACACATGAGTGGTTTCTGGGACTGTACGAACGCAAAGCTCCACCCTTAAGGTTAGGGGAACTCAGAAGCAAGAAGATTTTCGAGGCTAAGAAGCCACGATGATGTACTCGTCAATCAATACTGCAAAGGGAACCGTGATATATATCAATCCCAGTTTCTTACTTCAGCACCCACAGCGCAATACCCCATAAAAATTCGCTGTTGATAATACGTCCGCAGTATCCAACTTCTGCTGTCTGACATGTCCTTGTGACTTGTCTTGCTCGAAAGGAATGTACTGCCATTCAAAAACAAGTTCAAAAGCGTGCAACAGAGCAAACGTAAAACTCATTTGTCATGCACAATGTGTTTTAAGACATTACATATAATTATATGTAACGATTAAACTTTGAAGACGGTAGACCCTTGGGCTGAAATGACAACCACAAAGAGGTGAAAAGAAAGAACGAGTCATACCTATACATTTGAAGCCAGTGACTGGATATATCCAGAACGAGGAGGCCAAGGAATAGTAAATATGAACCCCTGTGACACACAATGAAATCAAACAATATGTTCAAAACTTGCCCCCAAATACTTGATATAAGAGTCCAGCTTCAAACGGCTTCGGCTTCAAGATATTCCCAATAAACATTTCTTGATCATCTCTCACATAATCTAGTAAAATACCAAAATTCGTGACTAATAAACTTCGTGATCAATCACCCCAAATTTCAATGATTAAATAATCATTTCATAGTGTCTGGGAGACTTACTTGTAGATATGTGAGAGGACCACCAGTAAACTAGCCGTGCTCACCCTACAAAAGAAAGCAGAAAGATTAAGCTCATATCCTTCAGCAATTCAATGGCAACAAGTGAATTCCCTTCCATTGAAGATATTTGTTCCTCAGACGAGAGGTTTATAAACTACCAAACTACAATACGTTAGCACAACTCAAGCCCTTGCTATCAATCGTTCTTTCTTGTAATAAAAATCTTGTCACTCTGATACCATCTATGGTCTTTGTCACTCGTTCTTCAATACTGGATCTCACTCACACAGTTCACAGTAACAACTCTCTACTTCATTATTGCGAAAAGTAGATACAGGTAAGCTTTAATTAGGAAAATGAAACGAAAAAAATACTCTTCACCCTGGCCTGGACCACTATGCGGTCATGCCGATCCTTACTCTAGATGGCATATAAGATTTTACCACAGTATCACGTTTTCTCGGATAACCGTAGTCGAAAATAAAGGGATCCTACCTGTCCGTGACCATATCTAGCACAGCCCCGAAGGTAGAAGCTGCATTCAGACGTCCCTATGTAAGTCTCCAAACCAACTATATCTTCGATAAATGGAAAATTCAGCTCAAATTACCTCTTTGCATAAGATACACATACATCTCTTAGAAAGAAAAAAAGCCGAAAATCAAAATTTGCCGTATTCATGAGGTCTATACAAGTTTGCTCTTTTACACCTCCATTTTCTTAACTCATTAAGTAACCACAAACTCTTCTCAGAGACCAGACATACAAACAGGTGAAGACCGTCAAGAGTTCAGCAAAAGCTTACTTTGGTTGAGCATACGAGCAAATCGCCCATCTAATTCATCGCAAACAAAGCTGCATCAACGATGACACACAAAGCTACGCATCAAAACAACTTGCTGAAGAACACTCAGAACACTGATACCAACAGTGCAACGCTACAAGATGAATCTAGCATACAACGGAAAACGTTATCCTTCGTGAAAGTAGAACTTGATTAAAAGTAGTGAATACTCATTCGCGGATAGCTCTCATATGAAAAGCTTTGAGAGAATTTGACAGGAAAAAACGCCGGAGACCCAAGTGTTCAATTCTCTATAATTGTAGTACTGAAAATGCATGCCAACTGGAGCTCATGTTGTTGCTGAAGATGACACTCCTGAGAAAAAACTAACGACATAAAATGTACCAACAAGTCCCATCTGCAGGAAATACAGCTGTTGGCATCACATAGTTCTCCTAAAAACTGGGTCTGCGAATTACTGAACAGCGAACCTGACAAGGTAGAGGACCGCGAACAAGGATTTGTTCGTGAAGCAGACCACGAAGGCCCAGATATTTGCAAGAACTCTCGCATATCCTGCAAACCGATTCCAATTCAAAACAGGGCATCAAACACTGAGAAAACAATCATAATGCTCTTCGAAACAGAACAGCTTCGAGAGATCAATCCTTTACAGAAAAGGTCCAGATATAAGTACGCTCACAGATAAAATTTCTGACACCTCCAGCAAAGAACTATAGTAAAGAAACGCACAGAATGCAAAGCTCAGGACGTAAGTGACAGTCGAACAACATCGAATTCAAAAGAAATAGCAAGAAGAACAAGCACATGCACAGAATGGCGCCAAACAACGAGAACGAGGTACCAGAAACACTCGTTACCGAGGAAGAAATGGGGAAAAAGAAAACACAAAAAATGTAACGTTAAATCACGGGCTCGATCAGAAGCGGTCCGATTGAGTAGTAGCCCGTCGATAAGAAAATTGGCCTACCAATAAGGTTCGGAACGTAGAGGTAAACAGGCCAGCTGCGGAACCCGGATCGCGAGCCACTGCCTTGAGAGGAGCGGGTTTTAATGGAGCTCTTGCCATTGCCTCTGGAACTGGGGCCTTTGGGCTTGGTGGATCCCATGGTGTCCTCCCACCTCCTCTCGCTGGACGGCGCCCTTCTCGTCGTCAATGTGGTTCACATGCACGCGAATCGGCCTTCCATCGCGCTCAAGAACTATCACGCTCGCTCTCCTCGCGTGCCTCGGTCCCAAGCTTCTTGTTTGGGCCTCCCCCGCACCGCCTTCACCTAGCGAAGAGACGTTGCGCTGCTCGCCGGCTTTGATTGTTCTGCTGGATTGTCGCCTGAACGAACCGTGCGTGTCAAAGAATAAATGCACAGGCCCAAGACGAGGACCAAAGGCCCAGTTATGTCCAGGCACGTCAACGGCTGATTCGACCAGCTGGGCTGGGCATAAAGCGGGCTCGTTTGCTCTTTCTACCGGCCTTGAATTCTCATCGTCGCCGAAAGTGGACGGATTCCTAAACACCTGCCTGCCAAATCCCCGAATCTACCACACACGCTGCCCTGAATGGTTCACGGAAGGGCCTCCTTGCGAGAAGTCAATCGCTCATCCAGCCGCTGTCTGTTTGCTAGCTGAGCTGAGAGACCGAGCACACAGACCCGAAACGCCTGGACGTGTTTGCAGGTATTAAATAAAGCGACCTCGTTCCACCAGTAGCAAGGTTCTTCATGCAGAAGAAAATAGGCTTCCTCTGCGGCCTGGTCTTATCGGGTTCCTCAGCGCTCGGCCGGGCCGGCAAAGCCAGCCGGCAACACCGCCGCAGCCGTCGCAGGCTAAGCGAACGATCGTACCACCTCTGCTTCTCGTCACGGCGGTGTGGGCCAATTTACAGAGTCCTCTGCTGCTCCATTCAGAGGTGACACACATGCGAAGGCTTTTTCCAGCCAAGTGTTGGTGGTTCGTTCCACTCTGGTTCGATTGGCTGATAAATTGTTTCGCAGATTAATTTAAAAGGAGAGATGGACTCGGCTGTCTCTTTTCTGATCGTTCTGTTCCATGAGCTGTTCTTATATGTTCGCTGCGCTACGGAAGGTTCAAGTGCATTCCATTCATTGTACACCACTCTCTTACAATTTCCACTCTGGCGGCACAAGGGATCAATATTTCACCATCGAGTGATCCTCAAAGTGATCAGCCTACCATGTCCAGTCATCCGCCGAATCCATCCACAGGCTACTGATCAGTGGGTTTTGGCTGCAAAATTGTTTAATATATATCTAACTTGTTTTAAAAAATTTCCAGGGACGTAATCTGAAGGTGAGACTGCACAGACGTCTTATGTTTGCAATCGCTTTGAAGATGTAAATCCATTAGTTCGAGAAGAGTAGAAGGAAATAGAACCCTGTACCTGGTAAAGAATTGTTCGACATAATTAACTAAAAGCGGAGATATTTACATGATACACACATTCTCACAAAAACCCTGGCAGCTCAAGCTAAAGCCGACTAACACTTTGTCAATCTAAATTGAGTTCGAGTGGTAGGGTTTATCTGCATAACCAACTGGTGGGAAGTCCATTGCTGATCACTTCCATGACCCATAACACAAGCTACTCAATGTGAGTATCATATACATCTTCTATCATGGCTTGAACTGTAACCTTCACGACTTCTGTTCAGAACATTGAGCTGCACATCTTTGCTTTCCAGGTTAACTAGTTTTACTACACTAATCTCAAGGGGGCAGTCCGAAACCCATGGAGCTCCGACCCTTGATATCTCGAACCACAAAGCATCTAATTGTGGCCATAGGTACGAGACTCAATGAACGCTTGTTCCTTGGACACCTTGCTGATATGGATTGCCATCAAGGTGAGAAAACGCCAAATTGGGCAAATTACATCCAAAGTAAAGCAGACAACTGTTCCAGATCTGATCACTTTGAGAAGAGAGAAACGACGTGAAGGTCACGTTGCGCAATAGGAAAACCTGTAATACACAAGACCAATTGCTCACCCGGAAAGTCAATTCCAAAAGAGTCATTCGTAGGCTAGCACATGCATTACAGTGAACTCGCGCAAGTCTTTCACCATTGCTTCTTTCCTTTTCGTTTTTTCCTGCTTGGTTTCCCTCCTTTCGTGGCTCCTCTTGCTCCCGGATATCCTGGAACCCCGTTGAGGTCGCTGAACATCCCAGACGCCATGGCAGTTTCCAGCCATTCAAAAAATTCGTGCTCGGTCATATTCTCATCCAAGTCCGGAAACTGGAATCCGTCAGGGGCATTACTCCGACCTCCGGGCCTTTGCGCTCTGCTTGTGCTTCGAGCTGTACTCTTTCCAGTTCCAGCGGTGCTCACATGGAACGTTGGTTTATGTGTATTTGGTGGGCACTTCATACCCTGGCATTCAAGTAACGGCAACATCTGAGTAGGCCGGACTTGGGAGACAGACAACAACGTCGCACTCTGTATACCAGCGAGCACAAACCTCCGGGAAATAGAGAAAAAATGTTTTTCAAAGGATACTGTCTTTCAAATCATAATAGGTTTCAACGAAACCTTGAATTATTGCAATGAAAAGGACACCCAAAAGACACACCTGACAGATAACCCACTCTGTGACATCGTACACCTTTCCCTCAGCACATGCAAAAGCATGGGGTACATCAACCTGACATCAAGGCAATTTGGTTGAGATTTCATTGAAGTACCCTTTCAAAGAGAAGACATTTTAATGCACATTAAGCTTGCAACCATTAAGCTTAATGTTGGTTACCGCTTGGTTTTCAAACGAATCTAACAAATTTTTGCTCAAAAAATAAGTAAGAGATTTGATGAACAAGAAAGAATGCATCAACAGCAAAAAAATGCCACAGCTTAAGTACATGAAATTAAACTTGTTTACAAGCCCAAAGACGATAAGAAGCTATGAACATACCTTCTGGAAAATTCCGAAAAAGTACGATTGACCAGACTGTTCAACCCAACCATCTCCGTCCTTCGCTTGGTGATAATCATTGCACTCCTGAAAAATCTCAACATAGAATCTGTATCATATTTTGAAAAATGCCATGTCATTATTCTTCAGCACGTCGTGTCCAACGAGGTCTAACATGATTCAGATGATACTACCTCCTGGTGGAATTGAGATTTATGGGAATACATCTTCGATAACCTAGGCAGCATCTACGAAAAGGTGGCAGCTGCCAACCCAGCAGTTCAACACCGGAGTTCAACACTACATGCATTCCAAGAAGAAACAGACAGTCTAACCTAAACTAGTTCAGCAGATATTCCAACCTAAACAGGGCCCAAGATGCATGTCAACGACAACAAACGATCTCCTACCACATTAAAAATTCTTATGATTTCTTTCTGCAACCGTAGTTTGTTCTTCTATAATTCTCCTGGTGAAACGCAGAAGTCCTCAGGAGAACTTCTACAGTTGTGAAACAGCAAGATGCACGTTTCTTCATTTTTGGCCCCTAAACCTGAATTTACTCGTCTAACTGAACAGAAAAACAAACGCAATGATCCATTTCCAAATGGACGGGGAGTAATTACCTGACACCACCTTGCCCGCAACTTACTTCTATCCGTGAATTTCCACACATGGGTTTCATTACATTTTCTACAAACGATTCGTCTAGATTCTGCAGGTATGTCGTCATCTGCCTCATCGTCTGATTGGTTGCAACCACAACTTGGAGATCCACACCTACCAGCCTGAAAAATTTTCGGAATTCAGCGTCAACATTTACAATATTGGACATTGTATACGTCCAGAGGGCGTACAAGGTCTCGACCAAGCATAAAAGTTGTTGATCTCACTGATATCTACTAGAATCTATGTCTTACCGGACGTTGTATTACAGAAAACCCTCATGAGGCAAGTGCTAGAAGGACAAATCTATCTTCAAGATACATCGTTTTTCCCTGTTGAGAAAAAATATGTAGTTCCCAGATAGATAATAGAAAGTGTATTCTTATGAAAAGTGGCAGCGAGGATCGACCTTATGAACATCAGTAAACTATCTTCAAATTACGAGGCAAAGAAAAAGCACAATAATTATACATGTTAAGCCTCATCAGTTCATAACCAAAAGCGAACACACCTGGTGAAAACCTTGCCGATGCTGTCGGAAATTATTTAAGACCTCTTCCCTTCTTAAGTCATCGTCGTAAGTTTTTCTCTTTATACTATCCAGCAACACCTGATTCCAAAGGTAAATTTTAAATTGTATTTCATGTACTCACTCTTTCTCCACAAACCTACGCTAAATTAGCCTTTGCAGAATACCAAATAGATGCTAAGCTTCTTAAAAACAACTCAGGACTATGTCTTCAGGAGTTCTTGACTCCAGAAGAGATAATACAGACTTTCTCTAGACACATCCCCTTGTCATAGAAGACACAACTCCTGTACAAAGTCATGATTTCGAGAAGATAGGTGCATGTTTACCTCATAAGCATTCTGCAGGCGTTTAAAAGCTTCTTCAGCTTTCTCGTTTCCCCTATTTTTGTCAGGATGAACAAGCATCGCCTACACCATGACTCTACTTTTTCAGTATGATATGATATAAACATGGGATGTGCAAGACAGTCCATCGCATAAAATAGACAACAGAGAAAGAGCTGCAAATGCACTGCCACAATAATCATCAGTGTAGTGTTCAGAGTCCTGTATAAGCACATAAGCATACAGATATCCTCGTAGAGCACAATAAAACTCACCTTTTTCCTGTACTCTCGCTTAAGAACGGCCACATCAAAGGTTTCGTATCGAGTAAACCCAATAACTGCATAGTGATCTCTAGAACTAAGCACCCTTGCAACTTCCTCCTCAGCAGATGTTGGGTCACCTTCTGAGGTTCCACTAGTGGATGCTCCCGTAGAGTTTCGAGAATAATCGTTGTTTGGAACAGCCTCCGCATATGTAGCACCATCCGCGAATCCTCCAGTGTTTCCCCGGCCGGGAGAGGCACTTGATCTTGATGCACTAGGGCCTGCCGATTGCCTGCTACTTTTACTGGACTGATTATGGTGTGAACTACCCGACTTGGAACTACTTTGCTCATGAGCTCCAGCTGACGTCTTCTCCTCGCGTCCAGTCCCATGCTTCCCTTCCGAATTGTTGCTTAAAAAGTAAACTACAACGTCACTCGAAACAAAAGCAAGGACTAGACACATTGTGAGACTCGACCAGCCTCCATGGCCTTTGACGGAGTACATAGAATACAGCATGGTGACCAGAATAGCCATTCTGGCGTGGTCGAAAATGAAAAATCCACCTGTGAAGAAGAACACAATTGATATATGAGAGCTGGTGATGGTTGCTAGCTTCATGAAATATATCTGCTGCAGAAGTAGATGAAAATCCCAATGACATACTGAACGTCGGTGAGGATTCATCTCCAATGCACGGGACAACAGAATAATCATTGGATAATCAATCCGTTAGGAGAAGTAGAGAGTTGTAGGCAAAAGTCATCCAAGTCCAAAGCTGAAAGTTTATAACAGTATGGTTGAGCACCAGAAAGCAATTCGAAGCATAGAGGATTCCATAATCTTAGGTTAGCTGAGTCGAAAGATGACTTACCACCAACCACAATGACAGCCCCGGTTGTCCAGAAGCTACCGTACATCCACAACACCACAGCACCAAAGAGGCCCGTGAGGGCAAAAGCAGGTGTGTAACCAAGTAAAAACCCGGCCCCCAAAGATATGACCTGCAGATTTAAGTGGAAATCCAGAGTGGGGTGAGAACAAGAACTGGAGCACCATGCTGCTATCCACTCCCTGATGAGCTTCAACCACCACGATATGACACCTGTACAATTGAATCTAACTTTTGCAACATGTCAGATAACTAACATCACTCACTGTTTCTAGCATGACTTGCATGGTTTCAACCAGTGAACGAGGGCAATACCGTATTTGAAGAGATTCTGCACAAATAAATTACATCCTAAGGAACTACAGAGACGAGAAGAGGAAGAGGCATAAGCTGATCACAGGGATAAATCCTGTAGATCAGTATTATTTTCCCGTAGGCCGTTACTTGATGACTGGATGACTGGAAGCAGCATTTCACAAGAATCATTGGCAGATATGTCGCATAAGTTTTCAAGACAAACTTGAAGTTTGGTTTTACGACCTAAAGACTTCCATACAAGTGCCCTACCATGAAGCCGCTTTTACAACACAATTGAAATGTTTCAACGATTGATATCAGCTGTTCGCTGGTGTCCTTCCAATATCTTTGTTCATGCCTTGACGTTATTGAGTCCCACAAATGCATGGGTTATCTAGACTAAGATCCCTCCTTCATATAACCGGCACTCAGCTCTAAGGTAAATCCTGCAAAGCTTTCAGAAACCTGATAAAAAACCCTGCATTTTTGTAGCCCCGTAAGAGCATATTCCCCATGAATGCAAGGATACTAATGCCAATCAACTGTAATTACAATGTCGCGAAACGGAGAATGAGATAGTAGCTACACCAAGATTGGAGCATAGGAAATGGCATTACCAGGACAAGGCAAAAATTGAAGAATCCAGCCAATATGCTGAGATTAAGGGCAGTACACCACATCAGCAGGAATAATGCTGCCGAGCCCAGCCTGAACAGCGAGTTGAAACCTCTGATGCCACATTCTAATGATACTTTACTGAGCACAAGCATCGCCCTGAACGCTAGCAACAGCCATCTTTTCACTACGGGCCACCAGATTCGGACGAAGACTTGGATTTGATCCTTGGTTTGAAATAAAAACGTTCTTGCAGCTTCAATTGTGGGCCCTGGATCAGGCAATTTCATGTCCGTGGGAAGCCATCGTCCAATCCCGATAGCCACACCTCCTCCGTCCTCGTCTTTGCCTCTAGGTTTTTCTTCGCGGGAATCTTCCCTGGCACCCTCCTGGCCTGTAGTGGATTGTTCCTTCGTCGACTCTGGCTTTTTATCCCTAGATGTGGCAGACGACTCCGGCGAAAATTTGAAGGAGTCTGCAACCCGTTCAGGGCCTGCAGATGATCCTCCCATTCCGTTCCGTGGAGCCCCGTCCTTCGAACCAGAATTTGTTTTCCCTGCACTGCCTCTACCACCACCTCTCGGTCCCTCGGTGCCACCCTTTCCTGCTCCCCGAATCCCGTCCTTGGGTCCGGATCCTCCTTTAGAACCTTTTCCTACGTTCGCTCCATTCGCCCATCCTCGCTCTTTCCCATTCGCAGAACCCTTGGGCAATCCGTCTGCCGCAGATGGTGCAGAATGGAGATTTTTCTTAGGGTTGTCATTGCCGGCGCTCGCGCTGAAAGCGTCCTGCTGGGAGATTCCTGAAGACGTAGGCTCGGGCCGGAGAGCGGAGAAAGCATCAGCGTCGACGATGGGAGGGTCTTGCGCTCGAGTCCGCGCGCCAGACTCCTCGGGGCCAACTTCTCGAAATCCGCCGAAGTCGTCGACTCCGCTCGGCTTCGCTCGATGACCCGGCTCCTCCTGCGCCCCTATGTCTCGCCCTCCTTCTCCTAGTTGGCCCATAAGGGACCTGCTTTGCCTCACACTGGAGAAGGGCTCATTGACCGATTTTACTCCTAACGCCTACAGTGTGCACCGTGCGCGTGCTCTCGCCAAACCCCTCGTCTAGACGGACGGCATTTTTTCCTTCCAAGCTCGCGATTAATCCTGAGGACACGACCATCTTTGAACGACGATCATCAATTGTGGTGACTACTCCACCTTCGAAGTTTCCCACGCTCGAAACGGGGCGATCGGCTGAGGAGGTAGGGTAGAGGAAGGCACTCGACTCTTTCCACTACATCATCGTCCTGCCTTGTTGTAATCTTCCATTTACACCGTACATGGGCCTCATGATACCACGATGCGCGCACTCGTCCTGTTGGTGGTCATTCCACGAATGCAATGACTTCGTCCGTCCAAGGCCGCCCGAATATGCAAAACCTCTGTTCGTGAGAGAATCCTTGGCCCCCTCGGACCAACGCCAGATTTTGCTAGCCCGTTCGCTTTCACGACCAACCCACCAACCGAGGACCCAGGAAATTTGTGTACCTCCTCTATCCCTCTTTTTCCCGGATTATCGCACAATTCCTCCCTCGCCTCAAAAAATCGAATGTACCAATTTCGACCACATCCCCTGAGCAATCCCTCTGCTGTAGCCTTCGGAGACTTCTACCAGGGCTTCCCCAAAACCCCACAATCTCAAACGAATCTCGGGCCTCGATAAATCCGTCCTCACCTCCACTCGCAGAATACGCAGCCGCGATGCACCTCAAAACTCTGGAGGAACAACAAGCGAGTCACCCCAGATGGGCCGGCTGCCGCAGCAGGTACAAGTCAAGCAAGACTCGAGGCACAATCCGAGATGGGACGAGACGGTACGGCACGAGACGAGATGGGATGAGATGAGGGAAAATGAATGTCCCCTCCCTCTCCTCTCCTCGCCCTCCCCTGTTCGCCACGACCACTTTATTTTCCCTTCCCTTTCCAGGTCAGGTGCTGGCACTGATCTGGTCGTCGATGACCCGCAGCCCAAATGAATAAAATCCTCCAGCCACAGTACAAGCTCCCTGCGACAAGAAACCCAGAGGAGGAGGACAAGGAGGAGCAGGAGGAGGAGGAGGATGATGATGATACTGAACGAGGAAGAAGAAGAAGCAGCAGCAGCAGCAGCATCAGCGAGGTGGAGCGGAGCGGTAGCGAGAGGACGTGAGCATGAGCATGAGCAGGATCAGCAGCACCACCACCAAGAACACGAACGAAACAGTAGCCTGCCCTATTCTGTGCGCTCAGCCAGCCCACCCCGAGGCAGCAGCAGAGAGCCCAGCCATCAACCACCGGTCGCAGACGCCGACCCACCCAACCACGAACACCACCACCAGCACCACCTCCAACAACGACACTCGCTCATAAGTTTGGGTTTCTTCGGACTCGATTAATGTCCGACTCGTTTGTCCGAACAATCTTCAGGCCCGGCCTGCGAGAAAGCGAGCGAGCCAGGGCGCCCGAGGGCCCGAGGGGCCGAGGCCAGCCAGCCAGCCAGCCAGCCCGCCCGCCCGCCAGCCCGCCAGCTGCAGTAGGGACGATGAAAGCCAGCGTCTGCGCCTGCGTCTGCTGCCACTTCCACAGTTTCCCGGGGACCCTTTCTTGCTCTGCCGTAACCGGGTAGGGCCTTTTTCGTACTGTGGTCAGCTCTGGCTTATCCCTCCTTCCTACTGTAGTTTTGTACATGGCATGCCATGCCATGCCATGCCATCACGTCCCTCGCTCCCTCCCTTCCTTCCTTCCTTCCTTCGTCGTTCGTTGCCTCCTTTTCTCCTCTCGGTCTCGTGACTCAATACTCGTTCGCTCTGACTGGGATCTTTGGCATTATCTCTTTATCATTCTTTGTCCTTATCTTACCTTCTGCTGCCACTGACATTTTCTTGCAAGATTCAGCTTTCATATTGCCTTCTTGCTCTCTTCCCTGCACCCTTGTACGTTAAACCATGAAGTTCTTCGTCTTTTCCTCGCTTGTAATATTTCACGCTTACCCGATACTCTTGAATTGTCCACCTCTAAGTGAAATCTTTCAATTGTCTAAGTTTGGTTACAAAAGGAGATTGTAATTTAGTGTGTACATCTGAAACTTTTCTATTGTAACTTTCTATTGTAACGTACAGAATATAATGACGCGCAGGAAGAAAAAAGAGAAAATCATTAGAGATTATACTAAATGAAGGGAAAGACTCCATGATCAAAACAATAAGTAGATAAAAAAAGAACCGTGAGAGATGGTACAACTTACAAACATTTATGCAAGATGTAGGTTACTATATCGTCATAAAATTCCTTTTTTTAGTAAAATAATTACAAAAATCAAAATAATGCAATGATGTAGATGTATACAATAGTTGAAATCATTGGTAAAAAAAAAAAGGAAAAAAATCAAAATGATTGCTTACTCATTTATGCATAGAAAGATCGAGTGTAATTTTCCCACATGATACGAACAAGGGATGGAACTTAAAAAGGCATGTTCAGTAGTTGAAAGTGAATGATAGTCGCATAGGAGCAAACTCGATTAGTGGATAAAGCTTACTGCATTAGACATTGTAAACAAATTTCAGAAACAGACGAAGCAACACATTTTAGTATTAGTTGCAGCATTTCAATGCGAAAAAAAGCTTGAATAAGATATGTTTATGGAGTGCATACATTCAACCTGCTGCTGTAGAAACTCAATCCAAGTCATCGCCGAAGTACTTTGACAGATTTATCTACACGAAAGATTTTGATAACATACTTACCGGCAAACACAAAAGTATGAGCTAATTTAAATGCGACCGGTGCTGATAGAAACCAAAGGCTGACATAAGCATTTTATGATAACGCAATGATTATATAAGATTGATGGTGTAAAATTGAAATACGTTATGTCTAACGAGCATAATGTACAAGAGGGCAACAAACGCATGTTCTGTTTCTCACTAAGTGGACACCAAAGCCGAGAGTGAAAGAATCGCTGTCGATCACGTATTATTGATTCCAGAATTTGACCAAGGAATCCACGCTTTCTTCTCAGTTCTAGACGTAGGAGAGTCCAGATTTCATGGCAGCGAAAAAATGAACCATGTCCAAACTTATCCATTACATTGGCCACTAACAGTACGAGCTAGCATCCAGCTTGATGACTACACATTATGTCACTTGATTGTTTACAGTCTATTGTCAATCGAGGCGGGCAGAGACGGACCCCACTCTTGCCATCCTGGGATAGCCATATCCGGAAGTGGCAAATCTCAATCTGGAGGTTCTTCACGAGGTATGCCAACAGCAATTCGAGCACCTAGGTGACACTTGGAGAGAACCTTCAGCCAAAGGAACACTATTAAGCAGAACGTATGCATTTCAGATCACAGCTTTGACTGAGCAAACAATTACGCAGTCAGGCAACACTAGGATGATACTTAAATTGACTAGCAATTCTAGGCTAAAGAACTTAACGAATCGGAATTTGGGTTCCTTCATATAACAGTTTTGGCTCAAATTTATAATCAGTTAAACAGTTATGAAACACCTGGTCAATATGCGAATAAAAAAATCCTGTTAGAGTGAACACGCGCAGATAGCTATACTCTCTAATGACCCTTCTAGCATGGAGGTGTCATCTAAATTTAAGAGAATGGGCTAAATTTGACGTTGAGTATGTAAGAACAATACGTACTTATCTTCAAATAACTACAAGTTGAATACCGTGATACAACTAATTCATTTCTAGTAAAACACTGCAATTCATTCGTATTTTTCAAGTGTAAAGCATGGTTGTATTGGCCTTTCATCTTTTCTCTCTGGTTTGTGCTCTTGAAGAGTTTATTTACTCTTGATGCATTTTACATTCATCTATTGTGGAAAAAATTCCTAAATAGTTTTTGGATTATCAAAGTAGACATCGTGTTTTACTTCCTCATTGATGACTTCTTGATTATTATCTAAATGCACTCGTTCCTATTACAGGATTGAAAGATCTTGAAATTGATCTCAGATATAAGATCTCACTAGAGATTTACAAAGTTGTTAAAGTTTGATGCCAGATTTGTGAGATGAGAGATCCCATTGTTAGGTATTTTCAGGGCTAAGGTGTTATTGCCAGAGAAATAAATGACAAGCATTAGATTGATTCTTATAATCATGTTTCACATGCAATAATCATCTTAAGATAATCAAGATATGAAGATATATATTTAGACTCAATCTTTTCCTATAATATTTCAAAAAATCACATTGTTCTATAATCTATAACCATGTCTAGTTTAACATTCCATTGAGATTTTTCTGTAATACCTCTATTTTGTCATTTTTATCAAAAAGTGTTCATCTCCAATGGTTTGTTCAAATTAGGTTATAAGAATTTTTGCATAAAAAATACACATCATCTAACTTTTTGACCACACTAAAGATGCTTTTTATCACCTGATTGTTGAGATTCATTACTACAGAATCAAGAAGATATAAAGTTTTGTCTTCTCAATATAATACATTAATAATATACAATTTTGATAAATTAATTTTATACGTCTCAAAATTTTGTTCATCATGACGTGCAAGACGTGAATAATTAATTCAAGATTTTTGTTCCTTGCCCTTCTATATTTTTTAATAAATAATTTCATATAGATTACAATACCTTATTGTCTGAAATTTATTTTTTGGTATTATCCAATCCAGTGATATCATCTATTTATTCTATATTATTTTCTGCAAATAAATTTTGATCATTCTTGAAATTTTGTGTGAGATGTACGACGGATGAACTTTATTGATGACATCATTAAACCGTAGATCGTTGAATCTATGGAAAGATCTATAAAAAAATTACATAAAATAAAATAAATCTAATATAAATCATAAATTTTAAATATAAAAATAAAAAATTTATTTATATCTAAAAACCAAAAGCTTTTCTGTAATTCTGCACAAAATATATCATTTACAATACATTTGATATTTAAGCAACCTGTCATAACAAAAATTAAATAAAACCTGTCACAGCAAATCAATGAAAGAGAATTTCTCAAATTTTTTTTCAATGATTTGGATTATACTATTACAATGCATTTTGATTATCCAACTACTGAAATAGCATGTAAATTTATTCGTAGCGTATTCGTTCATTACTCATATGCAAAATTTTACGTATGTTGTTGCTTGAAAGTTATGCAAGCTTATGAATGCTGTTTTCCAATAATTTATAGGGTTTTATAACTAGAAACATTTACTCATTTTTTATGTTTGCTATATCTATGCATCTATATCTTCCAAACTTAGAGGTTTACAATCTATCCGGATAGATCAATATTTTTACAACGTTCCACGTTGAATCCAAAAAATCCAACCAATCTTCAAACCACAATAATATTTAATGCTTTGGACTATGTAAGATGCATATCCATGGACTTTGGATCATATTAGCTTCATAATTCTTGACTTCATCATGCATAAGAGCTTAGTGACTGCAATATGACTTCGTTTTTGAAAGTCTAATCGATTAAATATTTCTGTCTTTCTTAGTTCATTTAAAGTAAAAAAATAGTATTTATACTTATTGAATGGATGTGATGTATTTCATTGCATGAAGATGAAAATCTCTTGTGTAAGAGCATTTTCATTCGTATGTATAACATATCAATAGTGCATTTATGTCAGGAGGCATACTTTCATGGAAGCCTCGTCTGTATGCTATAGACACAACTAGGGTTGAAACATGTCATGTTCAAAGATAACATGTTAGTGCTGCATAAATGATGATTATTGAAGTGATGATAACCCCTTCTATAATCATCATGCATGCATCATCACGTATGCCAAGTTGAGGAGCATCAATCAAAATATTTATGTATATGGTATGTAGAGTGCCCATCTTTTTTATGTTTGGAATTCTGTGGAGCTAAGGATGTCCACTTTGTATGAAAAACAACACAAGCTCCTATATATTAGATGCCGCGGAATTTTACTATTTAAGGTTTTTGTATAGCCTTAAGCTTTATAGCTTAAGCTTGTATAGGTTTAAGGTTTACAATTCTTTATTTATTACACTACTACATAACGTTATAGTTTGGTGATGCTTCTTATGTTCTTTGGATATTATAGTAGCAATAGGACATATTTCAATTTTGATACTAGTAGGCCTGGTCCCAAACCGCTTGGTTTCATCAAATTAGGGCTTGATGGGCTATTCTCATCAATTTTTTCTATACAATCTTTGGTTTTCCAGCGTTTTTCAAGAACTAGATTCATTACTAGACAGGACCAGTTAATATAACAAAAAAGTAACAAAGAGTTTATCTCTCTACCCTTGCATTCTTATTGCCGTAATACTTTATCGACTTCCATTTCCATCTTGGAGGGTGAATGAGAGAAAAAAATGTTGAATCTTATTTTAACAGAATTAAGAAACATTCACAACGTTCGACTAGCACTGAATTTCAGTATCAAAACTACAGTCCAGTAAACACTATGCTAAAATCTTTGAAGCAGTCTAAAGTGTGCAAAGTAGGATCCATCGTCACGTGAGAACCATATCTTTGTCCGAACTACAGTAGAACTTCCATCAAGTATCTTTAGCTACTGCGGAAGATTGTTACAACTCACCGAGTTTTCTTAAGAACTCCACAGTTGGCTGCAAAATCCTGTTCCTTTGTTGCATTCTTGTACTCGGTGTTCGCCCAATGTATAGCATTGAACATGCTCTCGATCATAACTACCGTCGAGAACATGTAGCAGAGGGATAACGTCCTCCAAATTCCATCGTAACATGAAACAACAATTTTTTTTTCACTGTATCACATCGAATCACTGAAACTGAGATTCTGGGCTTTTCATTTGAAGGAATGTCGGGTTTAGCTCCCTTTAGATTACATTAACTGGAATCCCCATAATGTCTGCATTTCGACTGTTCAATACAAATCTTATATACAACATCGTATATATGCTTGAATTATTTTTTTTGACTTTTGGGCCTTGTGTACCATGAAGGAAATTAAAATCACAGGTACAAGTTTCGGCATCATCAGAGCGAGGACAAAGTTAAGAAGAAAAATCGTAACGAAAACCTGACAGACGATTTCAAGTACAGGCAAAGGCTCCACATGTAGTTTCTTCCACTAACCCTTGTAGCTGGCTCAAGTCTGCAAACCTGCTCCTGGATCATGTACCACAGTAAATTAATCCTCGTAGAAACTGCAGAGATTAAGATCTGCACTAGGGTACAACAGTACTGTGGGCATCTGATGCACTTGCTACTGATCAATTTCTATATTTGTCCATGTGTCTTGTCGGGACATATCCTCGTTTGTTGCTTCATATACGTATGCAAGATGTCCATCACTGGAGAAACTATTTTGACCTGGAGACGGTTTCAGAGAAACCGCATTCCAGAGGATCCGTGAGGAGGAAAAGGGCTATCTCACACATCCCCATGGTAGCCATCACGTCAATAGTACCTCACTGTGTTTCATGATCCATCTGTAGCTGCTGCACTTCTCTTTATTTAGAGTATGATAGACACTTCGTGAGCTTCATTTACATTGTCAAGAGTTTTCAGGTCAACGCCAGCCGGGCATGGACATTGTTCCACTGAGTTCGTCAAAAGACGGTTGTTTCGAAGGGATTGTGAATTCAGGGCCTGTTCTCAGACAGGGGACTAATTTCATGGCACCTATAACCATCGTCCGTTGATACTCCCAGTTGCAGCTTTTCTTTAAACCTCGTGTATCGGATGCGTACTGCACTGCTGCAATGCACTTGCCTGACATGAAATTTAATGAGGTTGCACACGGACCTTGCAACCTTCATTGCTAGTCCCTGTTGAGAGTCTGGTTCTCGTGGAATCCTTGCGATCAAATCTGGTTGTAGGTTTCAAAGCATGTACAAAAGAAAGTTTGGACAGATGGCTCACTTGTATTGGTTTAACAGTTCGGTCACAAGAGCAATGCGAGGATCATGTGTGCCCAACTCACACTTCAAATGTTCTAGTTCTCAATTATAACACCTAGTAATTTAACAAAGCAAGCTTGTATTCGGAGCGCGGTCAAACTGTACACCAAAACATTGTACCCATCGTCTTCAAGGTCCGAGGTTTTTCACGGGTTTCAGTGAGGTTTTAGCAAAGCTTTGAGTATAAAATCTGCCGCAAAGAATTCTGAAAAGAGGGTACGTCAGGAACTCATATGCTTGGTTTGTACCATCACCTTCCGGCTGTTTAGTTGCATAATAAAGTTAAACCACATTCGTCACACGAGGTTATGTAAGTGTTGTCTTTCATGATAGCTCAATTTCACTGCTTGCTTTATAAGGATCCGCGTATGATCTCGGACATCGACTGACTGAAATGAACTTGGGCAAGCTTTCGAACATCAAGCTCAATTTCAAACATGCTTTTATATTTGGATATATATTCGCAAATCATCTCTCTGCTCTCAAAGCAGAGAAAGTATTGGTGAAAATGGGGCAAAATCTGGATAAGCCGCTGTTGCTTGGACTCACACATGCAAAAAAACTCGGCGCTAAAGCTCTGGTTTGTACATGTGGGTTATGCTCGTACAATATATCTCGTAGGAGATGCTGCACGACCATGCAAATGATGCTGATGGAGGTTGAGGCTAACAACTCCTTTATAAGAACCCCTACGAGCTGAACTTCACAAATGAAGGTCGAAGTCAGTGCAATTTAAATGCTTCTCGGATGGTGAAAAGTCTACTTTTCAGGCCGTATCCCACACCGAAATTGATATACACCTTATCGTCCCTTAAGAAAGCTGCTGTTCCGACTCGATGAAGAGGCCCGGTGTAGGTATCGATGATCTTGGCGGTTTCCCATCCATCTATGCTTTCCACTAAGTAGCTACTGAGCCCCGTGACAACCACCAACTTTTGAGGTGAAGCCAGGAGGATGCCATCAGGCACCTGCATGGAGCCTTCGACTTTTACAACGTGCACAGAACTTCCATCCAGGGAGACTCTGAAGATAGCCCCAGCCCATGTATGAGAGACGAGAAGAAACCCGTCAGGATGAACCTGGATACCATTTAGACCAACTAAATTTAAGGGCAGCTGATTTGGAAGTGAACTGAACACTGGACTAGAAATAACTCCCGTCAGCGAACCGTCGAGGCCAACTTTCCATATGACATTCCCAGCTGCGTCTGTGACATAAGCGTTTCCATGCTTGTCCACTGTTACGTCGTCGGCAAAAGACTCCCTCTCTGCAAGGCCAACAAAAAAAAGCTTCTCTCAGACGTTGTAACTCTAAGGGACATTTTTCAACCCCAATCATCGAGAAAGGTCCCTTGGATGATCTCTGCAAGCTACTTGCTAAAACGATGAGCCATAGACAAAGCTCACACTGTAAGACCAAAAACAAAATGGAAAAAATTATCACAAATTAAATACGAAAAGTCAAGTTCGTAGGTCAAGTGCAGCTCCAATGCGTTGCGCTGTCTGATATTCCTTTGCTGATGAGAAGTTTGTGCTTCTGCAGGCAGCTCTTTTTGCAGAATTTAGCAGCTTCATTACGGGAAGATGCGATGTCCAATCTCAGTCCAAATTATTTTGAGAGTCCAGTTTTGTAAACTGAAACTCTGCTGATTTGAGGGCATCCTACATCTGTAAGACCGTATCCACAGAAAACCTGATTGTGGAAAGCACAAGCCAGACGCAATGCACGGGGAAAAATGAACCTGCATACGCAGCGATCAGATGGCGAAAATCGGCAGAATGTTCTGCTCCTCTACCAGCAGGCCCACGCAAAGAGGTAGCTCTGAGATAATCAGAAGAAAAAAAATGGGAGATTGGCTATACCTGGACCACAGAGTTCGGTTAGGTAGAGTCTGTCCCACGAGTGTAAATCGTAAGCCGCCACAGCACTATATCGCTTGTGCATATCCCCAATGGCCACAATGACGCGCTTTCGAGGGGAGTCCACCGCAAGCCCAAGGGTTGCAGTGCCGGCGTAGTCTGGATCGACGACCACACTCTTCTCGAAAAGAATGGCGCCCGGATTGCTGCTGTTCAATCGAATCTGTTGAAACAAGCATCAGGAAACAGTCCAGTCAAAAACCCGTGCAGCTGATCCATCACCACTTCGTCAAACCATTCTTACACCAACACGGTCACCGTAATCGTCGTCGCCAAAACAACACAATACTGACCTCCACGATACCACCTTCGAAACACGACACGAGGACACGGTTCTGCTCGGGATCCCAATCCGCGCTCTCACGAAACCATCCTCCGCTGAGGTAGTTGATGGATTCGTTCCCGAATTTCTCAGTGCCCAACCACTTGATGATGGCCATGAAAGCGACGGCCAGAAACGCCACCACCAACGCTAGTCTGCTCGCCCACGCTGCCATCGCTCCCCGCCACCACTCGATTCTCAATCCCCTGCCCGATTAAACCGACGAACTCAGCCGCCTACCGCATCGCATCGCATTCCACTCCCCGGAGTTCGTCCGTCGCGCGGATTGCCGTCGGGTGATCAGAGAGTGATGGGCAAGCTCACGGCCGCTCCGCTGTGCCAGGACCCGAGCCCCGCGCGCTCCGCATACAGAAATCAGTCATGATCGTCAGCCGATGACCGGAGGCAGGGTCCACTCACTCGAATCGATGATACTCGGGACTGTGGGCGAGACAGCGAAATTCCTCTTCATGCATGCTGCTGCCTGCTGCTGCTGGTGCTGCTCGCCTTCCACACTCCGAGGACGGCTCCCACTCGGCCTCGCCCTGCCCTGCGCTGCACTGTCGTGTCCTGTCCTCTCTCTTCGTGTCCCTGTGCTCGCGAAGGAGCGTGGCACTTTCGCGGCTGCTCGTGGAATTATGCCTCCGCTCGACAACTGTTCTTGAAGCTCCTGCCCCTTGCCCTCGACTGCGCCGGCCGGCGATGGACACGACTTCGTTCGCCGTCGTCGGGATTGCGATTTCTCTCAAATGTGAGTGTTTCACGACGAGAGGAAAAGCAACGATAATTTTAGGAGCTCACATGTTTATTCGTTGTGTGTGAGTATTTTCTGTTTTCTGTTACTATTTTCTGTTTTCTGCTTAATACTGGATGCGCTCGATAAGTCGTAAGCTGGCTCGTTAACTTGGGGCTCCGTATCTCGTGCTCGGAAATCTTTGATACCCACAGGTTTGATGCGGTACATGGACATAAGCAGTGCACTTTATTACTTACTCGACTTCTGCAAAACATGACATGAGGCTTTCGATGCAGATTTCACACACTAGACAGCAATCCAGAGAAATCCAATCAATCATTCAATCAATCATCAACCAACCAGTCAATCAATTATTAACCAATCAGTCAATCACTTATCAATCAGTCATTTTTCATACATGTAAAGGAACAGGGTGAGCTTAAAGATGTACGCACACACACATTGTAAGAGAACTTGATGAATTTATGTACCTGTAAATTTGGACTCTTGGTTGCAGATAGGACTGAAATGTGCAGTAAATATCAGATGCAAAGAGCGAGACTAGAGTAGACTAGACGAGACCCTGAAGACGTTAGGAGTAGTTTCAAGCAATACGTATAAAATGTTCGTACTGGAGTTTGGCGACGACAGAAAGATATCGTCTTAATATTGTACTTCTTGCATAAGATGTATTGGACTCATCTACTCACTACATCCAAATGTTTGCCCACGTGCTCACTTTTCAAGAGTGTGAACTGCTCTTCATGTTATAGTTGGGAAGTTAGAAACAAGCGATATTGCACGATTCTGATACAATTATGTATATCAAGTTTCTATTATTATGCTTTTTATACATATAAACATTCGAGGACAAGTTTTATAATTTGATTCAAATAGAATCATTTAAGTTCTACTCGTCTTGATCATTTGAGATCCACATTGCAAGTTAGAATCTGGTGCCACTTTATAACAAAGTCTGAAAATATTTTCTTTTGTTCAACGATCTAACAGAAAATAGTCGTTTATAACCTGAACGGACATTTTTGTGATAAGGTCTTATCATCTTAAGAAAAAAAGAAACGTCAAAAAGATTGTTGTTATATATTTTCCTGCAAATATTTGATTAGAAAATTCAGTTTCAAAATCTATTCACTTTTATTATAGGTTATAGACCTTGAATTCTCAATGATCGTTCTTCGGATATGAGTAAAAACTTTTTCTTAGTAGCGTTACAGGGATGTAACAAAAAAGCTAGATATAAACTCAAAATATGGCACATAGAAAAGAACTTAACAGTATATATTTGATTATATTTTTTTTCCACTTTTGTAACAATGGCAATAAACTACGTTTGGTCTTCTCAATCATTCGTTACTTGCCATCCGTCGTAGAAATCACAACCGTTTCGAAAAGCCGAATGAAGATTTCTGTGACTTTCAGATGGAATAACGCAACGACTGGCTCTTTTATGAAGAAAATAAACCGCAATGTGGTCCCATCACGGAAAGCAGAAGTGCGGATAAACTTTTGCCATAGGAAACGTGATTTGCGTCTCTCCTTTGAACTTTATCGTATCCAAGTTTACGAGATCCGATAAAATTCCATTCGGGAGTCCATGAGCCTCAATCGGTCTAATCTGCAGCCCACAGTAGAGCGAAAGAAGAACATTCCTCGGAAAGCTGAAGTGGTGGAGGACATGACCCAAACATGTCACTATCGCAAGACTTAACTCAAAAGTCGAAGACGTGAGCGATTACTGTGGCCTTCGTTCGAGAGCTGACCGAGCTGAATGTGCGACCTGTTGGGATTTATTGCCATCAGCCAGCCATTTCACACTTGGACCCAAACGCGTCTTACAGTACGAGATGTTAGTTCGATTCTTTAACGAGTTGTTCCTGAATAATTATATGCTACAATTTCGTACTGGCCGCCTTCGATGGGCAGCTCCCGTGAGCTTCATCGTCGTTCAGATCTGGTTATGTGTTACAGTACCCTTCGCAGATTCTTCCGTCATGGACGCATACTCACTAGCTGTGCTCAGTCCATCAATCGTCGTGACCTGCTCTCGAAGAATGGAACTGAACGAGGAGAGGAGATGATTCGAGTGGGAGCGAGTGAACAGCTGGTTGCTCGTTTCACTTAAAGTTCACGTACGAATTCACTGAGGGCAGGGGAGTATTAAAGCTTGGTGGTCCTGGAGCTTGCAAGGTGAAGTGCCTACAGACGGACGTTCTAACCTACTCGTTCTCAGTGATTGTCCGTGAGCTCAATAGCTTCCGACAGGGCAACTTGTATGCTTGTCACGTGGAATGATTCGGAGATTGATTACTATGGTCGTTCGTGCTGTTCACATGGGCTTTACACCTGAGATGTTCCCGTCCTTTGAACTCTGTAATTCGTATACGCAACTTAAGAGCTGCAACTGATAGGCATGTTGTCCGAGGCTCGAGTGCATCGCAAACTTTCAACGAATGCGACCCTCACTGCTATGATGCTTTATCCAGCTGTCGGTTCTGAGATTTGGGATCCAGAGAGCCGGGATTTTGTTCGCTCACATGGTGATGAGAGAGCGAGCGAGCTCGCACACAGGCGAATCACAGGCATGGAAAGGCGAAAGAACCAATGCAGGTCGGTATCGACACACTTGGCTCCCAGTCACATAAATTTTCCTGGCCTCTTCTGCACTGACTACAACTGCTTCGCAATACTTTACAAGGTCTGATGCACGGGGTATATTGCCTCGCGTCTGGAAACTTATCCATGGGACGATATTATGGCAGGTCTGTCTAAGAAGCTTTTCATCAGTCAAAAGTTCCTGATCTTGGAATCGCGTTGTTCAGCGAGGGTTGACTACTGGCTCCAGTCGAAGAGAAAATAATGGTACCCTTCCAGCCGCCTTTCGTGATAAACCTGCTTGAGCCAGAAACACGGACTTGCCAACCGAGAGGCATAGTGCCTACAGGTCGATTGCAAAATATACGACCAAGACCATGCCACGCATGCACTGGTAGAACAGTTCAAAGGCAACTAGACAAAAGGAACCTTAAACAACGGTAGGAATTCAGTGAGCTTGCCACGATGACGAGATGAGAGATCGTTAGACTTCAATGCAAGTTTAGCTCCGTCTGTTGGTTATCATTGTTTAGTCCCAGTGGCAAGACGTATATCAGAAATGCGTCTCCCTTGAACAAAAAAACCTGGGCTCCATGCGACTCAAATTGCATGCATGTCCTCTTATGAGCTGAGCTGAGCTGAGCTGAGCATCACCCTTCGAACTACATGCAGGACAATGTTCAGACATGTAAAGCTTAGAGGTTCGTCAATCTTAAGAGACCTCTTGACAAGGTGACAACCGTTACAACCTGGATACTTGTATCTGATCGCTTACTTTGAACAGTAAAAGATTAGAAATGATTCACCTCCTCTTGAGTGAAGACTAGAGTCTGCCTTCCTAGCGAAGGCCATATGCAAGACTTGGTAACACAATCATGACACTTGAATATGTTGATCTCAGTAGCTGACGCTAAATCGCTTGCATTTTAAACCTCTCTAACTAGACATCTTAATCATCATCTCCGATACTTGAGCGCAGCAGAAAATCCTCGTTGTCCATAAACTCATGATCCAGATCAAAAGTAAATTTCCCTCCCGTATGGATAGAGGACGTTGGCCCTTGGTTGATCTCTTTCGTACCCTGAAATGAAATAAAATACTGATCACATTATAAATCTCGACAATTTACTTCATATCACTTTTCAGAAATCAGGTGTTAAAAAACCACAAATCCCACAGTAAATATCCAATTATGACAACGAACTGCAAAGGACAAACAATTAAGACTAGTAATCCCATCTCCAACTTTCATTACACGAGATCAGAAAAACGAAGCCCATTGTGGAGACCATTCGGTCAATATGTCTACAGTGTTTCTACCAAGTATAGACGTGAAAAGTTTGAGAATACCTTTCGGAGTGTATAAAAGAAGTAGTGAAAGGAATCTCCGAAGGTGGCCCACTTCATAGACCAACTCAGACCCTCGGCTTCGAAATGGGGTCGCCTAAAGTGTGGCTACACGCAAATCAAACTTGAAGACGTTAAGATCGTGGCCAAACTTCTCTGGAATTTGAAAAATCTGCAGTGGGTATATTTTGGGAGAAGAATCGGATGTACAAGATCTATCTCTGAGTTTCGAAAATTTTCTCGAGCTACTTCAACGAAGATAAGCGGATGGAAGCAAATAAACAGAAAAAGCACTGCATTCTGAATACTTTACTGACCGGAATACTTGCAACAAGATCAAGTCTAAATTTTTACCTGACCAAATGCGATAGATATGAATAAGCCACCAGGGGTGAGAACTCTGTGAGTTTCTTGCAACATTTTTGTCACTCGTTTGACCACGTCTTCCGAAGGATTCCAAGGGTCACCGCTGTCTATAAACAGAACATCCTTGAAAAATTGAGGGATCAATTTTATTGATGTCTCAAACTCAATTTTGAAATCAAATTCCAAGGGGTGAACCCTCCTTTGAATTGTTAGCCCGAAGCGTTTTCCTATCAGACATTTTTTCAGCTGGATGTAGAAAATAACAATCACCTCTACTTTAACTATTAATAGTACTAATGAATTCCCAAAAATCACGGGAGAATGTCACTGAACTGGTGTTTATTTACTTACCAAAGTCCCTTTCTCGATCACAACGTCAAAAGAACCATCTTCAAAAGGTAAATCTAACATGTCCGCAACTTCATGTCGAATTCCTGAATGCACAGCAGAATTTCGGTTCATCACTTGATTGACCACGTCTTCCGAAGTGGCGGCTGTGTAAGGGTAAAGTTTGTTCTGAAGACACTCCGGCAGCAATACTACCGCAAAGAGAACCTATAATCATTCTCAGGATCTACGAGTTAATCAGCACTGAGAAAGGATTAGCTAGATTCAAAACGTCTGGAAAAGTTTTTGAGCACAACCTTCAAAACCAAGAGCAGCAGATCTTTCTTGCATGTGCTTGACAGCAACAGGGGAAAGATCTGTGCGCGTAATCTGACATATGCCATCTTTGAACATCTCAACACCCATTTGCGAGTTTCCGCATCCTACTTCGAGTACCTGCTTTGAAAACCAGACTTAGTAGTTTGTTTTAGAAGTTCCGTTATCCTCTTTCCAGTGTTACACACAAACTTTGCCCACATACATGTATGTGACCTAGACAATTGTCCCAGAGTGATGAGAACAGAAGTGCTTACCAACTTACACACTAGAGCATCAAGGACCTACTGACAGAGAAGAATCTGACTCATACCCGATCGGTGGGCTTTACATTTGCAAGAATAAGGTGCCTAAAATGCGAGTAGTCCTTGAACCACTCGTAGTGCTCCTCTCTGGCAAAACGATCATTCCTGCAAACATCATCGTCTTGCTTAAGAAGTTTCTGTCTTGGATCTTAAAAGACTTCTCATCGGTACGAAGGGCAGGTGGAATCCCTCGTTCCCACAAGTTCAGCTAATAAATGGTCGCTTCATCTAATTGTCGAGAACCAAATATTTGAGTCTAAATTTGCTATGTTGACTATTTTTCGACGGTCAAGAAATGGAAAATCTGGATTAGTGATGTTTGATAAACTCCTTAAGGCTTCGAGTCTAACAATTTCACCAGATCTACAATTGCTTATTCACAGGTGACAACTAACAATCAGGTAAGCAAACCCGCTTAGTCGGTCATGTATCTCGCCCCACTTTCCTTGTCAATTCCATAAACCCTGATCCTTCTTTCATCTATACTAGTCCAATTGCCAACATGTGCACATAGTACGTGATTGTAAGAACGTAAAGCGACAGAGACACTCTGCCAAACACATTCACAAGCTCGCTTGGTTATTGCGATTGATTCAAAATTCAGAATGCGATAAGATAAGTGAATCTGAAAAGCTTGACAATTACCCAGAGTTGAACACATACCAGTATGTGGGTTCTAAATACAACGCAGTATGAGAGGGTAAAACATCGGCATTATCTCCTGGTTCGGCCATGTCTCCGGAATGTCAACACAGGCAGGGCAGTTTCGCTTCCCCGATCTTTAGGGCGATCCCAATCTCTACATCGTCTCCTCGCCTGTAGCAAATGTCTGCGGTAGAAGTGGTTCAAAATTCACCATTCCTGCCAACTTCTTCACAAATTCTGGTATCCAACACAACGGCAACACTAAATTGTATATACTGAATGGACAGATAAATTGGATCATAATTGGACCTGGCAAATTGCAGATGTTCAACAAATCGCAGTCGTTCAAACAGCGATTGATGCTACGACTAATTTATTTTCACGTATTTTCACGTCGAGTTCACGTATGCAGATTCAACTCAAAACCCATGTGAGGTGGTGAAGTCTAAAGACATACTAAAAACCCTAAACCCTGGTTCTCAGAGTACACAGTCATGTGCTGTCTACCCCTTTAGGAGGAACAATATTTCCTATGTCGCTTTCAGGATGGAGCTCACAGAGGAATATCTGTACCTACTATCTGTCAAAAAAGACGACTATGATCATAACAAATTTCTAGTCTAGGTTGTATGAGAGGAAAACGTAATCTGTGAAGATTTTAAGACTCACAAATTTATTGATAACATTTTAGAATTTGTTATACTTGAGGATTACTAAAATGGTTGTGAAAGTATATTTGTAACATAATAGAATCTGGTTGGATATATATATTTGCCTTATTTCACTGAATAATACTCCACAATACTGCATGATATCATCATCATGCGGGCAATATCAACTGTGTATCTAGACAAAGATGATGACTACAGTGTGTTGATAATGTTATATCATACATTCAACAACATTCAAAATTAAGCCTCAAAAGAATGTGGATGTAATTTTCTCATCGTTCTTCTTCGTTGAAAAATAAAATAAAAACCAGAATTCAAATTAATTATTTAACTTTTTCTAACTTAGACAGCAATATCATAATTACATGTAAAAACATTTGAAGTAAAAGTGGAATGACAAACTAGATTCAAAATTCCATAGAATAAAACGGTATACAATGAAAAATCAGCCAAAACATTGGAAATTTTGACTCTTCAAATCTTGTTGTGAAGTATTACTCACATGAAATACTTTTAAATGCACATTCCTGACAAATTCATTATGGGAATTTTATATTATACTTGTGATCTTTATACCTTGAGAATCAGAGTTGATGAATACGACTAAGAGGTCAATCTTCGCACTCTTTGGCACCTTGAGTGCAAATGAAACTATGGTTCAATTTTGCTCACTACGATGATGGTGAAACTACGGATCATTCTTGCATAGCTTATGTTTTGCAAAATCACAATCCTTCACACACTATTTCATATTCTAAATGTTAACCATCAAATTTCAGAAATCTAACAACATTCATAACTTACTAAGGTGATATCTATGATTTATTAAATTAATTACAATAGAATCATTGAATCTGAAATCACCATTCAAAAAGTTTTGAGAAAAGAAAATCACTGATGTGTTTCTAAATGATAAAATTAAGTTATTGGTGAACCTGAAAAAAAAATATCGGTTTATAATGTCTGTATGATGGTAAAGCATACCACTATAGAGTTAAACTTTCCAACAGTGACGTACACTGGTGATATGATGTTACGTCACTATTGGCAATTGTCACTCACAAGAGTAGTGTGTAACTTTGAATATAACCTCCTAATAGTAGCATACATTGATGTTAGAGTTGATTTCACTCGAATGAATTGTCATATATGTTGTTTGGTTTCAAAATCAACTTCATTTGTACATTTGAATTGTTCACATGTGTCGTATTTGCGTTTGAATTTAAATTAATGCATAAAAATCTTAATGAAACAATTGATGATAATATATGTAACGAAATATTTTATTGGAACTTAGAAAGAGTGATTAGTTGAGATAGGCCCTTTAAGTAAATTTATGCCAAATTCTTAAGGAATTTGGCATAAATTTAATAATAGTAACTTTAACTACTAAATTACATTTGAAATTGTCACTATTGGGAATAGTTACGAACTGTTATCTTATTGAGCAGATTTTGAATTTAGAAACTAATGGTTCTGGAAAATGTCAATAATAAGAGTATGGCATTTAGAAGAGGTGACACTATTGTTTAACTCTGTACAACATGTGAAAAGGTAATTTCTGTCTAGTAATCTCTCGCGTTAAAAAAGTATCATTATTTTGCGGGAAATCGATTTCCGGGTGTGAACACGAGGTGGAGAAAAGACGGGAGGAATCAAAGGCCACGGCAGGCACCGTCTCGACAAGAGAAGTGGTGCATGGAACGTTGTGCTGCTCACATCGGCCACAACTCTATCTGCCATTTTGTTGGTTGATTGGATGGCTTATCTACAATAGAAGGGCCTGGGCCCCACCACCTCAAAACGTACGATGTCGATGTCGATGCAGTCGCTGCACTTTGCTTCGCTCGGAACCATTTACATTCAGCCGGGGGTTTTGAGGTGGTGGCAGCCAGGCCCTCACGTACCACGACAACCTGCTGCTCGAACACTTCTTGCGGCCGCTCCTCGAAGCAGTCACTGGAAACGGGGTCGTCTCCTCATCGTCGAATTTGGAAAACGATAATTCGTACGGTCGAGTCAGCTTCTCTTGTGCAGGGCTTCGGGAGATTGGGTTCGAACTATCAGGGACGAGAATCTCAGAGCTCTTGGAAAGAATTCTGTGGTCTCGGGAGGTGCAATTAACATCTGCTCTCATGGCTCTTGCTCAAGGAGTTGCTGGTTCGGTTCGCGGGATCGCTGGCCTGCAGAAGTCAGCTGCTGTGACTCACACGCCTGGCCCAGTGGAGAGAGTGCAGCTGAATTTTCCAGGAATTGGCGGAAGAGTATCGAGGGAGCAGTGTGGAGGAAGCAGGAGCTTGCTCTCGGTGTCATTCAGGGCTACCGAGCAGCAGAAACGAACGGTGCAATGTAGGGCAACGGTGTACAAGGTAGAAATGATTCACGACGGTCAGACGGTCATGCTGGACGTGCCGGAGGGCGAGTCAATTTTGACGGTGGCGCTGGAAAATGGCATGGATGTGCCCTATGATTGCAATTTGGGCGTGTGCATGACTTGCCCCGCCAAGCTGGAAAAGGGATCTGTGGATCAGTCGGGCGGTATGCTCAGCGATGATGTGGTAGAACGAGGCTATGCTCTCATGTGCGTCGCGTACCCTGAATCGAACTGCACCATTCGGACGATTCCCGAGGAGGAACTTCTGTCCCTACAGCTCGCCACTGCCAACGATGCCTAGAGGCTTCTGAACTCTGGACTCGCCATTTTGCCGAAGCAGCGTCGAAGCTGAGATTAGATATGGAACACTGCCTCTGGAAAACCCTTAAAACTGTGGTCATGGAGGCAAATATGAGTTACGATTTCCTGTCTGTCACGGACATAGGCAGAAGACAGATTACTGAAGGGGAAACTATTGTACGTAGGAGCAGATTTTAGAGATTAACTCTGATATGTGTCGAAGGTGTTGAAGAAATCCTTCTTTTAGTTGGGTAGCTGAATCCAATTCTATCACCCTGCCTCCTTTAGCTGGCATGCTGAGCATGAGATATCGGGATACACACTACAGGAGAGACATTCTCTCGAATCAGGTTTCACCCACTCGAAACTATTTTACGCCTTTTGTTGCCAACAACTTTTGTATAAAATGTGGTTGTTTTATTTATTCAGAGTACAGATTGCACCCTGACCAATTATGTCCAACGCTGGTTTCCAACCAGAAATCGTCTTCTTGTTTCATCTCAAGGTTGTTCAAGGTTGTTCTCTATTTCCTCTCTCTGCATTAATCTTCAGTTGATCGTGCTCTTGATTCCTTCAAGTTACAATTACTCTTCTAGCTCATTCATTTTCTGTCGATGGATTCCAGCGAGAATCTGTTCTCATCACAGGGAAACCGTGTCGGAGTTTCCCCTTTTATCATCGATCACTTGATGATTTGAAACAACTAGAATATGTTCTTGTAGCAGCGAAATAGTGTTCCGACTTATGGAGAGTTCCAATTGTATGCTGCTGATATACAGCAGATGCTCCTCGAATAAATTAGCTCCAGTGATGCCAAGACTATCTGACTGCATTACTGTCTCGACTCTGTATATATCGGCATACACGTAGAACTCCTTCAACTTCGACTGTGATACTGTGCTGCAAGTACCAAGTTCCACTTCTATGAAACATTACGCTAAGTCCATTTGTAGATTGTCAAGACGATGGGTTACACATTCAGAGAAGCATGGAGCGGTCGTTAGATATGTCATTCAAAGCTTTGGTGGCCATTCGCAAGGTAGAAGATTTTGGTTCGTGCTAGCTGTAGCACATGATCCGTGTATCAGTATAGACATGTAGCTGTTGCTGCCGAGTGCCCTCCATCGATGGCAGCTTGACCTTCACATTGAGACGTTACGCAACAAGGGAAGATCATATGAATCCAATTTTCAGCACGTAGAAGTTGGTTTCACTTTGCTGTGGACTGGAGTCCCATCTAGAGTGATTCTCCTTGAGCATGCTCATCACAAGCTTGACGTTATCGCACTCAGCTGTTACTCCCAACAATTGTCACTCTAGAAAAGAAAGTGAGGAAAGTCATGAGGACCTAGCAGTCATCACGTCAAGATATCCTCGTGTCAACCTTCACCGTCTGAAGATCAGTGTATAGTTACGCGGAATGACGAATGGAGATCAATTCTTAAAAATCCAGACCTCCAGCTTAAGTCTTCAACTGGAAGATGAAGAGCAAGAGATCTCTACAACCGAAAGTGCACTGTAGAAGCCGACACATATGTATATGCCGACACATAAATATGAAAAAATACATCTTAGTCTGCACCCCATTTAAGGCAGCGCGGCTCATTCCCTTGGAGTCCACGACACGTCATTCGGTAAAACACGAAATGTGATCAAAAAGCTTTGTAAGAACATAACTGAGAACCTTGGTAGGTCTTTGCTCGTTTTGTTGTTTCCCGGCAAACGCTAGTAACTTGTTGCGAAATTATGCGAATTGCTTGGAGAGTTCCATTTGGACACATGCAGGTGCGCACTCAAGAGAAATACAGAACCTGGATCTGGTAATCCAAGAGCTGCTCGCGGTTCGCTATTTCTCCAGGGCGTACCGTACTTATGGCAGGAGACAGTTTCATCTTGAAAACTAGCTCTTCACATCGTCGAGGACAGTAGGAAGTGCGAATTTCTCTTGGTTGACATTCGAAGTGGCATGGATGAAGTTGCAATTCAAGACTAACGCCACTTCAGCATAATGTGCAGAACAGAAGCATTTGGCTTTCATGGATTTGGCTTTCAGAAGCAAAGTGGCCAGAGCCTAAAACTAATGACAGGTTGATTTTCACTAGCATGGCGACCAAGGAAGTTGCAGACATGCATCAGTGATCTTTTAGACAAATTCCTTCAGTGGAATGGCCAAGAAAAGATTCCACATTACAAGCAAGTTCCAGTGACCTGGAAGAGTCGTATGGGGTTGACTGGCCTCGGCAAAGACCTGGCCACTGTGATTAGACCTCCTCAACTTAGAAAAAATTTGTCACAGATTTGTCTTTATTGCTAAAAGAATGGCAGCGCAAGTCAAGAGCCCTTTCGTTACACCCGACACCCGACAACTCTGGTAAAAAAGTCCGTAAGACAAACAAGAAGAATTCACAGGTAATCTGACTAAGTAACCTCTGAGATACTCATACAATGCGCTCGAGTTCCCTGGCATATCCTAATGTCTGGTTTATCAATTGCAAAGAAGGAATTTCCTTGCATGGAGCTAAATCCTTCACCTTCTGGAAATATACACAGCCGTTGCGGATGTCCCAATCATTATGATCCTGTAAGAATGCATCCAAGAGCATCAAAAAGGCTGTGCTGAGAAATGCGAATTTGAATATGGAAATGGCAGAAAAGAAACGCAAGACTTGATATATCGAGGAAGTTTGTTTGAAATGAAAATGCAAGAGAAAGTAAAAGCTAAACATATACCTCTGCAGCATACTCTTGCAATTCACGATCGGTAGAAAACATCAATATCTTCTTCGCATCTGCCACTGTTAGAAAATCATACGCCTTCTCGCTACAACCAGCAATTTCATCGCTGCAGGTAATTTGCAAAAAAACACGTGAGAACTTCTTGCACAAAGGCTTAGTCTTTAGTAGACAAACTTGGTATATCAACAGTGCCGGCAAAGATTCAAATTTGTTAGTGAGCAATATATGTAATTTAAGCTTTCAATACACGAAGTATTCAAAATGCGCAAATTTGTTCGAAGACTGAATAGGAGAGCTACAACCAGAAATGCCGACCAAAGTTATAACGAGAGCTCATAATTACCGAACGGTCTTGGCGAGCAAATCCATGAAGTACACGTATGTCTCGTGTGGAACAGCTTGGCGTGCACTCAAAACGCGGTTATAGGCACCTTCCATAAATGACTGCTCGAGCTCGACGGCATGTTTGATACAAGGGTTTTCGTGAGCTTCAGGAGGTAAAAGCTCAAGCTCGGTGTGGAATTCTGCGATTCTATTTTGCACTAGTAGCCGTAGCAGATTGAGGCCTAGAATAGGATACTCCTCGCGTGATCGAGGAATGAGATCCCTGAAAAAAAGTATCGAAAGATCAATTGTAAATTACCGACTCGTGCACGACAAGTGATAAACTCACAGGAACCTTTTCAAGATGTTCCTCACAGTAACCCTGAGACTCCCTTGCCCAACGTTGAAGTGTGTCATTCCACATTGTGATTTTTTTTAAAAAAAGGAGCTTCCCTATGATAACATTATTTCAGTAACCTTAGTCTACTCCTTGTGAGAGCAGTTGTTGTTGCTTCTCAATTCAACTCAACCATCATTCCTCCTTACCTGGTGTCTGTGTAGTAAGGTTTCAGTTGAAGAAAATGGCGTTCGAAGGCGTCCTGGTCCTCTGTCTTCACGCTGAGAACGATGGCGTGCTCAAATATCTCCCCTGCCAGATACTTTCGCCCTTAGAAGGTGCCAAGACCGTCTCGAACCCTAAGACCATATGAAGCACGAGACACGCACTCCGTATGTCCTACTACTTTGACCATAAATATTATTAGGTTTCGAAAAACACTTGAAGGCAATAAAGCGTGAGTATGTGTGACATGAACAGCCATCGAAGAATCACGTCTTACTTGCGAGGATAAGCTCCTGAACGGCTGTTGATGTTTGCTTGTAAGCAGGGGGCAGAGCTGGAAACTCTGTCAATTTCACCTAAAATAAACCGACCCAAAAACGCGCATAATCAGCAATTTCCCAAAACGAACAGGATCGTACCCGACGCCCAAATCGACCAAAACTGACGCAGATCGTCCTCCCAAGGAAACCAAGTCGACGCGATCAAACGACCAAACCCAGTAAAAAATATCGACAGACCTTGAGCTGCGAGAGCAAATTGGAGCAAGTATCATAATCATTCTGCTGATAGGCGGCCTTGAATTTCTGAAAAATGCGGGTACATTCTGCTAACTTCGCCTCCATCCCGACAGCCGAAGCACGCACGACTTCGATCAAACTCAAAAACCGCTCCGATCTCTCTGTCTCTCACCCTAATCGTACCCTTTCCCTTCTATTTCAAAGCTAGACTTTGAAATGTCAAGGCTGTGATGAATGTACCGAGAAGTAACTTGGCTTCAGGTCCAAGAACAACGATCACAGTGTTCCGTGGTGATGGGGGCGATGGCGGAGGAGAAGGATGGGATTTCAAGAGCTTCAAGTTGGGTCTGCTGCTCTGCTTGAACTAACCCTTCCTCGGCTCCCTCCCTCGTTGCTTCCTTCATAAGACAGCACTCGTAGCGGACGCTAGAGTATTGGGTCACGGCCTAGAATACAATATTTTCCACTTCATTCTTGACCGGCGCTTTCCTCCCAGTTGAACACGTTACTGTACTGTACTAATGTCTGCCTTGTACCCTTGTCAATTTATTTGTCCCTCCTCCTCTAGCTTCTGGATATTTATTTAATCTGACAGCTCGCTCGTAATCTCTTGCTTCTTACTAGAGAGACCGAGAGAGACAATCTTGTACTTGCCAATTTGGATGGAGAGTTTTGTCCTCTCTTTGTAACATAAAATAAACGAATTGGACCTTGATCATTGTACTGTAACTCGAAATGTTAGGCATCAGCGCTTTTCTGCTTCCCATCATGTTGGCTGTATGAAGAGGAATATACGTGTTGAGTTTGAATTCCTGTGGGAGATGGGATTATTACTTGAAGAGAAGGAAGCGTTCGCTGCTTGCACTGTTAGTCTCCACTTTAACTACCGCCAAAACTGTGAATTGAAAATGTCTTCATTCGGACCTGAATGCAGAAGCTGTATATCTTATGATTATATATTTTAGTTTGCATGCCAAATAAGAGAACTTACTTCAATATATTAAGAAATATCTTAGCATGACCTGTAAGTATTATCATGGTTCAATACTACTTTCCCTGTCATAATAAAATAATAATAAATCTTACAAGAAGAATTGGGTGTGAGGACCCAAACTTCTTATGCAATTTTTCTTGCGGAAACAGGTTGTCTAACTCTTGAGGCTGAAGCTCTCTTTTTTATGTTAAATGGACTTTGAGTTATGATTCATTTTTATGTCATGAAAAATATAATAACAAAATGTAAAAAAATTGTACATACTTTGCAAGTTGAGAGTGACATAGCATAAGTCACTAATATCTCCACAACAATTGTATGTATATATATATACAATTGCATCAAAAACAAACTGTTGAACCCTTAGCATAGGTTTTAAGCTCATGAATCAATACAAAACTCTTATAATTGTTATAATATGAATTGCGGTCAGCCATTGATTTATTTGCCCATTTTTCCTCTGCCATTATCTTCCTTTTGATGGTTACCGTTCTGTTTTCTAATTCATCCTAAATGGTTTTGTGGGCTTAAAAAAAAAACACGATTATAAACATGTCAAGTATGATTCAATTCCATTACCCTGACCCCATTTGCAACCTCTTTCATCATCTTATAGAAAACATATATTATTATAAAGTGGTTGGAAACAAGTTGATAATTATAAATCATTTCAATGCAAGAAACAACTTATAAGTAGAAAATATTCATGTGCAGAATGTATGATGTTACAAACTTATGATCCATTTTTATATTCAAATATCACTCAATTAAAATCACTAATCTACACATACCAACAACCAAGACAAATACATTATTTTTAATTTCCAAAACATATTGTTTATACAATTAGTTTTACATTTTTCAATATATATGCTATACATTTTTCACCCTATTAAATTAATTTCATAATTGTGCGATGTAAAGTACGTTAAGAGTTCCTTCACTTCGTATTAGGCAATTCTTGAAAATTCTTGTATTTCAAGAATTCAGTTATTTAATAATAAAATAGAATTTATTCCAATTATTTAATTTAAAAAATAACAAAAATATATTTTACTTAAGTGATCAAGAAGTTGCTTGATAATTATTTTATAACAAAATTTATTTATTTTTGAATTACTAAGTTTAATTTTTTCAAATAATTGTATGATTTTTTTTCAATCATTAAACTTTATTTTTATTAGAAAAATTATATAGATAATCATATAAATTACTAAACATTATAGTAAAAAATATGTGTGTTGTAAAACATATATATATATATATTAATGTGGTATGATTTTAGATATTTAGTTTGAAAAAATATTTACAATTTTATGAACAGATTTTGAAAAAATCTTCAAGATTTAGATTTTTTATGAATTATGTATAGTATATTAAAATTTTATACGAGATTTAATTCTAATTCATGGAGAATATTCAATATGATTTCTACAGAATTATTTTGGCTCTTATCAAATCATCTTTTATTTTTAAAAATATTGATCAGATTTATTCTTGCCTACAGAGTTAATAATTAATTTGGAATTTTTTTATGAATATTTTTCAATATAAAATTACTCTTGTATTTTACCAGATTTTTTCGAAACAATTAAAGAACTAGCTGAAATTTTGATATCCAGTTCAAGAGCTACCTTTGATATACTTAAAAATTATCAATGTGCATTTGTAACGTATGTTGAATTATTATTTTTGTATCTATTTAGCATATTTGTATTCATAAATTTATTTAACTCTATATGAATATTTTTTAAATTCTATTATTATTAAAAAAAATGTACACCTAAAGCATGCAAATAGGAGATAAATTCAAACTTTCTTTACTTGCATGTGTAGTTGATTTAGCAATTTTTGAAGTTTAAAGTATTTTGGTGCGCAATGTAACATCCAAAATGTAACAAATAGTAATGTCTCATATTAAACTTTAATCACGATATCCGGTTTGACCTGATTTCATTCATACAATATAATAGTTAATGGACTTTTTCTCCTCTATTCGCTATTTTGCTTTATTTATTTCATGTGAGCATGTATCATCTGAAGGCTAAATGTATCGGGGCTTTGCGCCAGTCAAAGTTAGAAAGCAACGCAATGAAGTAAAGCGCTGATCCAAGAACATAGCAAAAATGGTGGGAAGATTCATCAAGCTGCATAAGTATGAAACCAAACGTGACATCTATTGTGCGATTGAAGGGGAGCTGGAAGATGGGACGATTGACGTAGTGCATATGCTCTACACTATAACTCTAAACCAAGGGGACCATATTTGGGTTCTTCAAGGGACTGATGCACTATCAGGTCAACAAAATCAAGGACGAACTTTCTAGAGGTTTCGCAGGACTGCTCGTCGACACACAATACCACCAGCACGTCGTCAGGGTTCCTCCCAAGCTCGCTCACGTTCTGCCAAAATTGAGAGGCCTAAAAAAGACTCCATCCCAGTGAGCAGGGAAATCAACGTGTAACATGGAGCTGGATACAAAATTTTGTTCTGAGAAAAATTATCATTATGCACCTAAGACGTCTAACTACATAGGTCTAGAATTTTAGAAACAAAAGAATCATCACACTTGACTTCACATGATTATATATCACTAGAAACAAAAATATCTGAAATTTTCTACTTCTACTAAGTATGATAGAGTCTCAAATAATAGATGAAAAACATAAACTCTGTTGCATCTAAGACACAAGCATATGAATAGCGTTAGTTAATTCCATACGGAAGCACTCAAATTAAAGTGTAATAAAACATGATAACAATGTTGGAAAGAAAATGAAGCACTCTAGCGCTATCTATCTTTAAGTAGATAACTCCAAGAATAAGTCCGAGTGTAAAGGACCACAAGTGGAATAAATCACAGAATAATCTAGAAAAAACAAGAATGATGGTCACATGGTGGGGGCAGCAACCGCTGTCCCCGTGGGGCCCTAAGAGCGTCGAAGTCACCGGGGACGGATCCGGCAACTGCCAGTGCCCTGTCGTCGTGTACGTTCTAGGAGGTTCGTCTGCGGGCTGCCCCCTGGCTAAAACCCTCGCGCTCGGCAGCAGCAGCTGGAGGAGGAGAGAGAGACAGGCAGAGCGAAAGAAGAGGTCTAGGGCAGTGAACGCCTGCAGCAAATCAATCCTTGCAATCAATCTCTGCTGCAGATTTCTCTCGCTCGACGATTTGGCACCGCCAGCCACGTACGTCTATCCCGGACCGGATAAGATATATACGCGTGCGGCGTGTGCAGAATTTTGTTGCAGAGGCTCTTTGCGAGGTCGAGTTTATGCTGCTCGCCGGAGGAACTACGAGGAGAGTGCTGAGCTATTCTCGCCCCTCCTTGCTGCTGCAGTCCATGGCGATGGCTCCCGCTGCCACCCTCGGCGCTGTCCGCGGCCTCGCCGCTGTAGCTCCGCCGGCGTCCGCTCGTTCTAACGAGCTCTCTCAGAGGGTACGTGGAGTCCTGAACTTCCTTAGGATTTCGTTCTCACGTGAATCTTTGCGTTTCTAGCGTTGTAGATTTACCGCCTGAACCATTTGTTGTGTCCTGTGCTCGTCTGAATCCTGAGATCAGTATAGAAGAGCGACTTCATTTTCTCTTGGAACCGAATGTCAGTAGTTACCAGAACCATTCCTGTGAGGACCTGCGTGACTTGCTATGCGTACTGGCTGCCGAGAATGCCATGTGTTTTTCTTTACGTACATCTAATGGCTGCCAGGCATTTGAGGTTTTCTCCCTTTCTTGTTGTCTTTCAGAGTTGTCGGTCGAATTTCCTCATATCCGCTTGTATTGACAATGCGAGGGTTTGATGTAAGTTATCATCCTAGATTAGTGAGCGAAAAGCCGAGTCGCTTTAGGTCGAGACCAGGACACGAAGATTCAGTGTCGGTCGCGGGAATAGGTCTTCGGAGGTTGGGTCCAGGGTAATTGCAATGAGAATTTTGTTCGAAGGGACGTTAATGGATTTCAAAATGGATGCAGTTAAAGATTCATGCCTCTCACTGTTGACTTCTTTTTCTGCAGCATGCCGTTCCCTCAGTGGCAGCAGTCAGCTCTCCTAGCAACCTGAAAGAGCGGATTGGCTTCTCTACCCTCGTTAGCAAGCGCTCAGCAATCAGCTCTGTGAGGTCGTTCTCCTCAGCTGAGGTGTTTGCGACAAGGCGGGCGTTGTCTCTGGCCAGGACACAGAGGCTCTCAGGCGTAAGATGTATGTCTACCGTCGCAGAGAAAGAAGCTACTGTCCCCGTCGAGAAATTCGAATACCAAGCCGAGGTAGTTATCTTTCTCTCAAGTGGAAAGACTTCTTCATGGCGCAATTGTGAAAGTTATCAAGCTCTTCTCTGCGATCTGCGTGGGCTGAGCCATCTTGCTAGGGATGTTATCCTACGGGTCCATGCAGTATTGAAGAAGACCCTGTACATGCGGCGCTGTATTGTAACTTTTGGCAATTTGCAACCTCATCCCTGTCTATTGCCACTCGGCTGTGCAGGTGAGTCGATTATTGGATTTGATTGTCCACAGTCTCTACAGTCACAAGGAGGTATTCCTTAGAGAACTTGTGAGTAACGCCAGCGATGCTTTGGACAAGCTTCGATTCCTGAGCGTGACAGAGCCGAGTCTGCTGGAGGCCAACCCTAACTTGGAAATCAGAATCCAGAGCGATCCTGAGAATGGCACCATCACCATCACGTGAGTAAATCCCCTTCGACTCTAAGATGTCCAGTTCGTTTTCAGCTAAATCTCGAGAGTCAGGTGAAAGATGACACCTGAAATTCACCGTGTCAATTTGAGAACATTTCGTTGCACTCGCTGCGCCGATTACTTCGTTGTTGATTTTCTGTATCAATTATTCTATGCTTGACGCTCTCTAAAGAACTGACATGAACATCTCCGCATGTCAGTGACTCTGGAATCGGAATGACCCGCGAGGAGTTGCAGAAAAGTTTGGGGACAATTGCCGAGAGTGGCACCGCTAAGTTTTTGAAGGCCCTGAAGGTAACTATTATGCTTCTGTCCTTTGACGTTGCTTTTTTTAATTCTATGTTGCTTTCAAGTCCGTGAGTTGGCGTCGTATTAGCTTTGGAAACAGCTGTGGGATGTGGACCATCGTTTTCAAACTGTGCTCCACCAAGGGTTGAATGCATTAAAAGATGTGTTAAGTCATTTTTGTGAACGACGGAAATGTAGACTCTTTGGTCCCTAAACTGGTCGCATCGTCTTTTCTTGTACTTCAGGAGAAAGAGGATAATTCGTCCTCGGACAACAACCTCATTGGACAGTTTGGTGTTGGTTTCTACTCTGCATTCCTAGTCGCAAACAAGGTGAGTCTGGTTCGATTATTATTTTCCAGTAAGTTGACGAGTCCGGTTACCAATTGCAGTAGCAGTTATTGAGGAGCTAGCTCAGGGTGTGTCTGTTGAATATTAGGCATTGATCTCGAATCTTGTGGTAGTCAATCAGCAAAAAAGTCTTTTTTTAGTTTCAGTGAACTGCCGGCATATTAGTAGTCTCCAGTCGACACAATGCCGTATCCAAATTTCAACCATGCGTGACAACGTTGTAGTAACTGAATCCTACTGTCTAACAGGTTGTCGTTTCAACGAAAAGTGCTAAGGCAGACAAACAGTATGTCTGGGAAGGAGAAGCAGATACTAGCTCTTACACAATCGCTGAGGAGACTGATCCTGCTAAGATGATCCCACGAGGAACTCAGATTACACTATATCTGAAAACTGATGCTAAGGATGAGTATTCCGACCCTATCAGAATTCAAAACCTTGTGAAGAATTATTCTCAATTTATTTCTTTCCCAATCTACACCTACCAAGAGAAGACGAGAACAAAGGAGGAGATTATTGAAGAGGAGACTCCCGAGGGAGAGGAGGCTCCAGAGAAGAAGACGAAAACCGTGTCAGAGAAGTACTTCGACTGGGAGCTGACTAACGAGACGAAACCAATCTGGCTACGATCTTCGAAGGAGGTCACCAAGGAGGACTACAATGGTTTCTTCAAGAGCACCTTCCAAGAGTTTATCGACCCAATGTCTTACACTCACTTCACCACCGAGGGTGAGATCGAATTCAAGAGTCTCCTTTATATCCCTGGTATGGCGCCATACAACACAGAGGATGTTTTGAGCCAGAAGACAAAGAACATCCGTCTGTACGTGAAGAGAGTTTTCATCTCAGACGAGTTCGACGGGGAATTGTTCCCGCGGTACCTGGGATTCGTGAAGGGTGTCGTCGACTCGAACGATCTTCCTTTGAATGTTTCGCGAGAGATTCTGCAAGAAAGCCGAATCGTAAGCTCTAAACTTTACGCATTCTCTCGAACAGAATCGCTGGTGTTTCGTTTTTCGTTGTACTTAACGTCCTACTTTGGCGCATCGGAAATTTGCTACGCAGGTCCGTATTATGAGGAAGCGCTTGGTGAGGAAGACCTTCGACATGGTTGAGGACATTGCTAAAAGAGAGAACAAGGAGGTGAGTCACTGGATGTTGTATTTTACATTTTGTCCTGCACAGTACTTCTATTATTGGGATGAGTATGTACGTGAACAATGGGCTAATATTTGCATGTGTGTCTTATCAGGATTACAAAAACTTCTGGACAAACTTTGGAAAGAACATCAAGTTGGGTTGCATTGAGGACACTGCTAACCACAAGAGACTTGCACCACTTCTCCGCTTCTCATCTTCCAAGTGCGAGGACGAGTTGATGACCCTTGATGACTACGTCGAGAGAATGAAGCCAGACCAAAAGGCCATCTACTACCTTGCGGCTGACACCATCAAAAGTGCGAAGAGCGCTCCTTTCTTGGAAGAGCTCTCTAAGAGGGATCTTGAGGTATGTGCTGGGTCGTTTTCGTCTGCTTATTGTTATTATCAGCATCTTTCAGGTAGAGACTGTGTTCAAGTTCCGTAATCTCGCTGAGTCGCCAGATTTGTATTCTTTTGCTGTACCAGAGAAGAGTACTGAGTTGATTTTTTCAGTCACCAGTCCTGCACGCCCTAATGGTGAGGATGACATGTTCCTTACAGGTTCTTTTCTTGGTTGAACCAATCGACGAGGTTGCTGTCACGAACTTGGCTTCTTACAAGGACCATAAGTTCGTTGATATCAGCAAGGAAGATCTTGACCTCGAGAGTGAGGACAAGGAGAAGGAGAAGGAAGTGGAACAAGAATTCCGTCTGCTTTGCGACTGGATGAAGCAACTTCTAGGAGACAAGGTGGCTAAAGTCAAGATCTCCAACCGGTTGGCCTCCTCGCCATGTGTCCTGGTTTCTGGAAAATTCGGGTGGTCTGCAAACATGGAGAGAATCATGAAGGCTCAGACTCTAGGAGATAACTCCCAGCTCGAGTTCATGAGGGGAAGGAGAGTACTGGAAATCAATCCTAATCATCCTATCGTTCAGGACTTGAACTTTGCCTGCAAGGATACCCCTCGCAGCGCCAGAGCTCAAAAGATGGTCGAGCTCTTGTACGACACTGCGCTTCTAGCCAGTGGTTTCAGCCCAGAAAACCCCGCCGAATTCGGTGGTAGAGTGTACGAAATCATGGCCATGGCCCTCTCTGGCAAGAAGGACCAATCAGGTTTGGATTCAGAAGAGTCCACGGAAGATGCGCCAACAGAAGCTTCTGGTAGCGATGATGTTGAAGTTGTAGAAGCGTCTGAAGTCAGGACAGAAAATGACCCCTGGAAACAGTAAGTAGAGTCAGATAGAACAAAATATAGAGAATAGGTTAGGAAAATGTAGAGGGGATGAAATTTTGACACAACGTGGGACTGTGATCCTTCATAATGATACTAGATCTGTAGGTAGAGATGGATCAATCTTCCAATGAACGCATGTGAGCTCAGTCTGAAGTTATAATTGATGAGTTACAAAGTTTGATTCGAGTAACAAAATTTGTAGCAAACCTTTCGTCTTACTGGCGTGAGTCAACACAATGTGTTAATAAGATGCAAACACCGGCTCAATGTGATTCCCATATGCGAGTAGGAGGTCAAAAAGTGAGCTTGTGAAAGAGAATTCATTTCCACTCGATCGTAACTTATTCACTCACATGACGCGAATATTTTTTAACGACAATCTGTTTTACCGTACAAGCAAACCTTCTACTTTGTGCGCTTTGTTATGAGAATATGAAAGTTTCGGACATTGAATGTGTAGAAGAAAACCTTGCTGGCAGTCGAAGAGAATTGTAATAAAGAAAAATATAATAAAATTGTGCCAATTCCATCATAAATCTTCTCCAATACATACTAACTGATAAATGAAATCTTGACAATCCAAAAACCAAAACTGTGTACCTACTATGTTTATTGAAAATCAATTACAGTAATACTCTTGTTCAGAAAAACATCATCACTATCTTAAAGTAAGAATGAAAGGTACATATCACATAATTAATTTATATTTGTCAAATATTGAAAATTGTCATCACACTGATAAACCAACGGAGAAGTGTTATGGTGAAATTTAAAAACATAGTGTATTTAGGTTTTCATGTTATTAAGTCGATAAATCCGTTTTTGTGGTAATTTATAATATATCAGCATGCAGCAGAAATTAATTTCATTCTGTACTCTTTATTTCAAATGTTTTAGTCTTCTTTCATAACACATTAAAATCAACTCACTGTTTTGTGTTCCATTGACGGTCGCAAGAAACGCCAATAAGAATACATTTTTTTCATAACATTTGACAAACGCTATTCATATGTTAAAAAGTTTTGGATCAGTATGGATACTGTTATATCTTATCAGTTTATGATTAAATCTAAATGAGAACCAGTCATATTCATTCTTAAATATAAAAGAATTTTTTTTCAGATCTTCTTGAAACCTTGAAGAGATAAACTCACTTAGTATTCAAACAATGCAACGAGAGTCAAGGAAGCCAAACAAGATGACCAAACATAAACTTCATCTCGATTTACAATCTACATTTTGTTGACTGTTCCACATGTTGTTCCGGATGAAACTTTTTTTAAGCAATGTGTATAGGTTTTAGATATTCACAATTGATGTTGAATATAAACATTGTTAGAACGATTGGTTCAATATTTTTTAATTCACTAATAATTAATGCTAAAATACCAACTTGTATAAATGGATTATAGCAATGCATATCAAACAAAGAAAAAATGATATCCACATGATTTGATACTTGATTGCCAATTAAATTTTTTTTTTTCTTGTATTCAAACGGAAATTAACACATACACTTGAATACATAAAAATTTGCTTACCTTCACTGTTAAAATAAGTTGAAAATATACTATCACTATTTCATATAGAAAAAAATAGAGTTTTAACTTTGTACAAGAGCTGTATCTTACAAGCATAGAGTTCTAGATCGAAATTGAAATTTGTACAAAAGTTACGTTTTACAAGGATGATTTTTCTACGTTACATACTGGTTGATATTTAGTTTGAGCAAAATTTGAGCAACTCATTGTTTTTAAATTCGTGTAGTTTCTGCATTATCCAAACGTGTACTCGCGTTTTTCTGGCAAGCAAACTTGGGTTAAGAGATTTCATGTAGATTAAGCATTCGAAAGAATAGAAACCGATGGCGGTACAGAAGTCGCTCTAACTTTACTGAACGTCAGAGTTCTCGCTTGTTGACAAACGCAGAAAATGGCGGGAGATGAGCAGTCTCCATGTCGAGTCACTACTCCGTTTACGGCACCACCTCGTCCCCCGCCGCGTTTCTTTTCCGGCTTTGACAGGAGAAATGTATACTTTTCGTCCGGCCGTCCTTTGCGCGCCAACACTTCATATCCCGTGACTCCATGGCAGTGCTGCCGCAGCTGCTTATGGTCTCCTTTCTGATGTCCACAACGAGCGAGCTTACCTTCTGCCCATGGCTCTCTCTATCAGCAGTAGATTTCAAATGTCGACCTCTTTCTGGGAACTCGGAGCTCCCGTTAATTCACGTCAGTGCCCCACGGGCCTCACCTCTCAGGAACGATGAGATTGTGTTCACAAGGCTCTGCCTTGTTCCGTGCTCTTTGGACTTCTCCGTCGTTTCCTTTCCATCGATATGGAATGCGCTCTGAGCATACACGCTCGCCTCTTGTCTCGAGTTACGATTACTGGAAGCTGGTTCAGGGCTGACATACTCCCCTTCTAGAATAGGATGAAGCGATTCATGACTTTGAAGCTCGAAATTGCGTTCGAGAGGAGAGGAGGTCACACTGTTGAGAGTTTTTTTTGGCCGTTATGAGTCGAATGGAGGTGAGTGTTATACTTTTGACGTTTCCTCTTTGAGAAAAGAAAAACTTTTCGCTTTCCTTCCACTTGACAAACGTCCAGACTGTATTCTTGTTTGCGCTGGCTAGAATTGCGAGGACTGGCCTTCAATCATACACTCCTCCGAATTTCTGAGTGTAAAGTCTTACAGCAGTCGTGACTCAAACTGTCTGTTCGGAAATCATGGATTGGCTCAGATAACATTTTACTGAGACTTTATACGCTTCGTCTGTCTTTCAGGTGTGAAGATGATTCTTCCGCCGAATTTCTATTCGGCCAATGCGATTCGAGACAATTTGAACGAACAGAGTTTGAGGCTGTGGAGGCACAGATTCGAGGGAAGTTAGGGGTTCAGGGTTTTGGGACACAGTCTTGCAAAGAGGTAGAAGCTTGAAGGCATTCGCTGCTCCTTCTCTCAGTGCTCGGTGTCGTATTCATGGAGAAACGGGAGAAGAAGGCACGTAAGGTCTCGGTTCCTTACGATCGTCCTCCTGCTGAGCGGCGCTCCACGAGAAGCAACACTCAGTCGATGAAATTGCGAGCTCAAGTGGAGCAAGTGCAAAGCGAGAAGGTGGTGGAGAAACCCTCAGAATTCTCACTCGAGGTCCCTGATCCCTGTGCCTGCACTGCTGCAGACCTAATTCTGAATCCGGAATTCCGCTCCAGACGGATGGATCGGTCCCTCGAGGAGAATCTCCTTGCTTTTCTCGATACCAGCGGCAACGTAGACCCCGACGAATCCCTGGAAGACAAGTTGGCGTTCCTTGAAGCCACGCACGCCATGTGCGTCGTGCCAACGGTGGCGCACGTGCCAACGCCCAAAATATGCCAGGCCATCTTGCGTTTCATACAGGATTGCCATTCTGTGGGATTGACAATGCACAGCTTTCAGATCTTGACGGACTTGGAAAGGAGGCACCCACGAGTCGCAATCAGAGAAGAGATGAGTTCGGATTTGAGCCATAAATTGTTGGAGCTTGTGGTCAATCCGAGGGTCTGGTCACCCGTGGAAGAAAGTTGTATACAAATGTCTGAACCTGACTGGCAGTTGGCCACTGTCTCTCCAGTCTCCTATAATCTGTTTGTTCTGGTGGATACAATAGCGAAAAGGTTACGGGGATCGGAGAAGCCCGGGAGAAGGAAGCCCGCCTCGGAATCTATGCGGTGCATTGGAAAGTCTGTCGTGGTACTAACTCAGTTTTTGATGCTCCAGCATTTGATGAGCTTGATACAAACCGACTTTCTTTGTCGGATGAAGATGTTCGACTCTTCCAGTGAATGCAAGAATTTCACTCCCGTGCAAGAGTCCTTCATTTACAGACTTCTATCTTCCTGCAGTCAACAGGAGAAAAAGTCCTTCTTGATGAATTTGAACACTATCATGGATCCTACCGTACTCGGCGAGCAGGAGGAGGGAAGTGAGGATTGCAATTCCACATTATGTTGTACGAAGCCATTCAACAATCAGGCGACATATATTGGAAATAACCAATACAGTACGACGGCAGCACTGCTGGGAACTCTAAGGGACTTTGCGCAGTTGGCTTCGAGCGTCCTGGTTCTGATAATGAAGGTCGATCATCTGAATCACGAGTTCTGTGGCACCGGGGCAACATCAACGCGGAGGAGCAGGTTCCTGTTTGACAATCTTTTGGACATATGCTCGACATCAAGGTCTCTCGATGCCTACTTGAAAGCAGTTTCCGAACCGAATGCGAAATTGAGATTTGTGGTGGACTATTTCATTAACTTGGCTCCCAAGCCGGTGGTAAAGCGCCTCGTTGATTGTAATCCGACGGAGTACATGGAAAATTTACTGTCCTGCTTTACTGATCAGAAAATTTTGAGGGCGGTGGTCAAGGTCTTTAAGGAGGAGGAAACCCTTCCCACTCTCCTTTCGCATGCATTCCAGGCATTTCTCCTTCTGCACCGGCAGCAGGAAGATAATGCCACTGAACAGACCAAGGGCAATCATCAGGAGAGGCGGACTGCAATTTGCAAGGCGATGGCCATCGCTATGAATAATCTGCAGGCCATTGAGCGACTGGAAAAAATACTCCCAATTGTGGAGCAGGCCTTGTTCGTCGCCGGCAGGATATCCTGCTCGTAGTTTCTTTCAAGATCCGATGTGCAGTTGAGACTTAGAATGGCAGATCCAGTTATTGGGGTCTGCATATGTCGGGCTTTTGCTCAGACCAATGCCATACAGTTGTACGGGGCATCGAACCAGGTCATGGCCTGCCAGGCCACGACGTTCTTTCAAAATCATTGAAATGGACTTGCGACTGAGGCTGGAGGTTTTGAGCATTCATTATCTGTTCCGAACAGATCGCACGAACGCTTTGAACAGAACTCATCACTTACACGTATTTAAGTTTATGGGAGATGACGTTTGGTGGAACGTGTAAGTTCCAAGTCTCATTTGGGCCTAGGCTGGATCAGTGGCGTAATCGAACGAGATGGAAATCCTCTGACCTCTCCAGAAAACCACTCTTTGTGTCAAATCAGAAAATTGTCCTTGGACATTGTGCGACGCGGAAAGAAGAAGGGTCGAAGTTTGTGCTCATCTCGTTTTGGATTCTCATCTTGATCGGCGAAATGTACAGCTCCTTGTCCCACTGTTGTCTTGTGCCGCAACACAAAGCAATGTAAGAAGGACGAAGAGACATAATCCCGTTTTGGGTTAATTCAGACACGAGGACTGCGCAGCCTCGTTCACCTCTGACGTAACTTGTACCCAGCCTTCTGCTTTCACGAGTCTCGGCACTAGCTTCGCCAACGGCCACGGCATGTATTGGATGCACATGGCATGACCTCATTCCCGTGCAGTGGAATGAGGACGCTCTGCTCTTTGTGGAGAATCGGCTCAATGCACAACAGCAGCAAGAAACACGAAATGTATTACTGTTTCTGAAACCTTCGTTAAACCCTAAACCCTGCCCCTGTCGGTTCTCGATCAGGTTTCATCTCTGTGTAACACGTGAACGTCTCGAAGGGAATGTGAGATGCACGCAATGAAGAGCCTCATGAATCATGAGAAACTCGATTTCGAAGCAAAAGCCGGAGCATGCCAGACAGACAGAAAGCGACTCCATATCCTTCGTCTTGATGCACTGTGTCTCCAACCCCACCTATCTATAATAACACCAGGCTCAGAACAATTATCAGCTCAATACAACCTCCCAAAATGATCTCTCATTGATAGCAGAGGTTAGGGCCATTGTTATCCAGTATGTGAAAGTGCGGTTGCAATGAGACAAGAATTATAATGCACCGCTAGTTTAGAGCCCAATACTATCAAACAAGCCTCTTTGTATTTCATGGTATTTACATGTCAAGTAGGGTGAAGACACATCTGTCCCACACACGACATACATATCTTCAGATTTCGGAATAACCACAAAATCTATATAGCTATTCCACTTGCATGGTGTTGTTGATGACAGTTATATCTTCGAGTCTTAGTACAGTTCCACTTGAATATGTATGATTGTTCGACATGTGAGGATATATACTAGTTGTCTCAAGATACACAAAAAATCTCGCGCAGTTGTAAAAATGACACTTTGATCTCCAAAATAACATAGTGCCAGATGTGTCACTTATGCACTTAAATTTTTTTTTTTACTACACTTGTATATGGTCATGCTATAGGCTGAAGTTGACATCAAACCTTATCCAAATCATATCGTTCATGTGGATTAAGGTGGAATAGGTGATGAAATTATTGGAAGTACTCGTCATCAACCATCAGTGTCTGCATTTGACTAAGCATGAACATGTGAGTCATCATGCATAATGTATGGGAACCTCTATGAGTGCTGTCATAATGTTGATACTCTACTAATTGCTAGATTCTACAAAGGTGGATGTAGGTATCTTTGACTTCATGGAAAAGACTGCAAGAGACAAGGTATTCACTCCACTTATTGAAAGTTCTAATTATAGAGTAACATTCACAAATGCACAATTTGTAGTACGACATAAGATTAATCAAGTCTCAAATATCTATAATGTGAATGAAGCATAATACTCCATGAGAAAAATATCCATGCCTTAAAAAATTTGGACGACATTTGTATATGACACCTGGCTAAAGTGGCCTTAGGTAATCCCAACTCCCAATGTACATATTCTCATGAAACATCTAGACCATTATGTTATCAAAATCAGCAAGTTTAGCCATGACAAAAAAGTAAGTGGCACCACTTTAGCGAATTATGACGGATACAAGAAGATACCCAAGAACACTAAGCGTTTATGCATGGATAATGCATTCCCATTGAAAACCTAAAATACTATGTGCATTAATGTGTTGTCCATGTACATAGTTATGCATGTATTGCACAACCATAATATATATACACACACATGTGGTTGTGCACACACATATTGCACCATATACTGAAATCATAGCGTCTCAAAATAAAATAGGTTTCTTTATTTTTTTATATTCACAAAACAAATTACCTCTCAACAATCGACCGATCAGCGACATATTCGAATTGAATACTGCTGGGAGTGATCATTAGTTGACTTTAGACATTACATTAAAAATGTAATTTCGGGCAATTTTTCTAAATTTAATGCACTATCAAAACAGATGCCACTCGAAGTATTCCGACGTCTGGACCTGAAAGTGTCATACGCACTGCAGTTACTCGTCTTTCTCCACGTCAATCTACTACGTGAAAATCGTTCACTTGTATGCAGTAATGTATAGGAAAATGAACCTACAGTCATTGTTCTGTTAATTTTAAACATTTTGGGGACTAATCCATGTGACCTGCCGGTGACCGGTGGAATGCCTCTAAGAAGAAGATGAGAAATTCGTTTCTTCCGTTCTCGTGCATGTGAAAGCCCGAACGATATCAAGAATAAACTGGCTGCCAAACGTCCGGAAACGCAAGCGGATCGGAAAGGGCTTCTTGGCTCAGAATGCTCACGGACGTTTTCTTCAATGCATTCACGGGAACGTGGTCCGACGCCGCACAGCTGAACGACGCAGAAAAACGCTCGACCACGTCAGAGTCAGAAAAATCAAGTATAATATTTTACGAGGTCATTCTTGGATGTGACCACAGTTCATGTCTCTCCGCCATCAGACGTTTTCTTCAATGCATTCACTGGAACGTGGTCCGACGCCGCACAGCTGAACGACGCAGAAAAACGCTCGACCACGTCAGAGTCAGAAAAATCAAGTATAAAAATTTAACGAGGTCATTCTTGGATGTGACCACAGTTCATGTCTCTCCGCCATCAGACGTTTTCTTCAATGCATTCACTGGAACGTGGTCCGACGCCGCACAGCTGAACGACGCAGAAAAACGCTCGACGACGTCAGAGTCAGAAACATCGTATAAAATGTTACGAGGTCATTCTTTGATGTGACCACAGTTCATGTCTCTCCGCCATTCTTAGGATCAGCTGATGGTGTTCCGATCGTCAGGATCTGAGCGTCGATCGATTCCTGGGCCATTTCGATCGCTTGGTTTCCGAGAATCTCCTGGGGACGACGATTCACTATATTCTCTCCTGCTCACTGCGAATTGCGAATTGCGCGGTCTGTGAAGTCGACATCATAATCAACCTGCCACGGCAACGAGAGAAAGGTGTGCAGGGCGGGCGGGCCTACATGACATGACCGCGTCTTTGTTTGGTAGCTGCTGAAATGCTTCACGATGAAACTGCTGCCCGCTTCCTTTTTGACTGATTCAGTCGAGCTACTGTCGATGGTTTCGGTTTCGGCAGCAGCTGCAGTCGACGTGAATTTCGGTTCTCGGATTCGGATTTGGTCGCAGAAAATCTGAATCTGCAGCTGCATCTGCGCCTGAAGCGTTCGAACCTTTGAGACAACTCCCAAAGCTTGAAACCACGACTCCAACTCTCAGCTGCAGTCCCCTTTGTGTGGTACAGGCCTACCTACAGTATCGTCTCCAGCTATGACGTCGTCTTGACATTTGATACTCAGTAAGTCGAGGTGTCACACCAATCGAATATAATATTACGAGAAAGGAGGTCAATTCTGCACAAGTCAGAGCGCGCTCGACAATGCACGTCCTCGTGATGGTCTTCGCACTAGAACCTTGACATTGACCGGTGCGTTGTGTCTAGATCATCGTCGAGACGAAGGTACAATGGAGACGACGAGAGCGTCTCTATGGCCTTCGTGGCGAGTACTCCTGGCCGCCATCAGTGTCACTGCAATTCTCGAACCAGTTCCTGCGCTCGGATTGTGCGAGTGTCTGACGGGGTTTGAGTGTCCGACGGGGTTTTTTAATTTCGGGGACTCGCTCACTGACACTGGCAACAATGCGAACGCATTCCCCGTTCTCCTGAACTACGAACTGCCACCGTACGGCGAGAATTTCTTCCGAAAACCATCCAAGCGCGTGACGAATGGCCGCGTCGTGCCTGATTTTTTCTGTGAGTGCCACGTGAACTTCCGACATCGCTTTCCATTCTGCGTTGCCAGGGCAGAATAAGATGATGCTCTCCTCAACAGATGCTGCCATTTCTCTCATCCTTGGCAATGCGGTTGCATGGCGAGACTGATCAACCTGTGTGCATATTCTGGTGTCCGACTGGCTCCATGATGGCGTTCCCCGGAAGAGAAATTGGCCTCTAGAAGAGATTCAGTTCAAGTCGGTCAATCGATTAGGGCTTTGTTTCGAATCTTGGTCGAATTAATTTTGGTCAATCATTGAGAGTAGGGCATGGTAGCTCCAGCACCTGCATTGCGCGGTTGATGTTCGCAACTCAGCAGATTTTCTGACATTCTAGGTCCTAATTCGCTCTCGTGCGTTCGGTGCACAGCTCTGGCTTTCAGGAAAGCACTTTTGCAGCCATACACGCAGGTCGGTGCATTCGACTACCGCCACGGAGTCAACTTTGCGGCTAGTGGAGCGACGGCTTCGACCGATCAAACGCACACGCCATTCTATTTGTCGTTCCAGATTGCCCAGTTCGTCCTCTTCAAACAAACCACAGAGGCTCAAACCCGTCAATCACGTGAGACATTCTTGCCCTTTTGCGCATTTTCGTGACTGCAGCACAAGCATGGAGAGATGAATGGGCTTGATTGAATTCGCGGTAGAGCTACCGAGTGATGTGCTTGAAATACCGATTTGTGGCCTCGATCGAGCAATGTGCTTGTGCAGAATGCTTTCCATGGGACCTCAGGCTGCCGAGGAGCGATGTCTTTCAGAAAGCCTTGTACACCATCGAAATCGGAGGCAACGACATGATTTACGCCAGCATAGCCAAGCGCAGCCCGTCATTTATTCTTAATGTTACGATACCTGGGGCCATGAAAAACTATGCCGATGGAGTCAAGGTAAGAAAGATCATTCCTCTCGATGCATCACATCTTCACCACCTCCGTCAGTACAGTTGCTGTCTGGAGCACCTTCCTAAACTAGCAAGTGCTGATTGATGATCGATGTACAAAAGTGATCAACCTCCGTAGTCACCGGCCGCGAGTGATCTCGAGCTTCTTCAAAGCGTCAGGACCGTGCACCTTGAGCTGCGGTGCCTTTGGCACTGCTGGGAATAGCATTGAGCTTTCCATATTGGGCACAGAGCACTTTGTACATGTCTGGGGTCTGTTTGTAAATGGCAGTGTCAGAAGGGTCGTGAATTGGAGCTGGGCGGAGGAGGCTGACATTGCATGAGAAATTCGATGCATGTGCAGACCTTGTACAAGCACGGTGCCAGACGGTTTCTCTTCTTCCTGGTTCCGAACGCAGGCTGTGCGACCATAATCGTGACTCTGTTCGGAGAGCATGCCGAGCTCGACGACATGGGTTGTGTAAAAGCAGTCAACGAGGTCGATCAAGCCTACAACGCTGCCTTGCGCTCAACTGTCGAGATCCTGCGAGCTGAATGCCCCGATGCCAGCATGGACATCTTCGATTACTATGCCGCAAATCTGGAGATTCTGAAGAACCCAGTTGAATACGGTAAAATGTTCACTCTCGGTCGAGGTCTCCGACATTGAGTTGATTGAGTGACGATCATGTCCAGCAGAGTTTTCGTGCACTTGTGTTGCAGTCCAAGATGAAGGAATCTCAGTAGACGATTCGTGTGTGACAGGATTCAATCCGAGTTTAACGAAGACTGCGTGCTGCGGAGCTCCGGGAGTCGGACCCTTCAATTACAACCCTTCTAAGGCTTGTGGCCTTCATGGTTCCTCCAAATGTGCGAACCCGGAGGAGCACGTGAACTGGGATGGAGTGCATTTCACCGAAGCTTTCTACCGACTCATAGCTATGTTCGCTCTCAGTGGCAAGTTTACCGATTTTGGTATCGATTACTCCTCCAGGTGTCACCTGGATTACTCACTTTTTGGCACTTCTGTGACATACGAGGAGGCTTATCCCGGTTCCTGCAAAGTAGCGCTAGATCGAGAACCATCTTCAGTCCCCTCGCATTCGGGAACTTTCGCCCTTTGAGAAGCTAGCATCAATTCATTCTATAGTAAAACTAGGAATTGGGGAAGATGTCAATTTGGGGCCTTTTACTCACCAGACGGTCGTTCTACCACCATACTTCCGGCATGATGCTCGCTCTAACTGACGACAGCCGGGCTTGTTAGAAGTGCCTTCAATTTGGTGCAATTTCGAAAGTTCTCGAACACCTTCTGTATAAAACATCCAGTCACGTCTTGTACCTCGTTCAGTCTCTAGCTCTGGAAGGAAAGGGCTTCGTTCCTCATTTACATGCACACGCTGTTCTTTACTTGCACCCTGAAATCATGTTTGGGGCGCACGGAAAATCACATGTCATGGCATTTGTCCATCTCCAAGGAAGTGAACATGTGACTCTGCAGCCAACTCGGCAATTTGGCAATTTGGTAACATCTCCGTACGGGGTCCATTAGTAAAGGCAGGTCTCTCTCTCGCTGAATGAGCACCTCGTCGACGACAGTGACTTCTTGCTCTCTAAACAAATACTGCTCCTCGAAACAACATGTCAAAATTAGCTCAAATTTCCTTCTCGCAGGGGTCTACCATCGCTACGTCCACACAGCATCCACTCTAGCGAACGACGCCAAATATCTCCCACAAATATTATCGCTACCTATCTTATGGACAGAAACATGGTCTGGAAGTCATCAATCGACCTGATCTGGATGCCCTGGACTTTCTATCCTCGTCTACTATCCTATCCGGTGTACATGATAACACCTCCACCCCACTCCAGAACCAAAGCGGGCAGTCTCTTCATGCTACGCCATGAGACAAATTTCTGATTATATTTGCACCTACAACTGCCAATCAGGTCGTTCATCATATATACTTCAGAGTCAAAGTAGATGTGATTTGCACATGATTCGGGCCGGTTCGGTAAGGTTCGAAAATGAGTACGTGTGAGATCCAAACTTGGATACGTAGCACAAGTGATAGTCGCCCGCATTAGGGAGAAATATTGCCAGTGACGGATTTGTCAAATCAGATCGAAACATTGAACGAATCGACTGCGATGTTCATTCACTCGCCGACCGCTCGACCTACGGCCAGTATCAGGCCCTTACCTCAAATTTGACAACCTAGGCAGTAACAAGCTCAATCAATCCTTCATATCCTAAACCTGACTTAACTGTCATTTCTCCGGGCAATCAGTGTGCTCCCCATCCGCTCGCTTCCATCCTTCGACTTACTTTCTTCGTTGCCACTCGTTACCAGCAGACAGATTCGTTTCCCTGCTGCTCCGCTCCGCAAAGGCTCAACAAGCAATCGATCTACTTATACGCAAAAAAAGGCGGACATCTAATTACAGAAAATTCTCAGCACAGAAGCAAACCAGACAGATATGAATAGCATGACTGTCCATTATGTGAAAGCAGAGACACAAGTCGAGGAATCGAAGTAGCCCTCAAGTGACCCCACAAATTGGAATTCGGCGAGGGTCCGAAACATCACAGCATTTTGGCACGCTTCTATTTCCCACCAAACAGACGAATTACCACCAGCAATTCAGCAAACCCATGATTCCAGGTCAATACATGAAAACCACAATCGATATTTCGTCGTCGGACCCTAACGCTGCCATAGCTCCTGCGCAGAGAAATCCAGAAACAATTGCAGAGCTGGAACAAAGTAATTGATGAACAAAAACGATTCCGAGACCATCCGCAGAACCCTAAGTGGATGCTCCACTTACAAGAACGCCGTCCAGAGGGAGGGCGTTCATACAAGAGCAAAAAGTTCTAATAATATGGTAATGATATGGTACAAGAACGCGGCGGCATGGCCCATATAGTGAGCAAGTTCCACTTTAGGGTTCCTTTTACATCGTCTCTCTCTCTGAAGAGAAGTCGAAGAATTGTCGAAAGACACAAGAAATTGAGGTTCCTGATTCGAGTGCAAGAGGTTGAGTCATGGCGGAACGAGGGGGTGAGAGAGGTGGGTTCGGAAGGGGATTCGGCCGAGGTGACAGAGGCGATAGGGGAGGTAGAGGTGACAGGGGAAGAGGCGACAGAGGTCGCGGTCGCCGAGGCCCGAAGAGAGAGGAGGAGGAGAAGTGGGTGCCAGTAACGAAGCTCGGAAGGCTCGTGAAGGATGGCAAGATCAAGTCCCTGGAGCAGATCTATCTTTTCTCTCTGCCCATCAAGGAACACCAGATTGTTGAGTTTTTCCTCGGCCCGGCTCTGAAGGACGAGGTCATGAAGATCATGCCCGTTCAAAAGCAGACCCGTGCTGGACAGAGGACGAGATTCAAAGCTTTCGTCGTCGTTGGAGACAGCAATGGACATGTCGGCTTGGGTGTGAAGTGCAGCAAGGAGGTCGCTACCGCCATCCGTGGTGCAATCATTTTGGCTAAGTTGTCTGTCATCCCCGTCCGAAGAGGTTACTGGGGTAACAAGATCGGAAAGCCCCACACAGTACCTTGCAAGGTAACTGGAAAGTGTGGTTCCGTCACAGTGCGTCTGGTCCCTGCCCCCAGAGGTTCTGGAATCGTTGCTGCCCGTGTTCCCAAGAAGGTTTTGCAGTTCGCCGGTATTGATGATGTGTTCACTTCATCCCGGGGTTCCACGAAGACTCTCGGAAACTTTGTGAAGGTATTTGCACGACCCCACATTTTGCTCTCTTGAACCTAGCACTTCCTGGAATGAAATGTCAAATACTGGATCATCAACTGCAAGTCTTTTCATTACAGCATCTTACTCCTCCTCTGGCAGTTTTTGGTATTAACTATATGTGTACATGTCCTATATTGTCTTAGTCAAAGGAATTTGCTCTTCTTTGGTGATTGCCATAGATCTCAATTCTTGCATTCTTTTCTGATCCTGGCTGGGCCTCTACTGGTGTTTCAACAAAGGTAGAGGAGAAACATCTGACAAATTAAAGATGGAGTTAATTCTAAATTGATGTCTTTTTAAGTAAGAGATGGCTGGCGAAGTGCTCATGGGAGATGGCATTCGCCTTTCGTAATTTACTTTTGGATTATAAAGCTGGGAGTTTTCTTAACGTCAGTAGAGTTGCTAAATCACTTAGGTTTTAGGTCAGGGATCTTGAAAACGTTCTGTCCGACACATCAGGTATACCCCAGCCACATATTTCCTTCTGGTTGCGACGATTGATTCAACCAGAGAAACGCCGCCGAGCCACATTTTCCGAAGCGCGTCTCATTCGTGGCTATCGGTTTACATTTGAATGTAGTTCCGCTTAGGCTATCTGAGCTTTACTGCTTGAGCTGACAAGCTTTTGTTTGTGTTTTGGTATTCCCCGTTGCCCTAAGGCTTCTAACTCTGTGGTCAGCATATCTATTGCAACGTAGGGCTATATCGAATCTTTAAGGTTGTACCCTAACTGGAGTCTCCGAATCATCTTGAAGTGCTCACTAAATAACGTCTATGAAGACTGAGTACCTGATCTAATTGCCCAACTGAATCTTGCAGGCCACCTTCGAGTGTTTGTTGAAGACCTATGGATTTTTGACTCCCGATTTGTGGAAGGAGACCCGCTTCTCGAAGTCACCCTTCCAGGAATTCACAGACCTGTTGGCGAAACCCCACAAGATCAGTGTACTGGAGGAAGTGGACAACACCCCCACTTATTAATATGCCAAACTAGCTTCTCTGTAATCAACAGTTATGGACGAGGAGAGGATAAGGGGAGATTTTGGATCTCTGATTGTATTTAAATCCTATCAGAGTTCTGAAAATTTTTGATTCGAGCCTATACTCTGTCTTCAGTGGGCTGCAAGACATATATCGGATTCTCTTGTCGATTGTTGAATTTGGATGCAGCGAGGTCGGACAGGTCAAAGCTTAGTGGTATGTAATTTGCACGTGTAGTAACATGGGCAAAGAACTGGTTGAGCATCAGACGGCAACTGAGCAAGCTGGATATGGACATACATTATTTGGAATCTTTGAAGGTAAAGGTTCCGGAGAGTCTCACAATTACCACGTAAAGGAAGTTACAAGGATACACAGAATCGCCGCTTCTGGGAAGCGATTACAAAAGCAGAAACTGTAGGTGGCTTGGTTTTTCATAAGAGGAATGTCGCCATTTTGAGAAGGTTGGTTTGTCATGTGGGAGTCACTTTTGTGGGCTACTATTGTTGCATATACAAAACTGGGCGACCCGAGGGTGAAATGTAGTATCCATGTCTTTCGATGTGAGGAGGATACTACTCGAATGTGTTTGTAAGTCAAGGTTTATGCTTCAGTCTTATGTAGACATCATTGCCATAGACCTCGCGAAGTGATCTGCTACTTAAGTAGCAGTCCATTGCGAGGGGTGCCTGCACCGCGTTTAAAATTCAAGAGAAAGAGAAAATTCACACATTTACTGTAGGAAGACACCTCAACTTTTATTACGTAAGAAAAAACTCAATAATGTGCGACAGTAAGTGAAGCAAACGGCGTTTATATATACGATCGTTATTCTGAAAATTGTAGACGGGAAATCATTTGTTGCTCCCCTACACCTCTGTCAAGTTCGTCTCGATGGTTTATGTATTGAGCTATCTTACTCATTCTCGGGTTGTCAAGAGAAGTAAAGTGGTGAGTATAGAGAACCAAATCGCGGATTGTATTTAATTATGTAGTAACCCAAATTGATGCTGCGACATGCCTCTAAAGCAGGTGCACCATACACACATGAACCATTATTTCTGTTTATTGTAACACGATGGTTTACATACTCAGCTACATTTCTCATTCTCGGGTTGTCAAGCGAAGTGAAGAAGTGAGTGTAGAGAACCAAACCGCAGATGATATCTACCTATGTAGTAACCCAAATCGTTCCTGCGATATCCCTCTTAAGCACGTGCACCATTCCTACATGAACCATTATTTCTGTTCATCTTAACACGTAGCATACTGAACTTGCAACGATCGTTAGTGGAAAATCTATTGAGTTACTTACTTGATGCAACCCCACATGAACCGTTAGTGTACATGGGACCTTCCACGTAAAGCATGTTTTAATATCAACAGAAGGTGAAGATTATGAAAACTGAGACAGCTACAATATCTCGTAGTCCTCATTGAATCGCCCATATCTTCACTCATCTTAATCAGACCCGGACACTTCTTCGTCCTATACTTCCACATTGCACCAAAATTTGTAAAATTACGTGACACTTGAATTCTCAAGTACTCAGTAAATCACTCAAATCTTCATTCATCGCAATCAAACCCGGACATTTCTTCGTCCAATACTTACACATTGCACCAAAATTTGTAAAATTACCTAACATTTGAATTCTCAAGTACTCATTGAATCATCTCAAATCTTCATTCATCGCAATCAAACCCGGAAGGAATCTCAATATACATATATTGGGTTGTATCGCGAGTTTTTGAAATGAAAAAGAAAAATTGGTCGGGTCTGGTAGTCAAAAGTATGTGATGCCTCTAGAATCGCAATTTCTTAGTCTGATACTTCCACATTGTATCAAAATTTGTATAATTACATGGCACTTGAATTCTCAAGTCCTCAACTTACTTCCCCTGTGAATTTCTTTCAAAGATTCCACACATCCGCTGTTGCACACCGAGTCAATATTTTGACAACTCAAAACCTAAAAACTGAGCGATGTTGTTCACCGAGTCAATTTTTTGAGAACTCAAAACCTAAAACCTCTATGCACTTATGACAATGTCTATCACAATTCATCTTATTGGATTGCATCCATACTGTTATGAATAAACAATAATAAAATTTGTCTCTAACATATGATTTTGTCAGAGAATGTATTTATAGAGCTTCAAAGCTCCATTCATCTTGAAAGCTAAGTATGTTAAGTTTTGGACTAGAACATATGAAAATGATGTTTGATATTTATCATCAATAAGAGTTTGTCATTTGCTATAATTAAAATTGATTTACAGTTTGTGATGAATATTGAGTTAGGAAACAGTATTATTAAATAAAATTTTATGTCATAATTCACAATTCCAAAGTGTTACTTGAGTATGTCAAGATTAAAATTTGAATGATATTAACCAAAATGAATCATTTCTAAAATTTTACTCTGTATTATTAATGAATGTTTATTCAAGATTTGTGTGAATCTCTTTTCAAATATAAAACATTTAATGCAATGATATTTGCAACATTTAATGAATCCAATTTCAATACAAACATTTAATGCTAAAAATTGATCAAATTTTTCAATAATCTAGCTAGATTCACTCTTTTTTCCTGAAATTCAAAATATTACATAAAAAATAAAGAATAAAAATTACAATATTATTAAATTTAATAAATATAGATTTTACAATTAAAAATTATGAGATGATCCATCCATTTTTGAAGTTTAGAGTATGAGAATGATATTAGCAATATTAAAAGATGAAAAATCTTGATTTTTATAAAGAATTCAAAGCTTATATCAAAGCTGAAAATTTGCTATCCAGACTGTGATAAAAAAATCTTCAAATTCATGTGAGTAATTTCAAACAAGATAAAATTATAAATTACAAGCAAATTTTCTTATGTAGCAAAATATGTTAGATATTGATTGATATGGATATATGATGTAATATTTGATTTGATTGTGAACTAGGTGGATAAATTCACAATAATTGTTATGTATTTTTTGAAAAAAAAATACATTGTGTAGTCAGTTATCTTTGAAAATTATTTTATAAGAATTTGATTTGTATAACGTTATAATAATTGTATGAATTAAATCAAACTCACAAATAATAGAATTTAAAAATTGATGAATTCATGATTTTTATATGTCACATTCAAATAAATTTACATTGATTTGTTGTAAATTATGATTCACTATAAAATTTGATATTTTATTGATAGTTAAGTAGATAATGCTCATTCTTACTCATATCATATTATTTTTACACCTTTTATAAATGTTATATATAATTAATTTTAAATCCATATTTGATAATGATAAAATAGATGAAGCGATATTTTGTAAAATTGTATAGTTAAATTAACTACAAAATTAAAATTTTTTTGGGATAAAAAATAGCAAAAGATATACAACCTAAACTTGATAATATCACACCATCTATTTCACCAAAAAATGTGATATAAACAAGGAGTGACATTTTCGATGATGTCACATTTTGTGCATAATGTGATATTATTAAAAAAAAACTCAAAAAAATTTACAATATAAAAAAAAAACAACAAATGAAAATATTCAAACAACCACAGTTAGTGAGTGCGCAAGATTGTTTATCCAGATTTTCTACATATCTAATCAGACCAAGAAATGGACATACAAATACTACGTATTTCTGGTCAGCCGTTGCTTGTCGATTTTTATGCAATATTGTCATTGAACAAGTTTAATGGTCGAATCTATCTAAGGCAACAAGCCTTTGAGGATTACAAAAAAATTTTATAGTGACAAACGTTTCAAAAATGTCAATACTGGACAGCGAGAATCGACAATCCGAAGCTTACGAGCAAAAAAGGAAGAAATGCTATTAGGCGGGCTGAACATTTAAATATTCTAAACCGGAGCTACCACAAGATACTGTAAGGCCTTTTGCTCTCTAAGGGCGTCCTAGCTTTGGCAGCCCTACCGTTACCCGATTGAAACTTGCTGCTCCCGAATAAGCCATATTACTATGGCGCCTCTACAAGTTGAGCCTCTTCTGAGAACCAATAACACGTAAATCATGTAAAACTAAAGCATTCACATTTCATCGCGAATTCATCTTCCTCTCAACTCGAACCCTCCGTACACACTAGCTTATCGCGAAATCATCTTCCTTGCAGCTCGACACCTCGTCCACGTACAAGCAAGTAGCATTTCATTTATTGTATCACAAGGAAGGTTTATGATACTACATGTCCAACTGTCACATGTAATCCATTCATATTTGATATTATCACGCTTACATTAGAAATTTTGGAAAAAAATAGTGACATTATCAAGGGTGATAGTGATATTAAAGAGGGAATTTTACACTAGGGAAATCGGTTTTGAACTTTTATGTGACAATATCAAGGTGTTCTATTACAAGTGTGACATTATCAAGGTTAGGGTGCAATTTGATTCATCAAGATGAATCAACAGATTTTTAATTTTATTGTGATTTTTATAATGCATTATATTTTGCAAAAACATTAAATGTTAGATAGTATGATCAATTTCTTCTACATCAAATTTCAATTTTTAAAATTGACGGTAAACTCAATTCAATTGATGCATTAATCAAAATTACTTCTTTAAAAATTTTTGAATTACAGTAACTTCCCCCTTAAATATGTACCTGTTTAAGTACGTATTCCGATTAAGTACGCAATTCTTTTTCAAAATAAACTAGGTTCATGAAAAGTCAAAAGAATTGTACTAACAAAATAGCAAAGAAAGAAATAGTGAAAAAAAAAGTAAAAAGCAAAACAATCATTCCACTCATCTGTACATAGATCGAGTTCGTTTCATCATGTACCATTACATCATCAAGGCCTAACACTTTATTCGAGGCTTCGCCTATCAATTACAACTCTAAACATAATTCAGATTCCAGTAAGTTTAGTTCCACTAAGTGATTGCTTAAGTAACTTAGCCTACGATCTTGATTGTTTCCTCTTGACTTTGGACCGTAACACCAAAAGATTGTATGTACAAACTCATTGATATGCATTCAGAGTTGCCTTGGAGTGGTCAAAGATCATGATAAAAATATAAATATACATATATGAATGATCCAAATGAAGTAAGAATCAGAATTGAGCGTGGTAAGAGTCAAATGATTCAGTAGCGTTAAATAGATCATCTTCAAGTTTGTTGAAAGAGAGTTTTTACAAGTTAAAAGAGAAAGAATTTGTGTTCGTCCTAGCTCCGATACAAAAACTTAGGTCCATGGACGGTTTTTGAGAATGCGTGGACGCTTGACTGCATGCATTATAAACTTGGCGCTAAGAAATGTTGATGATTTTACGAGCACAGCAAGTTACTTCTTGGATCTCCAAAGACACAACTACAATTCATGAATTTTTTGTGGAACCTTTATTTTGTCTCTAAAATTTTTTAATCACAAATAATATCCATAGCTAATTTAATTTGAGTGAGTCTTTGGAACTACTATTAATTTACACAATCTGGGAACTTTTTGTTCACGTACTTGATCTCATTTTGAAATTCGACGCAAAACAAAACAAAACATTGTTTTGTTTGAGCTTGGACACTTCATACATAGTTCACGCTACACTCAAAGTTGCAAGCTCATATAATTGTGAACAAAACAAACAATCCTGACCTAGACCTTATTATGAACATACTTGATTCTCTTATTTACGCAACTCCATGTTAATTATGCTAAATTTTCCTAGGATCAATTTGCATATTTAACCGAGAGATTATTGTACATTATATTCTTTTGCAGATTTGCATAAGAATCACAAGTAAATTTTATAAACTTTTTATTGTGAATATATAGTATTTTCATTTGATATATTTTGACTACAGCTTCATTCAAAAAAATCTATGGGAGAATTCTTTCTAGAAACCTCTATCATCCATATGTAAAATCTATCATCAATATGATTACAATGTAAAAGAATTGATGTCAGAGTGTATATATTGAACACATAAATCAAGTAGTAGATAATTGGTATTTGATTTAGATCTTGTTAGGATTAAATTTATGATTAGTGTACCGAGTATGATTAGATTTAGTGAATCATTGTAAATGAAAGCTGGTTTTTAACTCTTTGTAACACAAGCTTAGAATTTTTGAAAAGACTTTGTGTTTTTGTAAATGTAGTGTCTTCAATGTGAAGAATAAATTTTTCTGTAGTTTGTAATGTTTTGTGTTTTTTCTTGTGATGAATATATAACAATGAAAACTTATCTTTTTTTGTTTGCTTTTAAATTTTTGTGTAAGAAGTGCAATAAATCATAAGAGCTCATTCATCTTTAGAGTTTTAATAGTGCTATCAAATCAAAATTTTTCTCACTGTTAAAAGTTCAATTCAACACGGAAAGATCACATGAAATTATCATCTACACTCATGTATTGAATGCAAAGATCCAATATGAAACATTCATGAAATTGAAGAGATGAAAAACATAATGAGATTTTGAAACGTATTTCTAGAGAACATATTGTCTAGATACGATTATCATACTCATACGATTGTTGCATGTGTTTCTGTTATAGAGAAAGTTAGTTAGTTAAAGCCTATACAAATGATGAGAATAACAAACAGGTAAATTGAGTTTACTAACTATGATTGAATATTGTAATGACAACAGATTTAAACAAAAACTTGAAGTAAATAGTTATAGATATAGATCTCAAAAAAATAATTTGAATATGAATACAAAGAAAAAAATCAAGGTTTCTAGTCATGACATTGAATGATTAAAGACTTCTTCACATAGTAAGTATAAATGCATAGGATTTTGTGTCTATTTATTATCATCATGATTTAAGAAAATGTCAAGTGAGTGTGTCTTGTGAACACCAAGCATGAATGCTTAGAGCAACTAATCACATCCAAAATTATTCATCTGCAGCATGCACAATGTAATTTATGAACACTAAGCATGAAAAACTACTTTCAATAAAGTATAAAAATGTGAACCAAAGGTATTGATATGAAATATGTCATATTTTTAAACCAATAATCTGGAAATTTTTTTATCATACTAAATTTCTTCGAGCAATAATGACTTTGTTTTTTAATAAATTGTTGAGTGGAATATAATTATAACATCTAGTATAAAGCACTACAACTGTTCAAAATAAATGCTGGCTAAGCATGGATATCATTTTGTTTCATCGTTGACTCCATGTGTAGAGGTGATCAACTAGTTGGAATTATTTGACACCTTCGATGTTGCTGGATATCCACAGCTCCAGAATCATGTCACATGTATGATATGTAGTTCCATTAATATCTCAACTTGTTATCTCAAAGGAAGTGTGGTGTTGACCTGAGGAAGATTTGAAAAGACATAGGACCATTCCCCCCATGTGAGAGGAATCTTGGTATGCCTTATATACCAACATTATTTGCCATTTAAAAAGTTTGTCTTATGAGGTTTTTATTTATTTTTTATTATTATTATTAAATTGACAATAAAATATTTTGATCCATGCTGCATCCAAGGATGATGGAGATTGTATAATCATTTTATGAAATAATACAACATGTCTATATACATTCCCAAAATCACCTTCGGTATCTACTCCTTCCGACACATGGATATGATCTGCTCATGGTATTATGTTTTCTAGGATGCACCCGGCTCAATTTTCTGGTAAGCCATTGCATAAATATACGCATACCATGATTATGAAGTCTCAAAGTGGAATGTTTCCGACATTTTTTTGAATTCAATTGTAAACTCGAAAAATCGCTTCGATGTTTTCCTTTCTGGATGAATGCAGCGCAACGACGGGTGATTGAAGTGAAATTGAATGCTGGCAAGTGTGTCGACAGCCTGAACTGCCCAGCGCCGGAATATTCGTAGGGATCCTGTCATCCGCGGTGGTCAGCGCCTCGTCCACGAGCCTGCTTAGCTGGAGCGTGGGACCCACCGGCCTACCGGAGGTGCGGGCATTATTGGCCCCCGCCAAGGGTCCTCTCCTGCCCACGTTCGGAATTCCAGTGATTTGGCCGAGCTCTGGGCCTAGCTCGCTACACGCTCGCAACGCTCCCAGAGCCCCCCGGGGCCCCTGGAAGTGGTTGAGCTTCGTCCTCCGAAACGGGGCATACGTATCGCATCTTCTTCCGTCCATGTTCTCTCACACCTTCCGAAACTCTGGCTTCAAAAGTGCAGCGACTTGTCAGGAGAACGCGCTCTCACGCCCCCAGCCCCACAACGCAGCTTGCGCTAAATTTAATGCGTTCCTGCCCTCGCGTCCCAGTTTTCGCGCACAAGGACTTAAGGCAAGGAACGACACATCGGCTGCGCAGAACTTCAGCGAAGACACCGGCCCTGGGCCATTGAAGCGATTGAAGCAATTGAGGCACTTGGATTCGATACAAACACCTCAGAGAATCGAGAATTGACCGACCCTTGACCGAAGGAACCATAGACATGGTGGGTATTCGGCTGGTGACAACAGGGACAGAGTGGCACAAGGGGCGGTTGAATAAAAATGGAGGGAAATGAAGTTCCAGTTCATTTCGGTCCACAATCCAATATATACAGAGATGAGCTGCATACTCAATTTGTTGCGTTACATCCGGAATAGTATCTACCCTCGATCTTCTGCATATTCGATCTGACCACAAATTGGTGTGGTTTTCTAAGCTTGAAAATAATGATGGTGAATCTAATAAATCATCACCAGGTTGGTCTAAGGGTCACCCACAAGACTACTACGACAGTTTCCTTCGAGCAGAAAGGTGAAACTAAATTATGAGGGGAAGACTCGAATGATTCGCTTCCTAGTACTTGGTGTAGAGGACATCCTCCCAGGGGTGACGGTACAGGGGCTGCTTCAAGCGCTTTTGGTCGAAGGTGTGCCCAATCAATCCGATACTTCTGGCTAACACAAAAAGGCCGTTCAAGTAACCAATTTCGATGATTTCATCGATTTCTTGCTGCGAAAACATGTTGCAACTCACCAGAAGATCGAGGAAAAGGGACCCGATACAACCGTCTACGTTGAGTACCAAATTCGCGGCCTTGCTCAATGTGTAATTCTCGACGGTCACAGCGTACTCCATGTATCGGACGGAGGGGAAGTGCGTCCGAGCGTACTTTTGCAGCAGCTCCACTCGCTTGTCACGGTTGTCACGGCTCTTGATTCGGTGACCGATACCGGGAACTCGGATTCCTCTCTTCTTCATGCTTTCGACGAATGCGTCGGGGGCCAGTCCCTTCTCGTATGCTTCCTTGAAGTAGCGGGCAGCGTCGTCAATGGCGCCTCCAAATCTAGGGCCGATGGTGAGCAGACCAGAAACGAGGCAAGACACCAAATCCTTCCCGGCGCGGGAGGTGACAATGGTGTTGTGTGCTCCGGATACGCAAGGGCCGTGATCCGCGCAGAGCATGATGCACATCTCGATGAATTTCGTGCAGTACCGGGGCAGACTGCGCTTGAACCAGAGCAGGGAGATGACATCTCCCAGGCCATAGTCCTTCTCGATGATGGTGGACATGGGCACACCGGCGTAGGTGGGCTCCTCGCCTCTGTCGTCGCAGATTGTGGACACAATGTGCGTCGGCGCGCGAACTCGTCCGTTCTTGATGGCCACGTTGAGATCCTCAGGAACAGCCGGGGGCTGGCTGTACTCGAGAGGAACGATGACCTTCTCCTTCACTAACGCGTCGTACGTCTCCTTGATCGCTTGCTCGAAGGACTCGAAGGAGGTGGGCACGACGGCACCGGCCAACTGCAATGCCTTGTTCTTGGCCTGAGCCGACTCCATTTCGCCACCGCTCTTGGCTCCGGCATGACCGAATTGCACCTCGGACTTGAACAGGGAGGCGCAAGTGCCGCTGACCCAGGCCACGACGGGCTTCTTGACCTTGCCCTGCTGCAGAGCTTCCACCAGAGAGTACTCGTCGCGGCCTCCCAACTCGCCCAGCACGACGATCATCTTAATCTGGGGAATGTTGTTGTAGCGAAGAACGTGATCCGACAGAGTCGATCCCGGGTACGCATCGCCTCCGATGGCTATTCCCTCGTACAAACCATCGGTGACACGGGCCAGCACATTATACAGCTCGTTGGACATACCGCCCGATTTGGAGACGAAACCGACAGATCCGGGGCGGAAGAGCTTGCAGTGGACAATGTTGTCCAAGGTGCCCGCTGTGTCACCGATCTTGAACGCACCGGCTTGAATTCCTCCGACTGTGGCCGGACCGATGACGACCTTGTTGTTGGCGCGGGCGTAGCTGATGAGCTTCTTCGCGTCGCCTTCAGGGACACCCTCGGCAATGATGGCAATAACCCTAATCGTAGGCTGGAGCAGAGCCTCCATCGAGGAGGCGAAGGCGCTTCGGAACGAGGCGAAGTTGATGAACACATCGGCCGTCGGGTGCGCTTTGCAGGCAGCGGCGATGGTGCCGTGCACGGGAACAGCGATCTCTTCCTGCCCGAAGAAGAGCTTGTGGAAGCCCTCAGACCCGGGGTTGATCACTCCTGCCACCGAAGGCGTCTCGCGGCCGCACAAGAAATCGAAATCCAGCATGCGCTGCACTGGGCTCTGCTTGTAATTATAGAACAACGCCTGCGTCGTCCTCGAGAACAGCTGCCCCGTCGACATCGTGGCGCCCCTTCCAACTCTCCTCTGATCGACCTCCTCTGCGCCCGACTACGACCTGCGGCAGTCTCTGTCGAAATGTATCGATCGATCGATCGATCGACGGGGACAACACACGACGACGTCTCTGATGAGAACTCTTCCCTTCGACTACGACGACTGCCTCGCTCCTTCGAGCTCGAGCTGCTGTGTCCTTTCCCAGTCCCTCTCGAGCTTCGTCCTTCGCGAGTGCAGGACAGGGACTGCTGGTCCGCGCGCGCACCTAATATGTGCCCGCGACCGGAGCGGGGCAGGCGGGCGGGCGGAGGAGCGGGCGGGGAGTGGCGGGGCAGACCGGACCGGACGCAGACGAGGCTCGCAGCGAAACTCTCCCGGGCCCGCGCGCTTTCGGTCTTCATGGAGAATGTCAATTCCGAACTCGTGCCTCCGACGAGCATCGGGACTGGCTGCCCTCGCGGCCCGACCCGTCCCGGCCCGTCCGTCTCGTCGCCAAGGTTGGGTTGTCGCATGTGGACGAGCCGCGGCGGGATTCTGGGCAGGTGCCTGTGAGCGCTGGGCCGTCCGCACATGACCGCCTACAGGAGCACCGGCCAGCGCCTGTGGCCTGCTGGATCCGGAGGAGAGACGACGACGGGGCGAGCCAGCCTGCCTGGCTCGGGGGGACCTCTGCTGCTACTGGGGTGCGGTGGCTGACCCACGGAGCCCCCGGGCGGGCGGGCGGGCGGGCGGGCGCCTTGCGAGGGGCGGGGCGGGGCCCGTGCGCACAGATGACATGGGGAGGGGGTCTTTTCGAACGTTTTGTTGTCACGTCGTCGCGGAGAGGGTTATTCTTCTGTGCCGACATTTTCCTCCGAGACAAAAAGGGGGTGCTCACCAGTCCGCAGGCATTAGTCTCCGACTCCGGTTGACACCGAAGGTAGACTTCCGTATACCATGTTCGAACTTATAGAGCACTTTCGCTCGATGCGAACCCTGAATTTTGCCATATTTACCGAGAAAAGTCGCGTCCAATGAAATGTACTGCAGATGGTTATGGAATGGCCCAACATTACGCATCATCTTGTTTCTACATGTCATAACGACCCAAGAGAATAATAAATCAAGTTGCATCTCACACCAATGGAGTTGGACACATGACATCACAAGTCATATGGAGTGCCCGATGTATTTACTCTTTCGCAAATGGTGCGTTCAGGAAAGAACGAAGCATATTTTAAATAACCGTGTCATGAGCTGCAATCGCTTAGAATAATGAAATATATCAAATTAGATTAATGTTATTAATCTTAATCTTACAAGTTTGAGTCGCCGCCCTTTTTGCTGTTACTCCCGTCGGGTATATACTTCCTCAGTGATTAATTGTGTTAAACGAGTTGTTTTGAACAAAGTGTTCCAATGTGACAATATGAATACATTAGAGATTTTTAAAAATAATATTACGAATGCAGTGTGTAATCTGAAATGTAGAAATCGTGTGCGGAGTGACAATAAATAGCTTGTATACAGAGAAATAATGAATAAAATTTACCTATTGATTTGAAAAAAGACTCTGATCATCAAGAATCGTCCGGCGGTTTCAATTTATGACTAGTTGAGCTTACGATTTTTCAGGCACTGGGACAGCAAAAGGTATCGAGAACTATCTGAAAATTTTCAAAATACGCATAAATTACAAAATTCTCTCTCAAAATTTACTATACCGATGGCCAAACGAGTGCTAATTAAGGGCTAATTAAATACTCTGGAACACTGAATATACTTTGAAACGAGTAAACGGAAGCAGTACCTCGTACTTAATTTGAAAGAATTCAGAGGCTCTATATGTGAAACCCAAAATGATTTTTACGATAACATTTATGGGTAAAATTTTGGGTTAAATGCGGAAATGCAAGTCGTCGGAGAATCAAATTTCACCCATTCAAGTACTGTAATCCGGATGATAATATCATCACAAAATATGACAAGCTTCGAGGTCAACCCATTAACACACATGGCGTCCTCACACTCAAGTGCATCCTCCAAAACTTCGAGCCGATCAAACGCATGGTACCAATAATGGAGGGCTCCTCGTCTACGGTGAGTCCGAGAGTAGACCAACTTTCAGCTTTAGAACCTGGAACCCTTCATCTGGCACCACAGTACAGTAAATGAGACTCCGTAATTATGATGAGCTGAACTCAAACCCGCTACTTTCAATTGCTATCATGTCCTCTCCGTTCCGAGTACGATGTACGTTTCTATTTTTAGAATACCCACCTACAATATTTCCATGACAAACAAATTATGTATTAGATAACAAAATATATTCCAGCAGTCTAGAAAAATAACACTTTAAAAAAACCTGGCCTAGACATTTTTATATCAAAGAAAATCTTCTAGCACATGCGCGTGGAAACATCCACGTCAATTTTTCTCAAATAGGTAGTGGAAAAGGAGCGCTTAGTAAAACGCATAATAGGAAACTCATTCAATATGTGCATATAAAAACATGGGAGAAATCTTCCCAGAGGTAACATGTAGTCAGGTAACATGTAGGCAAGGCCGTAGTCGGTGAGGAAGACTCCCACCAACGCCGTACTCTAAGAGAAACCACAGTTGCTCTAGAGACCGTGCAACCGAGTCTTTTCGGACCCCACGGAAGCAGGAATGGGCTGGGCCACCGGTGACTGGTGACTCGAGTGACCACGGCCTGCCGATTCCGAATACGGTCAACAAAAATGCTCGGGTGTCAACTACAGACTCGGGGTTCGAACCCGCCACACGAGATCACGGCGGACTTCACCCCGACCGTAGCATCACACACTGCCTGAGTCAAACGCAGTCGAACAGATCTAACTCGCGACCGAGACTAGCACGAACCACGTCGAGCCCGAGGTCAATCTCACGAACGAGAATGATTCGATGTCTGACTCTTGGAGTAGGTGACGTAGTGATCGAGGACTGCTAGGACTCCAGTGACTGCAGACCACTGCAGTACGTAGTACATGGGTGACCAGGACGGAGCCGGGAGTTCAGACAGGCAACTCGATGAACTCGATGAACATATGTCTTTTACAGATTCTCGTCCCCAAGCTCAGATTTCCTTTTGTTTCAGCGCTATGGATTCTCCGACGAAGCGGAGGTGCCGTCAGCACGCTCGTCACGAGCGCTAGATTCGTGACCGGAGTGGGCCACGTGTTGACCGGGTCAGGAAGGGAGTGGACTCTTTCCAGCGGAAATGGGATCGAAAATCCTGAACCACAAGCGCGAGCCTCATGAGTCTTCGGAGTTTCGATCGAGCTGGTCCGAGTCAAGCAGCCACGGTTGACCAGTTGGGCACCCACCAAACGGTGGATGCTTGAAGCTATGGATTTCCGGAGTAGAGAAATCGGTGGTAGGATGCGTCTACTCCTTCAGCAGCAGTTGCATCCAAGTCGCGATCCGACCAACCATCTTCCTCGAGTCCAGATGTTTGGATCTCGAGCTCCTTGTTTTGATAATGGAGGGTGTGTGTCTGTTAGGTGGGCCTCGGTTGAAGAAAAGAGGTCGTTCGCACTCTTCTGCAACCACAAGCCCTCGCTCGATTCATCACCTGGTGCGGGTCCCGGGTCGCCTTCAGAGACCAGCAGCAGCAGCTTACGAGCTGGTGGAGTATGCACGTGCCACGTTTTCTTCTCTTGGAGGTGAGAGAGAAACTATTCCAGCACGAATAGTTTATTCGAGCTGCACGAACCACGAAGTTTGTAATTCTTCTTCACCCTCCCCTGTTTTGCGTCTGGAGCTCGAGGCAGCTAGCATGCTCGAGTGCCGTGAGTGGATGCCATGGAAGGAGATACATGTTGAGCTATGGGTATGTTCTATCGGCTTCTGTGCATACACTACTTGTCAGCACTTGTTAGCTGGTGCCTCTCCAGTCTCTGAACGAGGGGAATCCAGATTCACGAGTAAGCAACGCAATGGCTACTCTACATACTGTTTTCTCAGGAGGCCTGATGGAGGACTGATTTTACCAATGCACTAATCGTTCGCCTCATAAGAACGATGCCACTGGATGGTCTTTCCTGCCTCGGCATTATGTATCTCTTCTTGCCTCTCACTATAAATCTCAACCTCTGCACTGAACCCATAACTTCAGGTCGTTCTTTGACAAACTGACGCTAGAAACCTCGAGCATTGGCCGAGCTACGGATGGCCGCTTCTTGTTACTACTGGCTCCAAGTGTGTTCACTCTTGCTTCTTCCATTCAAGCAGATTGCTCTCATAAGTGTGAGATCGACATACTCCAGCTTCGGCTTGATCAAATCCACCAGTAAATGTTGGGTTAAATCGCTGCTCACAAGTCGATATTGGACATGATCTCGTTGTGAGACGTCAGGTATTGGTGCAGAACCCACACTTCTGTGCAGTTCTGTAATAAAATGCATTATTGTGAGGAGGAGAATTGGGCTTTAGCCCGTTGGGAAGTCATACAGAAGTCTGTCGAGGCTAGACCCCGGAACCATTCACCGTCGAGAAGCAGTATGCCGATTCTGCACAGGAAGGAAGACCGAAGGAGGTAAGGTTTTGAACGAAGTTCTGGTGCACATATTCACCCAAATTTCAAATTTCAAATTTCATGTCTCTCTTCCGTTCGAACTCACCCGTTGTGCTTCGCGTGGGTCTAACGTGTGTCGTGGTTTCGATTCTCCAAAGCTCTTAAGTTCTTACAAGAACACTTGACAGTGCCGTGTCAAGAATTATGGCCACAGCTTCAACCGACTATGTCTTCTTAGCTTCAAATTTTTCCTCAAAGCACAGCATAGAATTTCTACCGAAAAGTTGCGGACATTTGTCGTGGATTTCTGCCGCACGATTTCATGTTGGATCAGGATCCTGGACAGCGGATTCTGGACATGACAAACGCCTGTGAAGGTGGTTCAAGCCCATCCTCTGCAGACACAACACTACCATGTTACATGAAGTGGTTCAGCTGAAGAGTCGACCAACCTCGTAACGTGGTAGGACGCAGGCTGCCTCTCATGCTGCGTGCGGACCCGGGCAACAAAAACTGCGGATCGTGCCAACCACGCCAGCAGCACGTCCGAAACTGTCCGTTTGTGACGGGAGTCATAGAAGCGTCGTGAGGGGCCGGATGTGGTCGATTCGTCGGCCTGTCTCCACGCACGCGGTGCGGAGAGAAGTGCGTTCCGTAAAATCTGAACCGAGTTTTCCGCACGCTGAAAGGAAAGGAGTGCGGTTCTGCTTTCCGGCTTTCCGGCGTACGTGTACACTTTCCAGCACTTTCGCTTTCCAGCATGGCAGTCGGACCGAGCGATCCTCTGCAGCCATGGCCAACGAACGACCATTTTCGAGCGGCATGAGGCCGCAGTTGGTCCCCTTCGTACCGTGGTTTCAACGGTACGCGAAGTTGAAGATGAACCAACGGAAACAAACCGGAAACGGAAAGAAGAACCTCGCATGCAAAGATGAACTCACTCAGTGCATTGTAAAGGTTCTGTACATTCTAGTCAACGGCAAGGATCCCGAAGATACTTCTTTGGGATCCAGCCATCCAGCCAAAAATTTTGATAAGCATCTTGCTGTCGATGCTCACGTAAAGTGGATTGCTGAGGGGGTATCGCACAATTTAATCGCCAAAGTGGTTTGGTGACAGTAATCCAAATTCCACAAGTTCCCATTAGAAGGTAAGGCTAAAATTGGATTAAGTCAGATGATGTGAAGTAAACTGGTCATTAAAATATATTAAACTTCGTAAACTTTTCATTTTATCTCAAGTTTTCATGTCACTTAGTTCATTGGAATATAATCATATAATTGAAATGTAATATTTGTACAATCAATAGGTTTGTTTTAAGTACACACATTAACCTTATTTTTTTAATGACTTGTGTGATATCTGAGATATTTGTTGTTACATAGTAACATTGATCATAAATTTACATGGGCCAAATCGTTCTTTAGTCTTATAGATGTTTCTTCATCCTAATTAATGAATATTAACACAGTTTTGATGATGAAAAATAAACACTCTAGTCAAAACTAACAAATACATCTATTGTTTATGTAGAATCATTGGAATTTTCCTTATTGAATTTATAATCATATTATATTAGTAAGAATTTGTAATTTTTCACAGAAAATGTTACAAGTGAAAATTAATGGAGCTTGCAATTTAACTTTTTTCAATCTTTTTCTTGAAAATCACTAATCTAAGAACAAGTTATTAGAATATTCCAAGATTAGATATTAGATATTATGTAATTTTTTTAAATGATTATCAATCACCGAAAAAAATATGAAATGAATTCAATATTATTCAAATATTTTAGTTACTCCCAGATAATTTTCATAAAATTAGTATAAGCTCAAGTACAATGCTTAACTTTGTAACTGGTGTATAAATTCATTGTGTTTACTACTCAATTTTTTAATAAAATTTATACTGATGTAAAAAATTTTCCAAACTAGAAGACAATATTAACAGTAAAAAAAAAAATTGATCTGGGCTTTTCGGCACTCGTGATTATCTTCACAAGAGGTCAAAAGTCGGTCAATCGAGTTTCATGCAAGATTTTTTCAATTTATGCTAGATATAGTTTGATTTGTACATGTTTGATACTGTTGTAGAGCGTGTAGTATTCGCATTCAGTGGACTAAGAGTGATTCAAGGAAGTAGAGCATAAGGAAGAAGACATATGTGATGAAGAATTCACATACTAACGAAGGATGTCACTCTAAGTGCACGTATTTTCAATAATATTCATATACTAAAAAACAACCTTGAAATAAAAGGACGGAGAGCCCAGAACCCAAAGCAAATGGTTTCCAGTACATCAATCATGTAGCTGTTTGTAGCAAGTAGTTATTCCGTGCATGTGTCTCATTCTGCTGGAGTCGCTCTCTCACTAACTAACTGCGTGTCAACCGTTCATTATTAATATTCATCATCGTCTTATTGTTTCTTCTCGTAATTCATGTTGATGATCCTTCACTTTTGGCACTCTGGCGGCAACAGTCAGGGTTACATTCGGCTCGGTGCAAGTACCACCCACCCACTAGACACGGACGTGAGTTCGACTGATCGGTGTGGAGTAGGGTTGGATCACAACCTCAAATGCATGCAGGGCGAGGGTTTTAGGGCATGATTCATTCGCATTTTTCCTTACTAACCATGCTCGTGAATACGAATCAAACAATTGAATCAAGAGAGATTATTCAACATAGCGCTTGAAAAAGATGAAAAAATTAATACGATACTAATCGATTAATTCACTTTGAAAAATCTGGAATCTACTCTGGGATGTAATGATGATATTTAGGATGAGTTTGACATATATTATAATTTCGTTAGAAACGTAGTTATAAATGTCATCGAGTGGAGACCGAGAAAAAAAATAGATGAAGAAAATTTTTATGTAAATGATTTGATATCGAGGATGGTAATCGAGGATGGTACGGCATATAATCAAGGTCAAAGAACAACAAATATGTATCTATATAAGTCTATGACTCTTCATTCGTTTATAGTGTATTATAGGCATGCCTTTGATCTTGAAAGTCTATAGTCTTTGAGAAAATTAGTTGTGACTCAACACTAGTGCGGAGTCTCTTGAGAATAGTAAATTAGATGCACGAAGAATCCAAGTGCAAGTTTACAAACACTTGGAAGATGAAGGTCGTCCATGTACGCGCTGCAGATGAGGATGCAAAGTACGGTCGCAGGCCAGACTCAAAACCAGCTCGGAAAGGGAATCGGAGGCACGATGTTCGGCCTCAAACTGGAAAGACCATGCAGCACGGCATACCTTCCGCCGTCTATGCACCGGTAGTCCCGGTCTACACGGTCGTGGACCCAGATGGCCAATCTGGAACGTAAGTTGGGATCTGCTCGAATGCAGCTCGATGCACGTGAGTCGGACCTCGTACCATATTCTGTATTCCAGTCGTCCCTGCAAGCTTACACTGCACCGCAGCGAGAGATCTAGCGTCATATGGGTGTGGATTATATGCGATTTGACGGAGGAAATCACACTTCATGAGGACCCAGAATAGATTCTCGAGCATCCCGTCTGCCATGAACTCCATGGCAGTACACTGTAAAGTGAAAGGGCCCAAGAGCTTGACTCCCGCTCAGAGCTTGCTAGGGTTCTCTGCAGTGCGCCAGTTTCTGTGTGAGGGACGGGCAAAGAGTGTGTTGCCAAAAGTCAAGGACGGTGATGAGGCCTGACGCTTTTGTTCGTCAATTGCTCTCCACTCAAATTTATAGGAAAACGGGTGTGAAACCTAGCCCGGTTCCATCCTCAAGACCAATGAATGTCTAGTATGACTTCAATCACAGAACTTTAATTATTCGTCGTCTAAACGAGGTCATGGAGCAAGGCAATGGCTACCCGATGCTAGGTGTCATTTCTGGAAGACTCGTGTGAATAATTGCAGGGATAAGGTGCCACGGGAAGCCCACAAAAGCCTCCTCTCAAGCCTAAACGTCTCGGCACGTGAACCAACATAAGCTCCAGGTGTCAGTCAGTGTATCAGGTTGGCATTCCATCAGTAGTGTTAGCCACTGCCGATGTTTAGGAAAATCGGTGGGAACGCGTATATTCAGAATACTAGAAGGTCAGGTGACAGATCACGACACCTGTTGACTCATGCTAAGAAAGCACATGACCCTATACCACGCACGTGATGAGGTAAAACATGTGGTCATTAGATCCGAGAGACGGCACTGAAAGCTCCGGCCTTGGGACCCCTCTACGGTGATGACAAAAAACTGCAGGATCTGAAACCACAATGCCACATGCAAGAGTAGTAAGAAAGCATGACCCCATTCTCGAATATATTACGCGCGATTTCGTACGGGGTCACGGCGCATCTCGTGCCTGAGCTCAAAAGCAGACGATCGGCAGCTCGTCCAGAACGAGATTTTTGGATTCTGCGTCTTTCAGTCGTGTTGGACTACGTTGACTGGATATCTCTGTACCTGAAGAAACGTCCGCTCTTACAGAAACTAAACTATTTCCCTCTAGTAGAGCTACAAACAAAGGTCAAAGACTTGCAAAACGTGCACACGTGACACATCCACAAGTAGTCATGAAAGCTCGTACAGGAATTTGGCATTTGAAGGCGTATTTTGACTCCGTTATCGCAGACAGCGTCGAATTGAGACACAACCCAGTTCTGTTCTGCAGTGACAAACTTCGTGCTGACACTTCGGCTTGCCCAGTCCAGTATTAGTAGTTCGCGGGATATTTCCTGAAATACGCTAGAATATAAAAGGCAATGGCCAGTGAATCCTTTCAATCATACCAATATGGCTCTGTATAAAGGAGCATATTCTGGTTTCTAAGGCACGCGGCTAAGAATGCCATCTCATCGAGTAGTAGGTGAGCTGACGGTATTCGAATTACAGAGAAATAGCGGACAATGAAAAACGTTGCAATTCATGTTTACAAGCACATGTGGCAAAAAACGAGCAAGCCAGTGACAAAATGATGTCGACGACCATTCACTCGTGAACTGTTGCACTTGGAACTCCTGATGAAAATTTTGAGCATTGAAGCCATATTTCCAACATCAAGTAATCACCGCGTCAAAAGAGCAGCACGTTGGCTGGTCTTCCAAGGTGGCGTCGACAGCCAGGTTCTGGAGTTCCCTAGAGTGGCTCAAAAGTTCTCAACGCTCTTCTGAGACGACGGTGTCTCCAGGTGAGGTTGGTTCTCAAAGAATTATTGCAGACTTAGGAAGACAGTGGGTCGGCCCGTGACCTGTCTTGAACGTATCATCAATCCATAGAATACAAATGAAGGAAGGTCTGGAAAGAAACAGGGGAAGAAAAGTGGAAGACCTATCTGACCTCGACCTGAGCCTCTTCCCCTATGAACACTGCACTAGCAATACGTGTTTCTTTACAACATCCATGCCAACGTAAAAAATCTAATGATTTTGCAGTCTGATACTACATTCCCCCACCATGTTACAAGCTGGCCACAGGCTGAATGACGAGCCTCATGGCTCAAGCGCACCGTATAAATTATGTTGGCGTTGTCGCTCTGAGGTATGGTCTCAGACGGACAGAGCCAATCTTCTGCAGAAATTGACAGGCAGTAAGTAGAAGTACAGGAATTTTACTGCTTCAAGGGGTCACATTCGAAATGTGGACTGGCTCACACATCAAAAGGCCCAGAAAATGAGTGTACAGCCTCATGAAGGACTGCGATTGAGCTCGGAGGAGTAGGTTCACGATGAAGAGCTGAGCTGGCTGAGCTGGTCTGCTGTAGAGAGACAGGAGACTCACAGTAGGGAAGACGATTACGTGTATCGATCGACGATGATGTGCCCAGATTCGTACTCAGCCAGTCCTCCAACCTACCGACACTTCAGACTTCAGTTTCATATACAGTCCAGTCCTCCGGCCTGAGGCAGACTTGAGACACAGGTCCTGCTCACTGGATCAGTGAGGCTAAGAAGGAAAACAAGCCACGAAGGCATGTTTGACATGACCCGTGCAGAGAAGAGAGCGATTGATCGGAGTGGAATAATCTTCTTTTACCTCCTCTTCTTCTTCTTCTTCTCGTCGGAGGGTTGTGGGACAAACGTGTATCTGGCGGATGTCAAGGCAGCAAGTGGAGGCGCTTGAAAAACCAAAGAAACGAACAGAAAATGAGGAGCCCAACTGCTCCGGAGATGATGAGAACCCACTTGAAAGCCGACGGTTCCTCAAACAACCAAAGGGGAATGTTCATACCGAACACTCCTGCGACTATGCCCCAAATGGCCACAACAAACGTAGCCGTGGTGAGAATAAGTTCAAACTGGATCAACTGATTTCGCACGTTGTCCAATTGGATGTTAATAAAATCCTCAGTATCATCTATATACTCCTTCAACGAGGTCAACTTGTTCAGAGTGCCATCAATAACCACAAAATATGCTTCCAGTAACATCTCGAGCTCTTCTACATCCTCATCTTCACTCCTCGAGCTTCTGGAACTCCTAGACAATACTTCGTGCGTCGTAAAACTCCTAGCAAAGCTCAGCGTTTTATCTAGATGCCGAGAACCACCTCCCCCCGTCGGAGATCCTACTGGAGAAACCGGGGCCGACACCGAAGCCCCCACCGCTGCCACATACCCTTTGGTCCTGGCAGAGCTCTCGCTGTAAGAGTAGCTCGGCACCGCGTTCATCATCTTCTGAGTCAGGTACATCTCGGCCATGTCGCCATCGTCGTCCATCAGCTGCTCGATCTCATCCCTCACCTTCTGCACTCGACGGGTCAGGATCACGAGCCTGCTCTTGAGCCTGCGCACCCTCTCCAAATTCAGCGTGCTCACCTTCGAGGTGAGCTCGTCCAGCACCGGGTAGGCCTCCTGCTCCAGCTCCGTGGCCTGCGCATCCAAGTACGTGCAGGCTGCCTCCAAGGCCACCTCCAGAGCTCTGAACTCGAAGGGCAAGTCGTCGGCCGATGACCCACTGAACATGTCCGTGTCGCTGACCATGGCCTGCCGGATTTCCTGAGGGTTGCCCCAGAAGCTATCGGTTCTGTTGAACACTTGGGGTTGGCCCCCGGGAGATCGCCATTTGAAGCCCGGAATGTCCGATTGATTCTGCGTTGCCAGCCTCCTGCGCAGCTCAGCCACATATTGGAGCACGTATTTGTCGAACGAATTGAGCAGTAAAACCTCGTCGGCCGTGATTATGCATCGGATGTGCTCGAGATTGAGGACTATGGCCTTGTCGCGTCCCAGAATTGTGGCGGGGTACACGAAGTGGGGATCCAGAAGCCTCAGGTCGCGGGCGGGCAGATTGCAACGACGCATAACCGTCGCCTTGTCGACCTCGAGCACCTGAGAATTGCCCAGAGGATCCACGCGAATCCATGACCGAATTCCCTTGCCTCGTTTTTTCAGAAGCAGCAAGTCGCCTCCGATGTACCCGCCTCCGGTGCGAGATTGGGCCGCTTCTTTGTTACTAGAGCTCACAACAAGAGATCGAGGAGGGAGTAAAGGAGTTTTGAGATCCCCCATCGTGGAATTGGTTGCAGACTGATTGCGGATTGATTGCAGATTGATAGATTGTTTGATTGACTGATTGACTGACGGACTGACGGACGGACTGTACAGCCTAGAATATGCTTACCGGAAAGCTGCTGCCCATCATCTGCTCGACGAGGCCCAATCGTTAAGGACGTCAATGATGATGATCTGTGGCCCCGTCAGTTGAAAACCACCAACCACAACCATGGTATGCACCCACGAATCCTCATCTTCGCCGCCGAACGGTGAGTATGATCCTCTTTTGCGAAACTTTGAGTTCACCTTCATGTGGCAGCAGCAGCAGGAGTAGGAGCAGTGAGACACCAAATTTCTCGCCGAATTCCTCAAGTCCATCTCATCCTACTGCATTACGAACTCGATTCTCTTCCCTTCTGCACTGCTCCCCTCCTCCCGGCCTTCCTTCAACTCAACTCTACTCTACTCCACTCCACTCCAATCCAATCCAATCCAATCCAGGCCACCCCGCCTTCAAGCGCGGCGTTCCTCTGTACCACCCTCCTGCTCGATGGTCATCCCCCCACCACCTCCGTCACCATCGTCGATAAAAATATTCCCCTAGCAAAGCGGTGCTCGCATCAGCAGCACCAGCGGCAAACCAAGCTTGCCTCAAACTTCGCCTTAGGTCTAGAACCTCTCTCTCTCTCTCTCTCTCTCTCTCTCTCTCTCTCTCTCTCTCTCTCTCTCTCTCTCTCCAGCTCCACTCGCCTCTTCTCTTCCCTTCCCCCTCTCAGATTCAGATTAGCTTCGAGGAGAGCACCAAATCTTGTCGCCGGCATGATTCTTCCAGCGAGAGGTGGTGCGTAGGAGGCGAGGAAAGAAGAGGCGCCATCCTCATCGTGCGCTTCGGACCTATGCCCGAGGGAAAGTGAGAGAGGAAGTCGACGGGTTCAGCTGCATCCCGGAGAGCAAATTCCGATCGGATCCAGTAGTTCTTGGCGTCTTTCAGCAGCAGCAGCAGCAGGGGGGACGGAGGAGGAGGGAGGAGGAGGACAAAGAACAAGGTTCAGGCCCTGCTGCTACACACGCACACACACTACGACTACGACTAGCGTAGCATTACGTGGGGCGGGGGAGCAAATTCTGATAAAGGAATCGTCGCAGCAGCAGGATGAAGGATGCTCGTGTGGGCCTCACAACCGCTCCGCATGCAACACCGGATCACGAGGAGGTCGGACCCCAATTCGTCCCCGACCCGGCCAGTCAACATTGTGCACAGCACCCACCCCCCGCACAAACACAGCCAGCCGAGCGAGCGAGCGCAAGCGAGAGCGAGAGCGAGCAGAGCTCGACACAGGGCGCACTCCTGTGAGCCCCGAGCGCCGAAGCCCTGCGGCCCCGGCCCCGGCCCCGGCCCGGGCCCGGGCCCTGGCCTTGGGCACGGCTTGGGCCCTCGGGCAGGGCGCCATCGCCTCGCAACTGCCCCTCCCCTCGCCCTCCTTCTAACCGACTCTGCTGAATTCCGGGTGCCGTGTAGCGCAGGATCTGTGACGGGCGCCGGTGCCGGACGAAGCTGCGGACTCTGTCTCCACGGAACATGCGACCGGCCACCAGCCTCCGGAAGCCGGATCCAGTGCCGTGGGGCGTTTCGCAGACTGTCGTTGCCCGTCGTCTTCGCTGGATGGTGTATCCTCTCCGCCTGCACACTTCCGTCGTCCCGAGTCCCGTCCCTTTCAGCGACCTCCCCTCGGCGCCGACTCTGAGACTTCGTGCTTTCCATGCAAAAGATTGCCGCGATTGTCGTTCTCTTCTCCTTCGTGCGACGGGACTTTGGACATGTTCTTCATTGGACTCGCTTTCATTCTCGTATCAACTGCCGCTGACTTGCCCATGGCGCAGAACTGACCGAGGCTCTGACGACGCGTCCCTTCGCGTCCTGCTTCCACGCGGTACGCCTTCGCTTGGAAATGGCAGATATCCGTGCGGCGTGTTGGGTACAAAAGGGAACATCGGTCCAGTGTCTGTGAGGCATCTACGTTGTTATTAAGCCGAAATCGCCATGTAACACTTCTCCGGCAAGACATTTGAATCATGTGGTTTGATGGGCAGGAGTGGAGACCGGCGTTATACGCTTTTACACGGCACGAAAGACACTTTGTTGAGGCCTCGAAGCAGACTCTTCACGTTTAATTCTCGAGGCTCGGTTCTCAGGACATAATAAGTGCCTCTCGCCGCTACTTTCGCTAATCGATATCACCAAACTAGGAGGACCAGTGTCCTTCCGGTTATTACTTGCAGCCTATCTAAACCAAATGGCAAATCAAACGCCCTTTCATATAGCTTTGCGTTACCTTCAGAATGTGTTATCAATCAGAGAACTGAACCTTCGCATTGATATGAGGATCTGAACACAAACTGTACTAATCATCTCTAGATAAAATGAAGGTTCTGATCGTTATTTGTTGCTCCGGAAGATTAGTCGTCGGCCATACATAATGGGCTTGCATTGTTGACCCCGACATTCACAGTACAATGTAAGCAGTTAAGACATTCGCTGCATAGATGTCCTACATCCTGCTCCCTTCAACTTGGTCTATCCATATGGACCTCCATGGATGGTAGAGGAGGTACCATTCAACAACAGAACACGTCCGCTATTTCTACCGGACAAACATGACAGTTACGATTCAACTTGCGAATCTTCAGACCCCTAAAGCAAACTGATAGCAAAGCCATTATAGATCATCCTCGTCTTGTACAAAACACATTCTTTCTGTCACATTGTGCGAATGAGATTTACAACATTGGAATACACATTGAGACTCGGATACCTTTCTTAGGTTTATCGGACATACTCAAGACATCTATGATGAGTCAAGCACGGATCTAAACCATGTATTCCTCTGACAATCTGCACAACCTAGCCTTGAAACTATATATCTGTTGAAAGTAGAGCTAACGAAGACCGACCTCAATGCGACTTAGATGACTCCACTAAACGAGACCAAATCTACCTTCCTGACATCTGACTCTAATGCATATATCCGACCTATGTACTACTGTCCCACTATGCTAATTTATTTGCATGAACTCAAGCGATAAACCAAGGGCTATCTATAATAGGTTCCGGACAATGACACGACAAAGACACGAGTTAGGAATACACGCGAACAAATAAAGACGGCAATTGACACGACGGAAGGGCGTTTGGCTTGGCATAACTCCAACAGCTTGTATAGATTTAGGAAGAAGAGCCGCAAATAGAGGGACGAGGATACACAGCAGCAAATCTGTTGTGGACGGCTGAGTCAAGACTACATCCTTGTTCCATGCTGGTCCACACAAGCTACCATGCTTGGCAGCCAGGGGAGACATGCCTCACATGTAGAATTTGTGCCGTAGACCACAGCGGAGACGAGCAGAATACAATAACCCTCCCAGATCAAAAGGTAGCAGCTTTGCAGGAGTAGGCAGCCATTGATGATGCTATATAGGGAGACCACAATGAATGAAGAGGCAGACTACCGAGGCGAGGGAGGCAGTGCAGTGCAGTGCCGTGCCGTGCCGTTCTAAGCAGAACCACACCTCAGAACACAGCAACAAAGGCAAGGCCTCTGTGAGTTTGAATCTAGACTGGCCATCATACACATTTCTTGTTCATATATTCTGCAATTTGTTCTTTGGGAACTTGACAAGATTGCACATGTTCGAGCATAGTTTTTTTGCGAAAACAAGAGTCTACCAGACCAAAAGGAAAGGGCAACCAGGAAAGAAACTTATCACAATAGCAGTCAGCCGGAGCTTCAGCAGGAGACCGAACTACTGAAGACGCCGGCCACATGGAGGGAGAGTCCAAACTTTCATCGGGCCAATAGCCTACATGGTTGGTGAGGCCATCACTTTGCAAACCAGCCGCTTATACAAGCAGAGTAGTCACCTCAAACAGAGCTAACAAAACTGCCGAAAAATCCAGCATTCTGAAGTTTGCAGGAATACAATCCCTCATAGTTGTTTCTTCAAAGCCCCTTCCAAAAGTACATAGGTGAGTCATGACTCCGAGGTCCCTAGCAATGTTCCGATGCATATGCATAATCAACTCTATGGGCTCCGGCTCCGGCTGCGACGGCGATCCCTTGGTGCTAGGGGACTCCTGCAATGGTGCTCCCATGATTAGTTCTGACTGTCGGTAGAGCACATGGTCGTCACATGAAGTCGATGACGATGTACACCAAAGACTCAGCTTTCACCACTGTTATAACCAAAAGTACTTCTCAGAACGCGAAGGAAACAGATATGGAAACATCCTGTAACGACGACGAATCTCAAAACGAAGCTCATTACAGCTACCATTGAAATGATGCACATTAAAACTTTCGCATGCAACTAAATCACCAGGATCAAATTCAAACTGATCTGAAGATTCGTACCCATTTACAACTGGTGACACTCGTCGATCTCGGCGTGGTGGTGGAGGGGATCGGCTCGGACTCCGTCCCCGGCGAACAACAGGAGACGCACTCCTTCTTCGCACAGGTGACCGACTTCTAACTCGCGCGGGACTGCGACTGCTGCTGAGGGAACCAAAAAGCGAATTCAACAATCAGTATCATACAAGCAGGTTCACTGGCCTCGGCGTCCAATTTTACAATGACCTATTCAGTGGAAGAGATCATCCATTTGCTTAAAAACAGCATACTTCCATATTTCAAGGCCGAGCAGTAAATTTCACGTTACAAGAAGTACTGCCGTACTCATGAAATGCGCGTTAGCAGACCTATGGGAATTTCCACTCCTTCATTTACATGTATATTTCACTTTCACATCTTCGCTATAAGCATGAGCTAAGTGAAATGTCAAAACAAGTTCAGTTCCTTAGACAACAACAAAAGTCTCAAGTTCTTGGAAAAATCCAATTATCTGTACCGTTTCATATCCCGATGATGAGGAAGCGAATATACACCAGATCGCGAACAGCAACAAAGTGACGGCACGCGAAGATATATAAAGACCGCGACAACAAGGAGCAACGGCGAGAGGCAGAAGTACATGATAAAAAAACAGGGACAAACGGTCAGACGTGAAATAACAAAATTTGAATTCAACTACACGTAGACGTCTGTAAGTAGTTCCTTAACACAAATGAAGCTACTTCGACAACATGTTTCACGTTCCCAAACTGTACAGTACACTGATTTCGGACGTCAGAACTTCTTGAAGTCTTATCAAGATTATGGCAAAAGCGAAAACAACATGTAGCAGCAACAGCTCCATGGACGTTCTGCAAGCCTCTATTCGGGAGTATGAAATATATACAAGAAATGAACCACATAGAGACTCCGATATTCACGCGATCAAAAACCTGTTCTTCTAGAGGAATATAAGAACACAGAGAAAAACAGCTCGACATACCTGCGCCCATAACTAGGACTACGTCTATAGCGTGGACTGCGGCTGCGGCCACGTCCTCCAGTTCCAAGGCCACCGGCACCTATACGCAACCGGCATTCACGAGCAAAATGGCCGGGCTCTCCACACTCATAACATTTCATGTCATCTCCACCTCTACCTCGGGGACCACCACCACCTCCGGAGCTGCGTGATAACTCTACTCTCCATCCATTCTTGCCTGCTAAGAGAGGTGGAGAAAAAGGTTTCCAAAATGTGGAACAACAAGCCAGGTTTAAGTTCTTTGCTCGCATCTAGACTCAAACAAGGAGAAGGGCCTACCATAACAATCATCCGGCAGTATAAGTCACTGGGTTAGCCACTGAGTTCCGAAGTTGGTGAAGATTTACGCAACGATACTGCAAATTCAGGATAATTTAAAGCAGTGATCAAAAACATAAGTTACACCAAAGCATATTTGCCTGCGTAGAACGAGCCCAATCTTCGTGTTTTCGAGGCCCTGTTCCACAACAACCTGTATGACTTTCTACAATGTAAAGTCAAGGGATACCGAACACCTACTGGAAGCGTACTTACCGTCCGTGGCACGTATTGCATCCTGGGCATCCCGAAGATCGTCGAACTCGACAAATGCAAAACCCGGCGGCTTGCGAGCTACCCAAACACTGTGTTCAGCAGCATCACATACAATACATCACACTCCGAAACGAGGAGACAAGAAAGACAACCCGTAACGTACCATTCAAAGCACGGATGGCATCATCTGCATCCCTTCGATCCTCGAACTCGATAAATGCAAAGCCAGGAGGCTTCCGAGCCACCCATACACTGTGTCATTAAGATTGCAAGGCTAGAATAAGTCCCGCAAACATAGAACATTTCTTCACAAGAGGCCTCTAAAGACGAAGCAAGAGCTGCTTCGCTTTAAGATGGTGCCTAGCAAGGTTCTCAGGCCTTAATATTATTTTAGGATGTGATCTGGGTACAACAATTTGCATCAAGTGCAGGGCCTGACACAGCTATGCAACAAATGTGACATAAGTCACGTTTGCCCTGACTTGGGAAAATGGTGGACTCCGGCGTTCCTAACCATCACAGATGTCCCGACTCTTCACTTACAGTATGTTCAGGAAGTGACAATAGATGGACTACTAATGCAGAAGCTGCGATCAAACTGGAAAAAACCAAAGAAGTTTGGCGTCGAAAGGCTCTGGGGCACATCACATGACGACGAGTTCAACGTCGGTAAATGTGGCCGACCAGTTTGCCAGGTCGCAGGAAAAAAACCACACCTAGGAAGGTATGACATGTCCCCATGACTGTGGAAAAAGTTCGTTAGGCAAAATTGAGGCTCAGATTTTTCTTCGGAAGAACACGGACTAGGATAGGAAAAAGAATCGCGTGCACGTCAACCATAAACTTCCAAAAGGTCCAGGGGATCCGAACATCTGAAGGTGCTTAAGAGGAAGCTTGATCAGTTGGAAAATTCAAAAAATATGACAGAGGCGCAATCTTTTGAGGACATTAATCCATCAAAACGTTTGATCAATGCATACAAAACTCACTCGTCGGACATCCTGAGAGGAGTGGAGGGGATACACAACTAATGATATACACTTCGTACTTAGAACATCAATCAGCTACGTACATCTCTAATCATCATACTTGAATCATAGGCAGATTCCGCACAGACGAAAAAAGATGCACATGGTAGCACGAACAGCCATCGACTAGGCGTAGGTTCATGACTCATGACGAAAGGTAAAGAATCTCCACGTTTACAGTGAGGAGAACGAGGAACATGCTGCAAGTGACCAAAAGAAATTAACATCCGAGTACAACGTTGCAGCTCCTTCCAACAAAGAGGTGGAAGGACACTCCAGTTTCGACAGGACTGGTATTACTCCTCACTAGCAGGTAGGAATCCCTCCCGCCACTCCACATGGGGACCTAGATTCCATATCCAAGATTTAGGTTTTGAATAGGAGGTAGGATATAAGCCAGGTTGTCCCGTTGAGTTCAGTTTGTCAGGCCCGGGATGAAGGTTTCCTAGAGGGGCAGCCGTTCTCACAAGGAGCATTTCTGCTGTGAGCATGACGACCGTGAAAGTGGAAATTAGCTCAGGACGTATTGCTGAACAAAAAGAGCCGAAGAGCAATCCTAGCACCCGTCCAAGAAGGAACGGTCATAGTCTCTCACGGGCCAAAGCAGCTAAAATCGACACTCCTGTCTTGACCTCGAAGGCTATCAACAAGCACGGAAAGAAAACGATGAGCACTGAAAAAGCGGATATCAGCCGCACGCGCGATAGGATGGGGAGTAGGAAGACAAGAACCTGCGCAGCACTCCATAAACACGAAATTCGTCTTCTAACTCCCTTTCAGTAGCCCGGGGATCTAGGTTCCCCACGTAAACACGCGACATGGCCAGCCTGCTCGCTTACTGCTCGTACCACCTCCAACTCGTAACCAAGTTCAGGACTCCGAACTCCAAAACCTCTTCAACGAAGCACACAAGTGAAGTCAAATCGACCCACCACTCGCTTCACTTCTCAAACCACTCCCTCACCCGCACCTATCTCAATCTCCGAACAAACAGGGCGAACGCACTGCGACGCACACGCTGCAACCTCTCCCTCTCTCTCTATCTCTCTTCCTCTCTCTCTCCCTCCCTCGCTCTCTCCTGCTCGTCCTCTCACCGCAGCACAGCCTGCTGATCCTGTGCTTCCGAAAAATCGTCAAGTTCCTCCTCGTCAAAAATCCAAAGATGCTCTTGGGCTCCTGGGGCGGATAGCACTCGCTCACTCGCTCCGTCACTGCCCACAAGCTGCTTGCTGCTCGCGCTACTACTGCTGCTGCTGCTCTTGCCGTGATAACCAAGCAGGGCAAACTCGCAGCGCTCGAACTGGACGAGACCTCGAAAAAAAGGGCGTCCGCGCGACCGAGCCCCGAGGCTAGGAGGGAAGGAGGAAGGCACGAAGGATGCGAAAGACGCAGCACAGGAGCACACAACGAGAGAATCTTCAAATCGCCAGAAAAAGTAGCGGCAGCAATCAGCTCCCACACTCGTCTCGGCGTCTGGCGTCGGGCGCGGGGGAAGGTCGCGGGGGAGCGGGGCGGAGGTCACGTCAGGTGCCCGCCTGCAGAAGCAAAAGAAAGAAAGAAGCCGGCTGGCCCTGTCCCAGGCTAAGGTCGCACTCAAGAGCCTCGTCGAAGGACCTGAAGCGACCGACCGACCGACCGGGCCCCGTGTGTGTGCGACGGGCCGGACTCCGAGGACGGCGACCGCTGTGCGTACGTACATCTCGCAACTCAAGCATTTGATTTGCCGGACGTGCAGTAGCATCTCGATAGCACTTGCCGGACGGACGTAGACTGGCCGACCGTCCGAGAGTAAACCCTCCCGGAGATGAAAGGGTCGGCAGCCGTGCGGCCGACCACGGGACTTGCGGCAGAGATTCAGTGCCGCGAGTCAGTGATTATGGACGACTGGTCAAATTATCAGTTTCTCTTGCTAAACGTGCGGATGACGTTCATGTTCGGAACCAGCATGAGAGCATTACCTGGTGCAATCAATAAGAGAGAGGGAGACAGAGAGCTAGAAAATGTTTCTTCGTTCAAACACAGAGATTTTGAACTCTGGATTTCAATTTCAAAATGTACGATGCTGCGTTTTCTTATAGAAACCACATAAGAGAAATATGATAATTTATTAAATAAATATATATAAACCTTGAAATATAAACGTGTCCAATATTCATAATTTGATGTATTTTATTTCTTGTTGCACTTCCATTTTTTTTCCGTTCATAATAAACAAGAGGAAGGCCATTCATATGAAGATCATAAACTATGAAACAATTATTTCTTTCAGTAAATATATATTCTGCAATAATAAATCACAATAAAAATAAATTTATTGTATGTTGATGACATACATGAAGGAACATATTATGATATCCTTATTTTACACTGCATTAATTAAAAACTGCTAATTCATCAACTTAGCCCACAAAAAATAATTACCGCGTTCAGAATAACAATGAATTTAATTTCGAGGTGGAGATATTCATTTCTAAATATTTTAGATTTCAAAGCATCACTTCTTTTCGAGGAATAATCTTTTCAATCTGAGTTTTCTTCCTTCCTTCTATTAAAAAAATAATTTTTGTCACTTACTAAAAAATGTGGGAAAAAAAAAGGCTGAATTTTTTCAAAAGTTTATTTGAATAATGAAAATTTAATAATCATCGTAACATCACTTTTTTTGCCTTGATGTTTGCATTTTAACTGACAAATTTAATTATAAATAAGAGTAATGGAGTAATATATAAAAAACAATTCAAAATTAGACATTAAAAATCAACTGAATAAAACTTGTACACTTTTTAGGTAACACAATATAACTTCCTAAATAATAATAAAATTTATCCTATCAATTGATATCAAATTAACCTACTTAACATTTTCAAATGTATGAAAAAATATTTCTTTCATAAATAAATAAGTGATTTCATACAACAAATCAGCATCAACTAAATTAAATTATCCACATCAACCATTACTTTTTAAGAAATCATTCTTTGATTTATCTACGGTATGATTAATTTTGTGCATCTCATGTACAAATTAAAAAAAAAAAATTGGCATACTATCTTAACAACAAGAGTTTTGTAAAACAGATTTATTATTTTTAAATGGTCTTTATCATATCATAACACATAAAAATATAAATAAAATATGACTATAAACATAATTGCTTCTTTCAAAAGATCGATCAGAAAGTTTTTAAAAAATCATTAAAATGAAGCATAAAAATAAAATATATAAATATCTGAGGTATATTTAATATATTACTTCTAAATTTAGATGCATACTCTATATATATATATATATATAACTCATAACGTTCTGAACAAACCAATTATCATATTGGTTACTTTATAACATCATAACTGATTTGTGCAGGTTGTGTTCATTATTTCAATTCTCAACTTGAATATGACTTACATTAAAATGTTTTTTCAACAAACATATGTACTCTGAATTAGATACAAAATGAAAGTGAGAAAACATATCATTGAAAATTGTTTTGTATGTATTGAATGAATTATTATTTTAAATTTGTAACCCACATTTATATAAATCGTGACATATTTCTTTAATTATTAAGAAACACCCTCATTTAAAATATTGGGATGATTTAATTTTTATATTTATCCAAATTGAAATCTACATTTTATTGCATTTCAAATAGATAACAAACGGATTCATGGAATAACAATCTACTATATCCAAATTAACCCATGCAAACTGTATTATATATATAAGTCATGTCTTTCATAATTTATTACTGAACTTTAAAATTATTATTTACATCATCATTTTACCTTTAAAAATATGTAAAAACTAAGTATGAAAATAAATTATTTATTATTTATGATAGAAATGATAGATACATATATTGATGTACACAATTCAAGAATACATGCATTTTCAACATCAAAAAATGTTGATTTAGTTTTTAAGCTGTTAAAATATGACATTTAAATTCATTTTAGGCTGTTTTTCTTGTATACTTTATATCTAACAAACATTTTTGAACATTGTTTTAGGCAACAAATTATAAATTTTTTGAATTTAAAATTCAAAAAATAGCTTTCAACTATTCATTTGATAAGAAAAACATATTGAATATCATGAGTAAAATGAACATTTTAGGATTATATGTATGTATGTAGGTATATTAACTGAGTATTATGTAAAATATAATGATTCATATTTTGTTTTCAAATTCAAATTTTTTTTTTTGCATAAGATTGATTCTTTTAAATAATATTTTTTTTCCAGAAATAGAAGAATAAATGTTTGGTAAAATATATCATTGAGAGTTTCCTTGGATGAAATTTAATATCAATAATTATAATTCAAATATATGTATTTAAAATAATTTATTTCAGTAATTTATATCATATGAAATACATTAGCTTTTTGGATTATATTTGTGATTTTTCTTAATGATTTTAAGTACTATATCTATAAATTGGAAAATTTATATCACACATATGAAATTTCATGACAAAATCTTGTATATACTGAGATATAATTTGCTTCATTTTATGTAAAGTGAAATTGATTGTAGATGAATGTTTTCATTGAATGTGTTTCCAATAAGGTGACACAAGAGATAAGTGACTTTTCAAACCATATTTGCTCATCAAAGGAAGAAAGTAATGAAAGATGACCAAGATAAAAAAATTTATGGACTAGCAAACAATTAGTTCATCTAATTATGGTTCATCCACCTAGAACAACCATGAACCAAGTTAACTTCATATATATGTATATTGTGCTCTTTATTTGACAGATATTTCAAAAAATTGAAACAAATTAAATTGAATGAATATAATTTTCATGATTGGATAGAAGTTATGGTTAGCACAATCATAAAATTTTGTAAATACTTATTTACTAAATAGAATTAATTGAATAACCTAAAAATTTAAATATATTAGTATTAGGAATAATAACTTATATCATTTATTTCATTCTAATAATTTTAAGAATTAATTATGATTGGGGTTAGATTATATTCTTAATAATATTATTGACAAACTTATAATCTTTAAATTTATTTTGTTTATCAAATTTGTCATTATTCGTTCATGACATTTTCTTTAAACAAATAATACAAATTTAAAGACTACACTCTATGATTTTGAAAGTGATATTAACAAATTATAAGTAGAAATATCCGTTAAAATATTTGTATTCATCTTGTGGCAATTTATATCAATTGTTAATGTGTGATTTGATATTTTTTATCTCCAAATCAGATATCTGAAATGTTTCGATATGTTTTACGTTCTGAATATAAGAATTGTCTGAAAATTGTATGAAATAAATGCAAAAATAAAAATATTGTGAAATTTTTAACTTTCAATTTTTCACTATAAAGCTTCAACATCCAGACGATGATTGGTTAATTTGGAATGTAATTAATTGATAATAATATAGCATGAGAAATAATATTCATATGTTGATCGTTAATTTATACATATTATAAGTATACTTGTATTCATAAGTACTATAAACTTTGTTTGAGATAGAAATTTTGTCCAAATTTAAGTGTTATTTTATTGTTTCAACAACCCTTGATTTTATATGTGTTTTAATACTTAGTTGAACTCAAACACAAATAGATTTCATTGTTCTACAATAAATATAAATATATATAGTTATATTTATATGAAAGGATGTAAAATATATTTGTTTGTGAAATGAATAATTTCAAAAAACTATATTTATTAGTAAAATATTCCATTATTCATTACTTAGCCAATGTTACCAAATTTGTTTCAAAATGTAAATAGAATATAAATATAAATATTGTAACAAACAAACATAAATACGTTTTACATGTTGTTTAATTTCTTTGAAGGTGTTAACAATAAAAAAATTTATCATATGCATGGTGATTTCAAAATAACAATTTACAAATTTGATGCATGCCATTTAAAAAATACAATGAAATGGTTTTACTTTGTATTTAAAATATGCTTTATTATTCAATCTGAATAGAAATGTGATGAAAATCTTCTGATTGTTAGATTATAAGAAATACTATAACATTTAGAATGAAATGGTATCAACATTTGAATAAAGAGAAGAAAGAAATTGAAAATCTTTGATACTTTGGAGTACTAAGATAAACCACAAATATTTTTTATTCAAGGTAATCAATAATTTACGTGATGGAATTGAAGACTCAATAAACGTTTAAAAAATGTATTTATTATGTAATAATTTCGTTCATACGTTGCATTGAATGAACTTACAAACATATATATTTAGCAAGAATTACAAGCTTGGTCGTACATTAGCCAAGCTTAAAAAAAATCAAATTATAGAAAACAAACAAACTTATTGAGTGTTGAAATCGAGACATTATGACTAATTATAAACTTCAATCCACATATCGTACTCTAATCGTAGCTTCTTGACAAGCAATTTTTGTTGTTGTAGCTTTCATTATGAATTTAATTTAATAGATTTTTTATAAAGTGTTCATTGTATACATTATATACTTTATTTTGTGGAAGAAAATAGTTTTTACTCACTTTGAGCTTATAATTCCTCACCATATTTTACCACATACTTCTAGCCAATCACACCTTATTCACCTATCTATTGTTGCGAGCGGGTTAGCATTACATTGCGAACGTTTGAGAATCTTGCTCCTGCATTCATGTTATTCTACTTTTTATATGTTACGAGGGTACGTCCACATGAAGTAGTGGCCATGCTTTAGACTTTGAGACATACATTGGAAATATACACTCACGGAACATAAAGGAAAGAAAATGGAGGATGTTGGAAGATTAAAAAACTCTCATCTCATCCCAAGAAGGCATAATTGGACTAAAAACTTTGACCGAGCTATGATTGGACAACTTACGAAACTTCCTTGTAGTACAATGAATCCACTTCGGCAAACTTGTACACAAAACAAACCATATTGGGTAGAATACAAAAAAGCTCGCTGAATGGAAAATGACATTCCAGTTCCCCAGGGTGACAAAAGAAGATCGTCGTCAAAGTTCTCGCGTGAGCAACAACATGTAAGTATATCGTGAAAACACAATCAAGATGTACAAAGTCTTTGATTTTGGCGTCATTCTACCTTCTTCAATACTGAAGGTAGTATTTGCAGTGAAGATCTTAGAATTCCTCATTCCTTCGTCGATGCAATTTGTCCATGAGAGTCTAAAGAATAGAAATAATTGAAAAGCCTGGTCTAGTTCATGCACTTCAGCCAAGAAATTGAAGCCAAATGCAAAAAAATACTACGCGATGTAATAAATTCGGAGGTCGCCGGCTACGACGAAACCTTTCAAGCTATTTAGTTCCTTGTAACATGTACGCGGTAGCATGGATACCTGGCGCCCGCGATGTAATGCTAACTTGCTTGCAACAATTGGTAGGTGAATACAAGAGTGTAATAACGTAGTTTTTCTTTAAAAAGAAAAAAAAAAGCTTGAAAGTTAGAAGACTAATGATTTCAAACTTATAGTATAAGAATATTATGAAGTAGAGTAAATAGAGGATTTGGTAGTAGATGACAAGTTAGTAATAGTGGAATCCATTTAGCTTACTCTCCTTGAAGTTAGTGTTTTCTACTTGTATGCAACAAATTTGAGTTAGATGAGTTATGATATGATAGAAAAAATACTTTATAACTTTTTCAATTAGCAGCAACTTGACTTAATGAGTATCTTGATAGATAGAGCTCAGCATGTTTGTTTTAACGAGCCTAAGAAGTGCTGAATCGGATAAGTAGTCACCGAACTTTGGATGTTAGAAGTGGTTGGTATAGATTGAAGAAGTAACTTCGACCGCAGCGCCTTCGGCCTTTAGACTTTGGCCTTAGACAACCTCGGCCTTCAGAGAAGAAAGGCATTTGGATTGAGATTTGCACTGTGCAAAAGGAGAAGAAAGGATTTCGATACGGATTGGAGTAGTCACGGATAGCATTTCGGAGAGAATTCAAGTGCGTGTTGGAGTTGGATCGTCGAGTGAAGGAATTGGGAGCAAGCATAGTCGTAGGACTTTGGTAGTTAGATATGAAGTTCAATTCTTTTATCTCCGGTTTAGAGGAGACGAATTACAACCCTGAATTGGAATTGTCAGCCGTTTTGAGTAGGATACGAGTGAAGAGTAGCTAAGCATGCGTGGCAATTGTCGCATTTGCTAACGTAGCACTTGATGGGGGCTTGCAACTAGCAAGTGATGTCTTAGAGTGTTGTTGTTAACAAGTTAATCCAAGCTTGTACCTTTGGGTGGCTTTTTCATGAGTTAATTTCTAAGCCTTCAATCTGCATTCCTCAGTGCGTTTGTGAATTGTGTGAATGTTTCAATTTGTTGAAGATAACACATTTGAAATAAAAAGTCCAATTCGGATGTTCTGAGTGGTGCATAATGTAGCTCAAGATTTAAGCAAATCTGTACATTGGAAGCTCGTGCAGCCGGCTGAGTGAATAATCTTGGAAAATTCCCCACCTCAAATATCAATTGCAGAGTCGCGTGCCGCTCCCGTAGGTACTTATTGGATGAATTTCAGGATTTGAGTGTGATTTCACCATGCAATGTGTCACCTTCAGATGTAGCAATTGCAGTGTATACTAGGAGTGACATGTGCATAAAAAGTAAAACTCTTCAATAAAATATTAAATCGTGACACAATATCTTACTTGATTCTCTAGTGTTGTTTCAGTACTCGTGAGATCAGATCTTTACCATTATGTTCCATTTTGATGAATATATGTTAATACAAGGAGTATGAAGTATAAGGTGTGATTGGTTAGAGTTATGTGGTACGGGAATGTGAGGGATAATTAGCCCAAAGTGAGTGATAACGTGTGATTAGTTAGAGGTATATAATACAGAAGTGTGAGTGATAATTAGCCCAAAGTGAGTGATAAGGTGTGATTGGTTACAGGTATATAATACGGGAGGATGAGGTATAATTAGCCTAAAGTGAGTGATAATGTGTGATTAGTTAGAGGTATATAATACGGGAAGATGGTGTATAATTAGCCCAAAGTGAAGTATAACTAGGAGCTCCCAATGTTGCTTGTGTTAATACATGTCTTAAAACATATTTACTTGTGGACGATGGTTAAAAAACATAACATGAGAATGATGGTTTGTATGCAATACCATTTCTTGTAATCATCACACATTAAACTACTCATTTGTACATCGAAGTTGAAAGAAAGAGGTTGGATTAGCTTCTGAAACAAAATAATGAAAATCAAGTTGGGAATCCACATGAAAGTAGACGTTACCAACATTCATTGTGATCCAATTTTACCCTTCCACTTTTACACATGCTTGAATTTTCAAGATGTCAATCACAGATTCCCACACGACGAAACATCAAAGGAATAGATGAATATGACCCCATAATACTACATTGGAGAACCCATGGATGGTTACTTCAAGATGCAAAAGTCTGACTTCATCTTCTGCATCTTGGGTCCGGGCTAATCCTCGACTCGAGCCTCTTATTACTCTCACTCTGTGGCATGTGTTCATAACAGTTCACAAACCACAGCGGGAGCAAAAGGACGAATCACCATGTGACGTGACTCCCCGTAAAGGGATTCGTTACATGTCCTAACCAGTCTAGGTTAGCTTTTAGCTACGGTTAGATTCACACCTACGTTAAACTTGTCTTGAATTTTTGGGGTCCTCCTTCATTTTCTCCTTCCTTTAGGTAAGGAATAAATATATTAAATTTGTTGTTTAAATATTTCTCCTTCATTTATTGTATTTTTACTTCGTTTGGGTAAGGTATAGATATTTTAATTTTTGTATGTTTATAGTTTTCTCTTACTTTATCTCGAGGAATTGTTGGGAAGCAACGCACGGAAGAAGGCTTGTATTCGTGAAAGTTCACAATTTGATACCACTGGCGATATGGAGGCGAAGCATCTGGAAACACAAGCGCAGATAGTGGATATAGATAGATACAGAAACTCCGTCCACGGCGTCCATCCATCAATCCATCCTCCCTCCTGGATCCTCTGGAGCCGAGGTTCCGTCGACGATCCCGAAGGCCGAGCGCGATGCAGGGCCCCGATAGGCCACAAAGGGAGCGGGGCCGGAGACGAGCAGTTAGGAAGAGGGCGAGAACAGGAGGCAAATTGCGGGCGCAAATTGCGGCCTGGTTCCCGCCATCTGGTTACAGAGTTCATTCCAAACTGGTAGCAGCAGGAAGGAAGGAAGCAGTAGGTCACGGACAAATAAGCAACGAACGGAAGTGCGCAGCGCCCTAAGGAAAGCACGAAAGCGAGCCAAGGCTGCCGCTCTCTCGCTGCGCTCGTCTCTTGCTCTGTCTCCCGTCGCAGACCCAGTTTTTCTTCGTGGTGGCGCGCACCGATCGTCCGGCTCCCGAATCCTCCCGCTCGCTCGTCGCTGAATCGACCCTGCTCGTGGTTTGAATCGATTCCAGCGTGATGGCGGTGAGTGCGCGATGTGGTGGTTCTGTCGTGCTGTTCTTTGCCTGCAGTAATGGGCGGGCAGGGCAGCTCGGGGATGAAGATGATTGTTGTTGTGGGTTGGGTAGCTGCTCGATCAAGAACTGGATCGCGATGCGGGGGCGATCACGCCTCAGGGATCGATTTGTTGCGGAGAGCTTTGTGTCTGCTGTGCTTTGGCAGTGGCGTCCCGGAAGGGGGTGGTATCATTGTTTCTGTCTAGGCGGTGCAGCTTTTTGTTCTGTGAATGAAATTATGGCTCGTTGTGCAGGGAAATATTTTAAAAGAGGAGGCCCTCGAGGAGAAAGGAGAGCGGGCCAGAATGGTGAGTCTTTGTCTCTTAGAGCTTGTCGATATTCTAGCTGTTTGATCCGTGCAGCTCTTTCCGGTCAGTTGTCGAAACTTTACAGACATTCACAAGGATATATTTTAGGTCAATTGGCATTCTTCTACGATCGAGTTTTCAATCAAGGTTGGGTGGATTTGCTTATCCTAGTGTATAGGTCGTCACACAATGTCCTCTGTTTGGATACAGGCCGCTTTTATAGGAGCGATGGCCATCGCAGATCTCGTAAAGAGCACACTTGGACCTAAAGGCATGGTAAGCGGGATCATTGATACTACAGTTGTATGTCCTTTCACTCGAGTGTAGTATTTTTGCTCGTTACAAGTATCCGACCGATACTTTCTCGTTGCTTTCAGTTTTGTCTCGTACTAAACTCGCCCATCACCTTGAACTTCTTGTTAGCACGGATGTATCACATTAACAGATCAATGCATTTACTGCAGTGGATCCAGATTCTATTTGAGTATGCCCTCAGGCACGATATTTGTTGTTCGTGTTCTACAGGACAAAATTCTCCAGTCGACTGGAAGGGGCCACTCTGTCACAGTGACTAACGATGGCGCTACGATTTTGAAGTCTTTGCACGTCGATAACCCTGCTGCCAAAGTCCTTGTCGGTATCCTCAATATGATTTTAAAGTAGAAGGGTGAAGTTTGATTTCCCGGTCGTGAAGATCTGTACGTCTATAGATGTCAAACTCGTTCTTGTCAGCCTGCATTGCTTCACTTGTGTGTCAAATCTAGGTAGTGAGGTGGTCTGCAGAGCGTGGTTCTGATGATATAAACGTGCACATTTAATGCGACGTCTTTAACTCCTGGATCGAAGACATTTCTAAGGTCCAAGACGATGAGGTCGGAGATGGTACCACGTCTGTGGTTGTTCTCGCTGGAGAACTTCTGCGCGAGGCTGAGAAGCTTATTTCTCAGAAAATTCACCCTATGACCATTATTGCCGGTGAGTAGATTGCGGGCTAGTTTTGGTGAAAGCTTTTTCGTAATCAGTCATATTCTTTTTAAAGGTCATCACCTTAATTCATACAGAGATCGTGGCGTGCTTCCCAGTACCACTGGCACCCTCATTATCATCTGATGTTTGTCAGGTTGATGGTTTGATAACCAGCTTGGAAGGCAGCACAATATTTAGAGTACTCTTAATTTTCCTGACGTTCAACGGCGTTACGTGTGTCAGGTTATCGAATGGCGGTTGAGTGTGCGAGGAATGTTTTGGAAAGTCGTGCTCGCAACAACAAAGATGATCCAGGTGTGTAATCCGATTATCGTCTTCACACCTCGCTGTCTTAGTCGCATGTCCGTCTTATCCATGGTGATTGTTAAGGGCGTTGTAACTTGTTTTCTTCATACTCTTGGGGATTTTCCACATGTGCTCACTTTTTGTTTACTCGATGTTCATCTCTGTGACGTTTCAACGGTAGTTTAATTATAATCATGGCATGCGTAGAGAAATTTCGAACGGATCTTGTCAACATTGCAATGACGACTTTGAGCTCGAAAATTCTGTCCCAAGACAAGGAGTATTTTGCCAACTTGGCAGTCGATGCCGTTCTGCGGTTGAAGGTAGTACTATACGATTGTCATTCAAGTACCTTCTGGATTAAATGCAAGACCAGGTGTAACGAGAATTCCTGCTCTAGAGTTTTGGAGAAATCTTGACTGGTTGGTCGTTCTTTTGCAGGGAAGTGGAAATTTAGAAGCCATTCAGATAATTAAGAAGTGTGGAGGCTCGCTAAAAGACTCTTTTCTTGATGAAGGGTAATTTCCTGCAGACATTTCCTTCAGAGCATTGACCTTTTTAGGGTATATTACCTCTAGGTCGTATTGTGAGACTAGTCGCAGGAATGATCTTATTTCCTGAAACAACAGGTTGTAATTTCATGACTTGTCGCTTGCAGTAGCTGTACATCTTCTATGCTTGCAATGAAACGTATATACCAATGCTGACTGGCCTGGCCATGTACTCCACAGCTTTATCTTAGACAAGAAGATTGGTGTTGGCCAACCGAAACGTATCGAGAATGCCAACATCTTGGTAGCAAACACTGCTATGGACACGGACAAAATCAAGATTTACGGGGCCCGTGTGAGAGTGGACGCAATGTCCAAGGTAGCAGATATTGAAGCTGCTGAGAAGAACAAGATGAAAGCGAAGGTGGAAAAGATTATAGCCCATGGTATCAACTGTTTTGTTAATAGACAGTTGATCTACAACTTCCCCGAGGAGCTTTTTGCAGACGCCGGAGTTATGGCAATCGAACATGCCGACTTCGATGGTATTGAGCGACTTGCTTTAGTAACCGGAGGTGAAATTACTTCAACTTTCGACAATCCTGAAGCTGTGAAACTTGGGCACTGCAAACTTATTGAGGAGATTATGATTGGCGAGGACAAGCTTATTCACTTTTCAGGGGTGGAACTGGGTCAGGCTTGTACCATTGTGTTGAGAGGAGCCAGGTAACAAGCTTTCTGTCATCTTTGTAATTTGCAGTTATGTATCGAATCTTATCCGTACTTCAGATTTTATCTTAACCACTTCCTACGGTGCTGGCGTAGTAAGGCTGTCACTGTAACAATTTTTCTGAGCTTCATAGTAAGCTACGTTTTATCTTTCAGATCCTCATAATGTCCTGCCTTTTTCTACAGCTCACACGTACTGGACGAGGCAGAGAGATCCCTACATGATGCCCTGTGCGTGCTCGCATCTACAGTCAAAGATAGCAGGGTGGTTTGGGGTGGAGGATGGCCGGAAATGTTGATGGCCCGACAAGTTGACGAGCTTGCAAGAAAGACGCCGGGAAAGAAATCACTAGCTATCGAATCCTTCGCCGCAGCTTTGCGCGCCATCCCCTCTATCATTTGCGACAATGCTGGATTAGACAGTGCGGATTTGGTCTCACAGTTACGTGCAGCCCACTTTAGTGACGACAGTACGGCCGGTGTAGATGTGATTACTGGCGCTGTGAGTAACTGAATGGCTTTCTTTCTTTATGTTAGAGGAGGACTCTTTTCTCTGTGTACAGTAAATCAGAGCGTCTATAATGAGTAGGCAGTGTTTTGAATTGAACTATCATAAGCGCTGCTGATAAGAAAGAGGAATCGAGGTCAACTTTTAGCCTGTCACAGATATGCAAGCTTAGCTGGAACTTGTGAATGATATGCAGATGTTATGAGCTCTGGTAGTCGTGTAATATATCTAGGAATATGTCTTGTCTAGAATCCCTGTAGACGAAGCTTGTTGCTTTGAGAGCGACGTAATTGCTAGCACTTATAACTCTATCATGGATTTGTGCAGGTCGGAGACATGGAAGCCCGAGGAATCTACGAGGCCTTCAAAGTGAAGCAGGCGGTTCTGCTCTCCGCGACCGAGGCCTCTGAAATGATTTTGCGAGTAGATGAGATCATTAAGTGTGCACCTAGGCAAAGAGAAGATAGAATGTAACAATATTAAACTTAAAAGCTGACATTGTAAAAGAGGATTTAGGGGTAGGCGGCTAGTTTTTTATGAGGCGGTTGTCAGCAATCATAATACAAGTTGGAACTTGCAATTCTTGGATCAATTTTGAAGATTTGTTTTAGAGGAAGTGCAGTTCCCCACCCGGAAGAAGCCAGTTACCCGTTGTGGCTCCCAGCTGTATCTGAAAGTCATCTGAGTGTGGGATGTAGCGGCGACTGTTTCCCCACTGGTTTGTTCAGGCCTATGGAAGCCATATTGTTTTTTGTTATGGCGCTGAGGATCTCAAGATCACTTTGGAGATCTGACCCCTTAATACAAATGTCTGTTCTCAAGTCATGAGGTCTGCATTTTTCATACATGTGACCTTGCGTCTATAAAAGATGGCGAGACCTTGCGCCTAATATGGGAGACGCTCTGATTAGTCGTTGGCATCGCGTCACAAGATATGCAGATGACCTGTGCTGTCCCCGGAGCTCTAGATTTGAACTCAGAAGCCAGTATTAAACCCAGAATTCTACAAGTTTAGCTTCGGAGTTATGTGAAAGACGTCTTGGACACCAACTTTTGGCTTCTGCTTCGACTTAGTAGGTAATTGGTCACAGGAAATCATCCCTGCAGTCGTCCAAGGTGGTATAGTGTAAAGCATAAATATCACAGTATACATAGTATACAGATATCAAAGTACGAATATATTGTTACCCTAAACCAGGCCTCCTAAGTAGAGTTGGAGTCACAACCTCAAAGGCCATGGCCCAGTAATGAGACATGCCCCCCGGGCATGTCTCATTCGCGTTTTCCATGCGAGGCATGCCCGTATGTATGAACAGGTTTATACATATATTCAAGAGTCATAGTTCCAATGGGATAATTAAGAAAATAAAACTATTTAAAATTGGCCGGGTTGATAGCGGTTTGCCAAAATTTCTGAAGGTGTTCCCTATTACATTCTTCGAATTCGTTCTGCACAAAGAATTATTTTCATCACGTAAATGCGAATTTTATTCCTGCCCACTATAAAGTTCACTTTTCCTTTTGTCTGCTTGCGTTTGAGTAGGGTTCTTTTTCTTCGAGTGTGGGTAATGTGCTTCTAAGGTCCAATTGGAAAATCAGAAGCATCGAAGTAAGATTACTTAGATATAGAACAAATATCTTAAAACATCCATGATTGATTCTAATGTGCTTTTAAATGACGTGATTTTAATGTAATCACTTCTATATAAGTACTCCTTTCTACAACAATAATCTCTCAAGTTGACAGATCTTTATATGTGAAATGAAGGTGACATGATTTAATTCAACTTTCACATAATCCAATCTGTCATAATACATTTGGATCAATCAGATGTTCTATCAAGATCATCACAACATCCAAGCTGTGATGATATCTCTTCAGAGTCAGAAGATATGAGTTTCGTCAATAATACTAAATTTGGCATTACAGTAGGCTTAAGATTAATGTGTAATCACGTTTATACAAAATCACCTATATGACTCTTTCAAAAGTCACTTCACATGACGATTGTCAGTGAAAATTCACTAAAGTAACGTAACACTAGGCATGGATATGGAATGGTATAAACGTCTAAGTAATTGGATGCATGTGTACACCTGCTATTTCTTAAGATCTTGATGGTTTGCAGTAGAAGAGTTTACGAAATAGAAGAATGAGTTAGTTCAAGTTAATTAATTTTGTATTCAGAACTCTCGCTTGCATTTGTATACTTCCCTATTGTGGAATCATGACTTCTAGCTTGTCGCAATTACTTCTATGAATCCATAGTCAAGCTTTTCCCTTTAGTAGGGAGCTTCTCTTGACTCAAGAACATTAGTCACTTCCACGATACCTTGTCCAAATATACATCTAACTCATCTTTCAACTCATGTGAAAATGGAAGTGTAACCTCTATCATGACAGTTTTGAAAGTAGAAAGGGACTTCTGTACATTGTCTTCGTTTTTTTCATCCATATGATATTTCTTTTCGCTTGCTAACTTCTTGGTTTCACTCACCTCAAATGTTGACATAGTACGACTGGAAGTGTTTGGCTGTTCTCTCAGGAGAAGTCCATCTCCCTAACTACTCTTTCAGACAATGGACTTGCACACTCTGAAATGGAATGAAATAAACGTCGAGTAGTTGAATGCATGTGTACTGCAACCTCTGTTTACTTCAGATGACTATGAAGCAGCTCATCATGATTCTAAAAGGTTAGGAGTTCACCTCATGTCCATGTCTAAACACCCTCTCACACATTCTCTCTATTCATCACTCAAGTTCGCACACACATTGACACTCCAAAATATTGAAAATCTCACTCTTTCACATGAACTCTCCAAACTTGCTTGAGAGTCTTTTCTCTAACATTCTATATATAGTACTTGAAAAGTTATCGTAGAATAAAATGATGATTCTAATCCAACTCAGTTTACAAAGATAAACTATAGTTCCCAATACGTGACAACATGTCATTGATTTACCTGAACCTTCTAGAACTAGTATGAGCTATTGCAAAGCAATCAGAGTTAAATATAAATGAGAGACAACACAAAGGTTGCATTATCATCTTTGATGAATTTTATGTCATAATATGCATAAAAAACATGACAGTTAAGATAGATTTGCAACCTTCTTCAGAGATACATTTTTGAAAGTCTCTTGCATTCAACCATTGAAACATTCACATGAAGACATAAGATGATTGAGTACAAGAACTTGTCTCATCATTGGAACTTATGGAGTGTTAGAGCTGATATGGTTATGTTATCATCAAGACATCCAAAACAATTGGGTATAGGCAGGACTCGAACGTGCCGCCCGGATCCATAGCTTGGAAAACTCTTGCATTGAACTACTGGATCTGATTGAAATATTGTCATGATCAACTTATATTACTCTTATAGACATCACTTATCATATGACATTTGTTAGTGAAAATTCATAACACTAGGCATGGATATGAAATTGGATAAACGACAAGTAGCCAGATGCATGTGTAGACTTTATGTTTCTTAAAATTGATTTTAATGTAATCTTTTAATATTTGAATCTTGAGTTTTAATTCTTTTGAACAAATCATATTAGTGTAGCATTGATGCAAAAAGTGTTTTTAGAGAGTGGCAGTACCATTGAGTTTGTATCATTGAGTTGTGAAATTTTTTTGAATCAGATATAAGCTAGCAAAAAGTAGCAACGTTTAACAAGTTTGAGAATGAACTATTTTATCTCATCATCTAATATGGATTCATTGTCTGTCCAAGTGGAAGTTGAAAGCGCAGCAAGAATGTCATCATCGCCATAACCGATATACAAACATCAAACAAAGATATCATAGACAGAGTAGAAGGCCTTTTTACAATGTTCACACATTGCACGAGGAGCTCGATCACAAGTCTACCAAATTGAAATATCATGTATTGAATCAATGTACTTTGATATCTGAACGTAGAATTGAGTACATTCGTATTGTAAAGAGATCTTCAGAGATGCGACGAACCTCAATGCAATCATCAATTGAGTCACAATTAGGGTTAATGACACAACAAGTTTATTTGTTGTAGCACCAACATCAACGTTTACCAAATTTTTTTATCCGCCATTGAATACAAAAGTATAAAAAAAATAACATTTGCAATTTTTAGACTTCTTTGTTACATCTAACAATGAAGTCTATGTGTGTTCCAACAAAAAACTTGTAATGTTCATCCGTGATCTCAATCCAAGCAACATCGTTTTCTCAAGAAGAGTCATGACTAATCAACTATTACAAAAGAGATATAACAAGTGTTTGCTAGAGCTTGAAGATCAACTCAAGTACGTTAGCAATGTGGCTCTAATAATAAATAGAAGTGAAGATGTTTTCAACAACTCGATCTATGCTATGATTGACATCATCAACACAAAACAATGGATCTTTGACATAATACACTTTATATATAGATCAAAATAAAATGTGTTGCAACAACAATTGAATTTGTCAACTAACAAAAGTTTTCATTTATTTTTCAAAAGAAATCATTGACTTTGTATCGGATAATACAACTATCATGATTGAATTCATAGCTTCGTCACATCTATCTCCTGTGCTCAATTCAACCTGGTGGACTTGGAAGCATCAAATCGCCTCGCTGGACGCACCTGCAAGCCACAATCTTCCACATCAAAGCATCAACACAAATTCATTTCAACAAAGCATATCAAATCTCAATTCTTGGAATCCTTTGACAACAATGAGATCAACATAGAGAAATTTGATGGCATTGGAGATTTTTGCATCTGGCGTCAAAAAATCTCAGCTGTCCTTGCCCAACAAAGATTGCTGAGTGTCATATCCGACCTAGTGCTATGACTTGAAGGTATTCTCCAAGATCAAAGAGAAAAATTTCTGAAACGGCTATGGATACAATAATTTTTCACCTTTTGATTCAATTATTTGTCTTAATGAGAATCAACATAGAGAAATTTGATGACATTGGAGATTTTTGCATCTGACGTCAAAAAATCTCAACTCTCCTTGCCCAACAGAGATTGCTGAGGTTCATCTCCGACCTAGTGTTATGGCTTGAAGATATTTTCCAACATTAAAGAGAAAAAATGTCTGAAACTGCTATGGATACAATAATTTTTTACCTGTTTGATTCAATTCTTCGTCTTATTAACAGAAAAGACACACCAGCAAAGGTGTGAAAGGATCATCTCCGACCTAGTGTTATGGCTTGAAGATATTTTCCAAGATTAAAGAGAAAAAATGTCTGAAACGGCTATGGATACAATAATTTTTTACCTGTTTGATTCAATTCTTCGTCTTATTGACAGAAAAGACACACCAGCAAAGGTGTGAAAGAAGCTTGAAGAGATGTTTCAATCTCAATTTCTCTCCAACAAGATCTACTTTAAGAAAAGGCTATTTGGGTTTAAAATGGACGAGACAAAATCATCGAAAGTCAACATAGACGAGTTCTTGAAGATTACCATTGAGCTCAACCACAAGAATAAGACAATCATTATTTTCAATTCTTTTCTCGAAGCATACATGGAGGTGAAATCATCAATCAAATATGGAAGTTCATTAATTATCATAGATGAAGTGATATTCACGCTCAAACCCAAAGACTTGGAAATTAGAGCAGATAAGAAAACCTCTGGAGATGACAAAAATCACATGGCTTGTGGCAAACAACATCGCAAGAACATAGATGGAAGCAATTTCAAGCCCAAGAACCATGGCAAATTTACAAAGATCAACCATCAAAGTACTCACTCCAACGCTGACAAGAATTGCTTCTATTGTAACAAGATGTATCATATCAAGAAAGATTATTACTCATGTATCAAGAAAAACAAGTAGAATCAAGCTAGCACATCACAAGGTCACCAAGATTCAGCAAACTTTGATGATGGCTACAACAATGATAAAGTTATCGTGGCATTTGAAAAGCTCAAGGCCTTAAGGTGGATCCTTGACTCTGGTTGCATCTATCATATGACACACAACAAGCATTGACTGTGGGACTATCAAGAACTCAATGAAGGGAAGGTAATAATGGGAAACAATCATTCTTGTTCAGTGGCTGGTATAGGATTTGTTAGCATTAAGATGTCTCATGCTGTTGTGAGAATTCTTGAAAATGTTAGATGGGTAGCTGAATTGTCTAGAAACCTGATCTTTATTGCCATTCTTGATGACTTGGGTTATACTAACAAGATAGAGCAATGCTCTATGTATATTGCAAAAGGTGCTACTATTTTGAAGTGTATCAAGATAGATTGTCTCAATTATCTCATCGGAGAGACTTTCCATGGAGTTGCGTTAGTTCTCACTCTCCAAAACGACAACAAAGCTACACTCTAGCACCGAATGCTCGCCCATCTTAGTGAGAAGAATCTACAACTGATGAGCAACCAAAATTTGCTAGGAAAGTACAAAGTTAGCAAACTTGATTTTTGCGAGCATTGCATTTTGGTAAAGCAACACAGGCAGAAATTCCCAATTGTAAAGCACACGTCTACACAAGTACTTGAGTACATTTACTCACAAATTTGAGTAAATGTACTCAAATTGTGTAATGTGTAAACTGTCAAGAACAGCAACACATGGCGGTAAACTCTATTTATTATCTATTATTGATGACTTTTCTAGAAAAATTGAATATATTTGTTAAAACACAAAAATCATACTTTTGAGAAATTAAAAGAGTGGAAAATTCTGGTTGAAAATCTGACAGACAAAAAGTTTATTACTTTGAGAATGAATAATGATATTGAGTTTTGTAATGATGAGTTTGATCAATTTTGTGCCAATGAGGCTTTTGAAAATTTTTGTGCCAATTAGGCTTTTGAGAAATTAAAAGAATGTAAAATTCTAGTTGAAAATCTAATTGAAAAAAAGATTAATACTTTAAGAACAAATAATGATCTTGAGTTTTGTAATGCTGAGTTTGATCAATTTTGTGCCAATGAGAGTAATTGAAACGCATAAAACCGTGACACTAACACTCAGCAAAATGGAGTTGCTGAGAGAATAAACAGTTGATTACTGAACAAGGCAAGAAGCATGCTATTCAATTCCGGGTTGGCTAAGTCTTTTTGCGGTAAGGTTATGGTCACAACGGCATATCTTGTGAACGTATGCCCTTCAAGTGCCATTGAATTCAAAACACTAGAAGAAAAATGGAGTTCAAAGCCATCCGATCTCAATCATTTGAGAATGTTTGGATGCTTTGACTATGTTTATCAAAGTCAAAGCACATTGAAGCTAGGAGCCATCAAATGCGTGTTCCTTGACTATCCACATAGTACCAAAGGGTATCGGCTGTGGATAAGGGAAGGAAATGGTTTGAAAATTATCAATAGTAAAGACGTGATATTTGATGAGACTAAGTTTCTTTGTCAATCATGGACTGATCCAAATTCTAGTGTTGTGAGTGTCCATAACCCTGCATAAACTTTAGAAATAATTATTCAGGTAGAGCCAGCTGTTCATGTCACTTCTCCACAAGCTCAAGGCCAAAACACTTGGAGTGATCATGAAGATGAGAACATGCAAGCTCCAGATCAGGTCACTGAACCAAGCGATTATAATGATCAGGAGCAAGGCAACTACAAACAAGAGATGACAAGCCACAACAACTCAGAGCAATTTCAACAACAACATGATTACTTTTTGACCAAGGACAAAGAAATGAGGGTGTCAAGACCTCCACACAGATATGGCTTCTCCGCATACTCTGAAATCCTTGCCTATCCATGCACATCAGCCTTGGAGATTCAAATGAAAGAACCTCTCTAAGATGAAGATCCTGTTGCTGGATCAGACTCAGAAAAATGGAAGTAAGCCATGAGAGAAGAGATGAAGTTGCTGTATAGGAACAAAATCTGGAACATAATTCCAAGACCTAAGAATCAAAAGTTAGAGACATGTCGATGGTTTTACAAGATCAAAGAAGACGTGATCAATTTTGACAAGCCTCGATTCAAGTTCAGGCTAGTGGCAAAAGGCTTCACATAGATTGAAAAAGTAGACTATAATGAAATTTTTGCACTTGTGATAAAATACAAGACTTTAAGTATTATACTTGCACTTGTGGTTCAGTATTATTTGGAATTACAACAAATGAACGTGAAAACAATGCTATTCTATGGCAACCTGGAATAAGTGATTTACATGGAGTAGCCAGCAGTATATGACGAGCAGAAAAGCAAAGACATGATGTGTCTATAAAAGAAATCGCTGTATGATTTGAAGCGATCACCACGTCAATGCTACAAGCTTTTTGATACATTTATGCTTGAGAAAAGATAGAACATGAGTTCTTATGACTCATGCTTGTTTTTCAAAGGTCATGAAGTACTGAAAAGCATCTACTCTTGTATGTAGACAATATGTTACTGATCAGCGGCTCAACTTCAAAGATATCAGAACTCAAGAAAATTTTGAGCAAATAGTTTGATATGAAAGATTTACCTGATTCTACGAGAGTCCATGGAATTAGAATCATCGGAGATAATAAAAATGATTCATTGGCATTGTCAAAGGATGGCTATTTGGAGAAGCTAGTTCACAAATTTGCCATGAAAAATGCAAAGCAAGTGAGTCAAATCTTTGGCAAATCATTTCATCCATTTTGCAAGTCAATGCCCTAAGTGAGCATCAGCAAAGCAATCAATGGAAGATGTTCCATATTCAAGTGCAGTCGGCTCAATCATGTACACTATGGTGTTTTCAAGACCTGATATTGTCCATGCCATTAGTGTTACTAGCAGGTACATATCAAATCCTGGCAAGTAACATTGGTTGTCTATGAAGCATCTACTAAGGTACTTGATTGATTGAAGTTACACTTGGTTTGGTGTATTGCAAAAGAGCTAGTTCAGTTCTAGTGAAAGATTATGTAGACTGTGACTACGCAGGGATAAAAACAACTAGAAATCTACTACAACTTATCAATTCTTGATCAACAGCAATTGCGTGAGCTGGAAGTCATAGTTACAGCCTGTTGTGACTTAATCCACAGTAGAGACATAGTATATTGCTGCCACTAAGGTAGTGAAAGAAGACATGTGGATTCAAGGCCTGCTGAAAGAGTTACATGTGTTCCAAGGTATAACAACTCTCTTCTCCGATAGCCAAAGTGCAATCCATTTGTGCAAAAATCCAGTGTTTCACGACAGAACAAAGCACGTTGACATCAAGTACCACTTTATAAGAGAAAAGATCGACAATATCAATATCAATATTGCAAAAATCAACAGTGATGACAACCTGACAGACTGTGGCATTAAAGTGGTAACTTTGGGAAAGTTTTGATTATGTCTGATGCTTCTTGGAGTTGATGCTACGTGACTTAGCAAAAATTGACGAGGACCAAGTTCGAGTATAGATGACCAAGATCAAAACTGAAGATTGAGGTGGAGATTGTGAGATATCAGCTTCAGTTGCATGCCATTTTTCTCTTTTAGAGTCTTTGTCATTTTATTATTTAGTAATAGCTCGCTGATGAGTCAATATACTATGGGTTGTGTAAGAATTGACTTTGATTCATTCTGATTTTTTACCGTTATAAGGTACCGTTGTAAATCACGGTGATATAAAGTCACTCACCAGATTAAGGCAGAGATTACAGTGAGAAATATTTCAAAAATGGTCGAGAGTGAGAACGGGGAGACACATAGAGAGAGTGAAATCATATGTGAGGAAGTGTTAGTTTTGCTCGGAAACAGGAAGTTTTGCTCGGAAAGAGGAGTGATTCTTCTTTGTGTGTATTTCTCACTAGACTGAACCCTTGTAATGACGAACTGACTTCATTGATGAGTTGGCAGGGACTAGGTTTTCAACCTGAAACTCGTCAACAAATGCTTGTGTTTGTATGGTGTGTTTAGGGTGATTTACTATAGGTTATGGGGATTCAGATCCCTACAAAGGACATCTTTTTCATGGCTGTTGAGGTTTCATGGTATGGCCCGGATCAGGAGGAAGTATATTGCATAAACAGACGATGAAGAGGTTCTTTTCTAGTGAAAACCCTATAGGCTCCAGGTCCATTGGACCTGAGGTAAGTCAATATGATAGAAAATATTACACTGCGAAGGGGATTCGGCTTTGTGAACGGGGAAGCTGTGTGAACTCTCAAAATTATGATAGAAAACAACCGTCGCAATTATGGTCTCGAATGGAGGAGATTCCATGGAACAAAACAACACGAGAGAATTCCTCGCGCCCGAAATGTTGACAGATCCGGAAGGATGAGAACTGAGATTTTCAAAGAGCTCAGTGCAAGTTACACGCGAGACTTAGGCCACCCTCAGTGCCAGCTCCTGCAGAATAAGAGCATGATACGCTGATTAGCAGAACAGCTTTTTCAAGTACCAAGGATCAGATGGACAAGGGCGATATGAGCAGAGTTCGTGTTGTACAGTCCCCTTTATGAGGGAGATGCGGCTGAGGCATGAGGATGCATCCAGAAGTGAGCGAGCTTCAGGCTTGGAGGCATCATACGTCTGAACGCCAATCGCAACATCCTCCCGAGTCGTGGAACTTCCGTGGAATATCTTCCCGGGGATTCGCTCCAGGCACATCAGGAAAGTGCACGGAACAGCAGGTGCAATGATTCAGTGACATCGGATTGGACATATGCGTACAATGTGCCGAATCATTTCCAAGAACCTTGTTCTTTCTTTTCTTTAGAACTTCACCTCCTTCTACTGCCGGCTCGCCTACCTCTTGAAGAAATTTTGTATCTGAACGATACGTATGCCGCTTACCAATCCACAGCACATTGCAGGGGAAAATCAGCAAAAAGTTTGCGACTTGGTCTCTACTTTTCAAGCTGGAGTAGCGGTTCAGACTCCAGTGCTAGGACAATGATATTTCTCGATAGGTCCACAATCACGTACATAACTGGAGGATTGGTCCAGAGAAAAGGGCTCTGTAGGAGTGAAGGACTCGCAGCAGTTGGACGGAGGGACGCAGGTAGTCATCACAATGAGAAGAGAAGGAGTTTGCGAGCTCAGTGTGTAGTTCCAGTTGGGACGAATGACAAGAACTTGCGAGAATCTCTAAGCTCACAGAGGTAACAGAGACTACTCAAATGGAGAGAAAACAGTTCCTTTGCAATGCTCGAGTGAGGAAACGATGTACAGGTTCGTTAGACCGCCTCAAAATCCATAAAGATGTAGTCGTTCCAGCTAGTCACATGGCCGAGTGTTTCGCAGGATGGTCAGCTCCATATTTATCTATGTCGAAGATCATACCTCACAAGATGGTGGATCGAGCTAACCCTTGTAGCTGACAGGTACTTGGACAGCGAGGTGTAACGATGGAGCGGTTTATTTCTTGCATTTCTGTCCTTGGGGTTCTCCTTGCAGCGAGCTTCTGTCAGCACGCTGAGGCTGGAAAGCTCCGTTTCAGCTCCGATGGGCAGTTCAAGATAGTGCAGGTAGCGCTCCTAATCCCTCTGAAACAACAACAACTCGTGTCTAGAATGTGCTTTCGGCTTCGTAGTCTACAGTGCTCGTGTTGGTTCATGCTTCGATCGTGTTTGGAACGAAGTCACCAACTCACAAGCTCAGGACACGAAATGTGCCGCTCTCTGCTGCTTGTCTCCAAAAATTCGAACATTTCCAGATGCGGGATAGCTTTCATGCTCACGTAGATCAAGAAGTCTTTGATCTCAGCAGGCAGTCGAAACTGGTGATTAGTAGATGTCGACAGTGAAAGCTGTAGCTGTAGCTGTAGTACCTTGAACTGAAACGAATTCATCGTCCTGCAATTAACTTAAGGTCGGTTCTCTCCTTTGAAGGTGGCGGACATGCACTACGCAGATGGTGCTCACACGAAATGCTTAGATGTGCTTCCTGAGGAGATGGCCACCTGCTCCGACCTCAACACAACAGCATTCCAGTGGAGAATGATCAAGCAAGAACATCCGGACCTTGTTGTTTTCACAGGTACCGTACTCGAGCTGTCAGAACTGCAGAGCTGCAGAAATTTAGCACGTTACGTCGGACTCACAATTATAAATCCAGTAATCCTATTGAGAAAGTTTGCGTGGCCTTAACCTCGTTACTGAAACTGTTTTTCTCCTTGATTGACCTCGAAGTAGGTAGTCAGCATCGTTGATCGCCTTCCCGAGACGAAGAGGCAAAAGCCTGAAGTTGACATCCGAGGCGATATAGTTGGTGCTACATAGATTCCATTGATGATATCGTGTCGAATACCATAAAAACAGGATCGACTTGACTTCACGAGTTCAGAGCCAAGAATCCGAATCGAATCTTGTCCATTGGGAATCATGGTAGGGGTTTTCCAGTCGTATTGACCTTCCGATCCAATATCAATGCAGGGGACAACATTTTCCAGAGGGATTCATCAAATGCGACAGCTTCACTAATTGCAGCATTTGCTCCCGTCATAGAGGCCAGAATCCCATGGGCGGCGGTGTTAGGAAATCACGACCAGGAGGGTCACATGACCCGTGAGGAAGTCATGGCTTTCATCGTTAAGATGGATTACTCGATGGCGCAAATGAATCCTAATTTCCTGCACGGAGATCGAACGACGATAGATGGCTACGGTAACTACATTATCGAGGTCGAAGGGCCAGCAGGATCGATGTTCGAGAATAAAAGCCTTCTAAATCTGTACATGGTGGACAGTGGGGATTATTCGTTTATCCCTCAAGTTTCGTACTATGATTGGATCAAGTCCAATCAGCAAGTTTGGCTGCAACAGGCCTCTGCAGAAATACAGGTACCTCAATTTCCCTCTGCCCTCTTGAATCTGAGACCTCGGCCTGAGCTTCTCGATGAGTCCATGCATCTGGTAATTGTTTCCATGCGCTTGAGATCGGAATGAACTTCACCGAGATGGATCGGTCCTTGCCCCAAACTGCAGAGGAGTGTCGACGCAGTCGTTGATCTCGTCGTTTCGGGTGCAGAAAGCGTACAGAGGAGTGAAGCCCAGGCCGCAGACGAAAGCGGCTTCGGCGTTGGCGTTTCATCACATCCCGATCCCAGAGTCGTTCACGACTCCGAATGCGTCGAATCTGGGAGAGAAGAATGAGGCCTCGGGATCTCCGAGTCTAAACTCAGGCTTCTTGACAACCCTCATCACCATGGGCGACGTGCAGGCTGCTTTCACAGGTCACGATCATCTGAACGATTACTGCGGCGCAGCAGATGGTCCTCTATTCTTGTGCTACTCTGGTGGGTTTGGCTACCACGCCTACGGCAAGGCTGGATGGCCACGACGCTCGAGGGTTATTACAGCTTATCTCAATGGAAATGCTGCAAGCTGGGACGATGTCAGTCACATCCAAACCTATAAACGACTGGATGACGATGGTTTCACGAAAATCGACGAGCAAACCCTGTACACGAACTATGTCTTGTCTCCCGAGTGAAAGACGATTGACACAACGAGGGAGCTTGAGATAAGGATTCGGATGCAAAGATATTATTGTAATGAATAAATGAATGAATGAACGAACTTACTTTTGGTGGAGTCAAGGTTGATGCTGATGTGAATGAATGCCTGGGAAGGACTAGGGAGCACTAGGTTGTACATGAGTCAGAGAATAGAAGAAAGGCTGTTTGAAGGTTCCTCTGGTCGGGAAAGAGGAATTCGACATCGAAACACGACAGAACAATAATCCTTCATTGGCATTGCTCGATTTGAATGTTATGGCCGATTGGCGGTGGTTTCTCCCAGGCACAGACTGCTGTCCGCATCCGAAAAGAGAACGCAAGGGACAAGTATGAAGGCAACTCTCCGACCATCTCATTTCATGCTGCATGCTCCACCGATATGCCTTGTCATCTTCTGCTTGTCCAAAGTCATAAGTCGTCAAATTAGGTCTTCTTGTCTGTTCGGCATGTCCTCGAGCTCAGAAAGGATTACACTCAGTCTGCTGGTTGAGGTTCCACGACACGATCGTTTCACGCGACGGGGTGGAAGAAGAGAGCAATTCTTCTGCGCTGAAAGATTTGCTGCTGCCACGAGATAGACAGTCCTTCGGAATACGAAGGACTTGGTCTGAGGTAACCGTGACGGACGTTTCCGCCAGCAGCGAATTAGGTCAGATCGAACGGAGAAGAAGCTCTGCGTCGAATGATTTCCGGCCTTCCGTCATCGTAGAGCGGCATGTGTGGGATTCTCGACTCGTGAAATCGATGTTCTCCGGAAACTGCGGAGGCCGATTGGGGAGTGAAGACACTGCACAGCGACATCGAGAGAGTTTTGGCAAACGGGCAATGAGCTCGGAAACATCACCCTGGCAAGAGAATCGAGGATCAAATCTGTACCAGATCGGCCGCTCCGGAAGAAGATAGTTCGCCCAGCAGATTTGAACGTGGCATTGAACTTTGAGCGGAGGAACGAGTACTGGATGTTCATCGAATCGGAATCCAGGCGCAGACGTTCGTGGAAGGTGGTGTCCGAGGAGAGAGGATGATGGCTTGTTAGGTCAATCCAGGTACCTGATTTCTTCAAGGGGTTCTGGGTTCTGGCTGCTCGTGATCAAGTGGAAGATTGCAATGCATCCAGCAGCGGAGGATGTCCATGTTTTGGACGGGGGCAATCTCGAAGGAGGCGGTCAGATCCTTCGAAACAGCGTGTCGTACAGCGCGCTGCTTCGGAAGCCGATTCGAATTGCCGCCATTCGAGTGCACCGCTCACCGCCGGGTCTTCGAGCGCAGCATCTGAAGGGGATCGAGCTGGTGCAGGAGCTTTGCGGAGCAGAGCTCGTCGGCGGTGCGGTGTCTTCCGAGGAGTTGCTCTTCCGGCCGGGCCCGCTCGCACCGGCGGGCATCGAAGTGTGCGCCGACACCCAAACCGCGGGCTCCATCACGCTGCTCATCCAAACCATTCTGCCGGTGCTGCTGTTCCAGCCCCCGGCGCAGGACGATCCCGATGCCGGAGGTGTCCGGAATGCGACCACAGTTGTGCTGAAGGGCGGCACGAACGCGACGCACGCTCCGCAGGTCGACTACTTTCTGCACGTCTTCCTTCCCGTCGCCGGGAGGATGTTCGGCGGCGACCGGGTGTCGGCCACCGTGAGGCGCCGCGGGTACTACCCCAAAGGCGGGGGCGAAGTGGTGCTGGAGGTGCGGCCTCTGGCGCCCGGCAAGACGCTCGACGGGATCAGTCTGACGGAGCGCGGCGAGGTGACGAGAATCAGAGGGTACATTTACGTCGGCGGGGTTCTGCCCATCTCCATGGCCTGGGAAATGCACAAGAAAGTGCTGCAAGAGCTGAAGGCGGCCAACTTCACCGCCGATCGGTTCCCGACGCTCGAGACGGATCTCTTCGTGTGCAAAGAGCGCAACGCGGCCGGAGGAGGCAGCGGTGTGGTGATCTGGGCGGAAACCGACACGGGGTGCATCTTAGCAGGCAGTGCCCTAGGCGATCGAAGCAAGACTTCGAAAGCCGTAGCGGTCGAGGCTTGCGCAGAGCTGATTCGGCATCTAGAAACTGGGGGCTGTGTCGACGAGTATCTGCAGGATCAGCTCATCATCCTCATGGCCCTTGCAGAGGGTCCATCGCGAGTTCTCGCGGGTCCGATTTCTCTGCACACTCAGACGGCTATCTGGGTTGCGAAGGAGCTGACGGGCGTCGAATTTAGCGTCGAAAAAGTAAATGATACGACATGTTGGATTCAGTGTGAAGGGATAGGATACACTTGTCAGAGTCCTTACTGATCCATCTCGAACACCCGCTTTCAATATTAAGCTTTCCCTGTTTCGACTCCGAGCTTCACTTTGAGGGTTCCTGCGAAGCGGGAAGGTTACCTTACATTTAAACAGCAGAGTTCACTTATAATAAAAGTAAAGTAATTTGGCCTCATGGCTTCTCCTTGAGAAACTTATATTTCAAAAAATGTGTTCTGTATTCTCTGATCTAAGCAGGAATTGCTAACCACATCTCCCAGCTTAATTGAAGGGAAATACAGACCTATGACAAAACCAATTACGCGGTTTCCACGTTAAACTCTAACCACGTTTACGTAAAGATGCTACGTTGACTGTGTTGAGACTTAGTCTCGATTGTGAAAAACTCTGGAGATCATGATGCTCACATCCATTCCAGCTGGTTATTTGGAGAAAGATACACGAGTGGAGAAGCATCACGACTTCGTGCCAGGGACGCAGAAACAAGATGTTTACTGTTTCGCTTCCAAGAGTAAATCACCTCATTCCGCTGAAGACGTATGCTGGTTACTGGAACGTGGTTGAACAGGGCGATCTCCTATGGCTGCTATACAGTAACAACATGGCTTCATGTCTGAGACATGTACCTCAGTTTGGTATGCTTCGTCAAGTGCATGTAAGCCATGATAACGAAATCTACGCAGTCCAAGCTGACCGTTTCTGTCCGAAGTCTAAAATACCGTACCGTGATTGTGTTACAGAACACCGCACAGTGCACAGTTCGTGCAACCCCTGGAATAAAGTCACTGTTAAGATGAAGTCGCCGTCACGTAAGCATCCGTGTGTCTGAAAAACAATAAATATGTCCAAATAGTTCTCCTGAGTTGTACCCAACTAAACTGGGCTATGATATATATCACTTCAAAAGAATCCAGATCATGCTGAGCATCTCCCTCTGCACCAAGCAGAGTCTGATCACAGGAAAAGAGCTGTGCATGCAAGGCTGCTCAGAAAAGACTAGCAACAATACATTGTAGAGCTCTGACACGGCCATTAAAATCAACATTCGAAGAAAATCCCATTTTATTTATGAGCATTTTCAATTCACGAGCATTAGTTCACTCTCTATATACAGCTTCCCGAAGATCTTACAGTATGAACTCTTTGATTACATGGTCCTCGACTTTCTTCTGCCTGACTAGAACTCAACTTTGAGGTAAAACTCAAAAGCACGTACTTTACCTCTTCAACACATCAAAAATGTGGGGCAAAACTCCAGAAATGGTGTAGATATGGATTCTCAGATCTCTCTCCGTGGAAGGCCAAATTGTTGAAGCTTACAGAAATGTCTGGATTCAGTCCTTCGAGTGAAAACCGTGGGGGAGATTGAAGATATCACCTGTTTCTAACACAAGTTAAACAAAACCAGTGAGAGGACTGATAAGCTTTGTTGCTCTCGGCATACTCTGGTCGAAAATTGAGAAATTGTAATGGATCTGAGACTCTATTATTGCAATCAAACGGTAGCTCATTTAGATGAGTGAGGGAAGAAGATTTCTGGTAAAAGACACGTTGAATTACCAAGTAGCTACTGTATATCGTTCAGAAGCGAGAAGAAAAAAGATTTTGCATAGGATTAAACTCTACGCTAGTGATGTAAGGGAATGGGCTTTTGTCGAATAATAATCCAATAGAATATGTACAAACGAAACATAGATATAACATGTATTACAACGGGTCAAAATGTTGTGTACATAATCTGAAGAAGGAACCTTCGTCACAAAGTGGACATATGAGAAGAGACATACAGCACATTTGAGCCCTACACTTGATTAAAAAATGGAGGGGATGTTGGCGAGATTTACATCTGTAGATTGAACTCTGCAGTTAGGATGATGTATTTTTAAGCAATTGAACTACCATTCCTCTATTTACCGTATGTTGTGCTATTTCTGACTGAAGAGTCTAGATACTGAAGGTTCATGCTTTTAAAGCGAGAATGAAGGGAATAAAAGAGAGCAAATATGGGAGCACCATTGAAGGAGAGAAGTACTTGTATACGATGCATAAAAAGTCCTCAATATGCAAACTGGGTTGGCTGCACTACGTGTCGGTTACATCATGCTTTCTCATGCTCACAGAATTGAACCGTTTCAAGCAAAATATACTGAGTTCAGCAAAATTATCTACCTGCCAGAAATAATCACATGAAAGCTTGGGAAATCTAAATTCACGTATTGTACCGGTTCACGTTGTCATTACTTGCTCTGTCCCGAGTTGAGAAGAAAGTAACGTGTCGACTTTGTACTGGTAATCTTGGCGTCTATGGAAACCTCTGCACTCGCAATTAACATCCAGAAATTAGGTGGATGTCCATGAACACATGATTAAAATGAGGTTCGATCTTGAGTCGGAGAATCTTACTTTGGCATTTTCCAGAAGAAACATGGTGTTTTGCATGTGCTCGTAGTCCTCCAGTCGCCATTTTGCTTCCTTCATCCATTCAGATCGCCAAAATTGAACCTCCTCTTGGCTCTGCTGCTCAGGACATAAGTACACCACAACTTCAGCGATAGTTCAAGTAAACGAAATCTACTCCAGTCCAGTAAACTCAAAGTGCAGATGTGAATGAAATTGATCCGATTTAAAGGAGTGTAATATGACATCAGTTCGGAGTCGCGTGAGAGATCATTTTGGATGATGCAATTTCGTACCGGTAAAAAGCCTGATTTGAACCGCTCCATTTCCTCGTTGGCTTTTCCGGGGGACGTTGGTTCTGACTCACCTATTTGGGAATCAAGGTCCTCTTCTTGCTCCGTAGCATGTGAGTGCTCTTGGATCGATGAGGTATTGTATCCATTCTCAATTACCTCGATCCCATCGGCTAGATGATCTTCTCTTCGAGCTTCACAAGAATCTTGAAAATCAAAAAATTCTTCATTCGCAGGCTTCACTCGAAGAGCTTGTATCTGGTGCACTAGAGCTTGAGCTTGTGATTCATCACGCATAATCTTGAGTCGCCTCAATTTTCCTAGAAACAGTCTGCATTCTCTCCGCTCAGAGCTTCTAGATGCGTGACCTCGGCTGGAAAGGAAACGAGTGACCTCAGATGCCCAACTAAACATCGCCCCATAGTTACTCTTCGACAGCGCCTTTGCAGCAATTTTAGATCCTGGACATGAAGCTCTAGAGTCTCCAACAACTGGTGGTTGACCACCGTCTTCATTGATTCGTGGTTTATCATTGACGCCAGCCGTTGCTTCATTCGCCGTGGACACTTGTATCGGAGATGTTGAATCAGATTGACCATACGCACGCAGGCGCTGAATGTGCGTATGACCGTCATCGATTTCACGAACCGCAATACGGGGTCCAATCTCATCTTCTTGTTGTATATCTCCGTCAGGTTTATGACGGGCGTACTCTTCACCAGACTCCTCATCCGTCCCAGAACGAACAGAAGCATATTTTGTAATGTCACCTGTCCGTAACGCTTCCTCCTCATGAATTGGAGGGGATGTGATTGCTGCATCACTTCCAGCTATCTCCTCTTCCTGCTTAGTGAGCTGAGGATGAAATCCAGAATCAACAGTTTTATCAGGTTGTTGTATGATCCTCTCATGCTCTATTCTGGCATTGTCAAGTACTCTCTCGAAAACAGATGTAGTAGCCGTTGGTGAGCTTTCCTCAGTGGATTCTGGATCTCTTCCATCTTCATCTGATTTTGACGTAGAAGTCTGGGAAGCTTCATGGTGGAAAGAGAAAGTTCCTGCTTCTATCATATCCTTACCGGCGACTTTATCGAGTCTAAATGTGATGGTATCTTCTAGAACAGGCACGTACCCACATTTTGGTGTATCGTACAAACTCATATCATACTGATCATGAGTAGAACCGAAAGAGAACGATTCTGAACTCAAGGAAGAAGAATAATTATCCCAATCGTAAGGTTTCTGTGCGACAGGCTTCTCAGAAATAGAACTCTCAAATTGAAGTTCAGAGCTGTCATACCGTTCAGGCCCAAGATTATGTTCAAACGATATGGTGTCAGGAGTCAAGCTTTCTCTGTACACAACATGTACATCCGTTTGGGGAGCACTGAAACGATCGAAACCGTGACAGTAGGATATTTGTCGTGGTGGGATGATCGTCTGCCTCATAAATAGATCTACGAGTTCATCGGCCTGTTTATGATCCAATTCAAAGTAGAATCGAGTGTACGAGTAGTAATTGTCAATGATCGCCTCTTTGAAGATAGTTTCAGGCAATGAAACAATGGGCCAGTCCTTACGAGCTCTAACACAAACCTGAAGAAAAAGAGATTTGAGTTACTCAAACTAACCGCAAGGTGACATTGCATAGCATCTGCGTAAAAGATCAAATCAAAGTCGCAACTGAGAAGCTTCATGCTAGAAATTTAGATATGATACTCGAGCTTACATATCCCCGCTCGGAAGCATTTATTAACCGTGGGATAGTCTTCCTAGATCTCAAGGTAATGTGAAACAGTCAAGCTACAAGCGGGTCGAGGAGCATACTCTCGCGGGGAATGAGGGTCGAGAATTGAGGTCGTGAATCTCCGAAGCACTAGAATCGACATGAACGGCAGCGCTGACTGCCTCGAAAATTCCGAGCATTTCTCTCTCGCTGAAGTTGAACAAAAAAATCGGCAAGCCTTCTTCGATTCGTTCGACATACTTTACCTGTGTGAAGGGAAGTCCTGCAGACAACCCACGTTGTTTTGACCTTTAGTAAGACTGACGATATCCGAAACAGCTTCTTAGGTAGGACTAAGGATCTGCACCAGTATCCGTCAAAGGCAAAAGAGACATTCCTGATAAGACACATTGTGTATGTGTGTATGTGTACACAGTATCCTCCTTTTGAGGCAATTTACTCTATCATCTGCAGAAGTCCAATTTGAGATTCGTAACGCAGAGATTGGCATGTGAAAGGTGAGAATGTTCAGTACCGAAGTGCTTATTTGTTATACACTCGTTATAACTGGTTGTTGTGCAGCCAAATATGACTGCCCCAAGATCCTGAGGACTTAAGGAGCGCTCCGTAATTACTTCCATATCAAGACCATCATCTCCGCACGAGTGGACCTTCGCTCCTCTGACGACTTGCATTGTGCGGCCGTTCCCTGCAGACAACATGCACAATTATTATTCATCCGCTAACGCTGATCCTGATCCTCTTAGAGATTCCATGCACCCAACATATTCACAAAGACGTAGCAGCCTTTACTCCTTTATCATCACCTGACTCTCCTCATGGTCGCTTTGAGGCGCAAAGTGACGATTGGTAGCAGATACACGACAATACTAACCTGCGTCGTTGGGTGTAATCATACCCAACCACGCGCGACATCTATACTTCGTTCATGGCGTGCACATTCGAGTTGGTCGGTTTCAGATCAAATCTGACTCAGCTTTCTCGAAACTTCTGCGCTAGAAATTCAATACCAGCTTACTATCAATCCATTATCCATCGATTGAAGCTGGGGTTCAAATGAAATCTTACTGAAGTCCTGAGGTTTCTGCCTTTCTACGACCAGTCCTATTCAAAGTTTTATCTTACCGCGAGGCACCAGTCTCTGGACCAAGATCATAAGAGTAAAGATTGCAGCGGGAGAATCTCTTGGAAGTCTCAACGGATCATTCTAAAATATGGCGCTACGAATTTTGGGCGTGCACGTACAGAGCAGGTACAACAATGATCTTATGAAAAGATCAAGGCCAACGTTTACACAGTTCCTGCTTGTCCTCAAACAAATAGCGTCTGTTTCTTATAACCCGTTCTGAGTTCCAGCAAACAGTGGCCCGGCGCTCGGCTACAAATGAATATGTCTTGGAAATCACACGCAGTAGGTATGCATTGAAGAAGATTTACGCACCCACAATTATTCGAGGCAGTCAAAGTAGTTCAATGGTCATGGTCCGCGATCCCGAGCCGATGATGTAGATTCTTCTACACGAGTACAAATAAATGAGGTCAGAGAATAAAATAAACAGTAGAGGCTGACATAGAATTGCAAAGAATATCATATCTAGGATCTTTGGCTGGACTGATTATTTCATAAGGCTTAGCACAAAGGGAATGCACACACTGACCTCCGAAACGAATCACGTAAACCATCGTAGTCTCAGAAGATGAAGGGTAAGCTAGATGATCACTAGGTGACATTAAATCTCGTGTGTCCGTCGATTACTAGACGAACACACGAGACTCTGAGGGGACTGTTTTTTTGAACGAGTCCAATAGTTCATACTCCATGGAACTGAAACCAATATCCAGGAGCATAATTTCCAATACTATCAGTTTATGCTATGATCTTGCTGTATGGTTCCACGAAGGCCACAACTTAGAGCTGCTCAGCCTGATGATTCCCTCGGATCAAAGGTGGGCAATGCCATATCAATCACTTGGATTAACTTGGGCGCTGTGTAACCAGAATTCAAGTTGACAATGCGTCGATGAAATATGAAATGGAGGACTTTGCGGCTGTCCTGTCTTGTCTAAACTTCTTTCGTGAATGCAGTGCGTCTTTGCCGAAGTGGAACATCTCCTCGTGGAATGGACTCGAGCTGTACGTGTCCAAGGTACAACTCTATAAACGAAACCTTCCGACGACGCTCGTATAAACATATGAAATTCTCGAACTGTTCTAATTTCAAGTTTCAGAAACCCGCTACTTGTTTAAAATTTCAACTGCCAGTCGCTAGGATGCTATCTTTGAGCACACAATTGGCTCGAAGCAGGAGTTTCAGCGTAAACTCCTTAGAACAGAATTCAGCTCCGGGCATTCAAAGACTTGAAGATCAGAGATAGGGCTAACGTACGTGCCCATCTCCTCTCTTGCTCCAACGGGCGACATCAATCTCAATCTTTAAGATGATGGCGTCGAGGTCGAAAGTTTCCGCTGATCAAACCAGAAAAATCGGCGCAAGTGTAAAACGAGGACATCTACAGTACTGCAACTCTCGGAATGTACTTGTCCCGACACGTAGGAATGAAGGAAAGAATGTAATTAGACGAATTATCAGGCCACGTTCTATGCTCTCTTTGGTCCGCTCCAACGTCTGTTGTCCTAAGTGATAACATTTACAACGTGAACTCGGTAAGAAAAGAATGTATCGCACCTTCAGTGGCAGATCAACCATCAGGAACTATTCAACGCTGTACTGTAATCTTGTCGTTGTCCCGATGTTGAGTGTCGATACAATGATGCCAAAACGTCTCGCACAAGATGAGAGAGGTAAATGCATGAATTGCGCGCGCATGTTACTCCTAAATTAAGGTTGATTCCTGAGCACTTCAGTTTATATTAGACATTTCAAGCGCGGCCTGCTTCTCTTCCCTTTTCTTCGTTTCTCTCCTCTCCTCTCCTATCAGAATTGGAGTCACTTCCACTTTAGGCCCGCTACTCCTTTCATCCGTTCCCGAACCAGTTCAGCGGAAGAGTACGACAATGCAGTTGACTCGTAAAATTTTCTCCGGAAAGCTGTAACCAATCGTGCTGGCCTCCGAACCAGGCTCTCATCGCAATTCCCTCAGGACACTCGCGATCATCAATCACGTCAAACGCCTCGCGTGCCCGACTCTACGACGTTCCGAACAGAGTTTTTACTCGGAATTCGGTGACAGTAAGCTCGCAAATTGAGCACATTCCGGACATCGCACTCTCTCCCAAAGCTCCACCGAAAACCTCGTTCCCACCCCACAGCCTCGAGAGCGGACCCGAGCGCTAGCAAAGGCACGGCCTCAAGGCCCGCGGGCCAATTTAAATCCCCCGTCGCATGAACTAAGACGCCCGGCGCCAGGCGCCTAGGCGCGCCACGGGCCGCGGGGCTGCTGGTCGACCAGTCTGGCCTGGCGCGGATGACTGCGCCAACCGACGGCAGGGCGACGGACTGGCCCGCCGGATAGAAGGACTGCCGGACGAGGTCCCTAACAGAGCATCCATCTGTAAAGTTGACAAGCCGTCAGTCTCCTCTTAGTGTTTTATTGTTTTCTAATCCCAGGCCGGGGATCTATCCCTAAACGTTAGTCCTGTGCATAATAATACCCGTGGAATCTATGACATGGTGTCTCAGACCAAGTGATACAGCTGGACCGGTGCGTGGTTACAGCTACGGTAGGGCTCATCTCACCGTGGAAAAGTGGAAATCGCTTTAAACAGAGGCAGGTAGGACTGGGTAACATGATCAACTCGGTTTCTTAGCGGCTTCGACAGTCACAATATCTTGCCGGGCGTGATGGACGTAACCAGACGGTGCAAATCCGTGTGTTCCTGAGCATGACGGTCGGCATTATTTTTTCGTACGTCGACGTCTTGATACTTTATTTACTATGATAAGAGCTGCAGTCAGAGATCTCGAGAGGATGTACTATAAGTGTACATCATAGCCGACTCGGAATCTGAATGATGCTTATGAGCTGCTTTTTCTGTTGCTGTGGACACTAATCATACACTCTTCCACTACATTTAAAGATTCCAGACATATATCTCTCGCCTGCCTACAATTATATCTTTATTCGAAGAGAGCCTATGGTGTGTCTGATTTGAAGGAAAGTGCAGAAGCGGATGAACTGATGAAAAGGAACGTAAGAATCAATAGAAGCAGAGGAACTCTTGCAGGAGGCGGTTGAGTGATTGATTTTTTCACTAAACATAAATGGAGATGATGGAATACTAGCTTGTTTTTTTTTTTTTTTTAGATACCTGTATGCGCTGACATCTTCGAACATAATGCATTTCTGATTATTTGACATGGATCTGATTCAGATGAGATTCTTATATCTTGTATCAGGAAGACACAGAAAAACTGTTAGTTTAATGTAGAAGATTCCGACATTTGTTACCATCTATTTATACTGGAATATGGAGAAGAAAACTGCATGATTAGGAATAGAGAACGGAATCTCAGCCTTCACCTTGAGGCAAATGAACCTATGGATATCGATATGAAGACTCTGCAGTATCAAGAGCTGTGATAAATTCGGACAAACTACTACTTGATATAAAGTTCGCTTTAACTTTCGAATGCACCTGCTACATCTCCATCTCCGCATTTGACGTACTTCTAGATTATCTGTGATACTCGCAAAGAATTTTTGTTTCACTTGAATCTTTTTTGAATCAATTATCCATGAGTTAAGAGTTTTGTTCGTAATTGACCTCCAAGAGTTACTCAAACAAAGACAATAGGAGGAAATATCAGAACTTATTGAACGTGGGCATATACATACTTTTGTGAATATATAGAACCTTTCTTGGGTAATGTTTCAAAAAGTGGCTAGAGTTAACTCTGCATCACGAACTTTTATCTTGGTTCTTTCATCTGACATACGCATTTTCATACAACGTTACCGTATTTTATCTTGGGACTACTTGCTACTTGAGATAAAATCAATGCCTTTGCTCTGGTTGACATTTGATCTCATTATTATTTCCTTTCTTGTCAGCTCAACACAAGGGCTGACCACGACGGTGCATTTAGTTCGGCAAAGTGAGCTGGTGTATTTTATCTCCATAAGGCATCTTGAAAATGTCGTTATAAAAAAATTGCTCATTTTTTCCCCTTCTTTCTATCTTTTATGCACATGCGGACTTGATGTCCACTTTTTCGTTCACGTGCACTTATCTATGCTACACCAAAGAGTAACATCTGCCAAGGTGTCGACCATCGAAAGAGAAAAATACAATGACAGCATTCGAGATAAGGACAATGGAATGGAATTGGAGGATGCTCCACCGAAGAGTCATAATTGCAGAAATTTACTGCAACCTCGGACACGAAATGAGCCCGATAATCTACGTCATACTACACCTCAAGGGTGCCAGGTGGCATCTATACTGTACTGGAAGCAGCCTCAGAATTGAGAAAGGGTCTTCGGAAGAGAAGTGGAATTACAAGGACCCAATCTGAGTTGATGTACGCGGGACATTGATTTTTACGAGAGAATGAAGGTGAGGAATGGGAGACATGCTGAACCGGTACACATCCGTGCACTGGGATACGAGGAGGAAATCCCGGGCAGTGACTGCAAAAGCTACACAAGGACTGGCATCCGCAGAGGCTTGGTGGCAGGTGCTGGTGGCAGATCTGCCTGCGGCTGGCAGCAGAAATGGACGGTCAAAGCAGAGAGGGAATGGTGCGTCTTAGCTTTGGGAAAGGAGATGAGCGCGCCGTCGGCACCAACGTGTAGGACCGTAGGTGGGTGGGGGAGTAGGTCAGTTGTCCAGAACTAAACAATGGTCAAAAGCATTTAGGCTGAATTTTGACGAGCGTAGAGGAATGTCTAGGCCGGAGCAACGATCTCAGTGGACTTGACTTGACCGGCTCCTCGAGGCTCCACGATCTTGGTCCTGACATTGACACTTCTGCGGGCGTATTTTTCATGCGCAGCCTACCCTACTTGTCGGTGGACGATTTCACTCTGATTACCGAAGTGTGGCCTTTAATGCTTGTGTCGATTGCTTTGCATAAAGCTTTGCTCGGAGACGAATTGGTTTTAATTACACTTGCGATTTTAGACATGCTTGGTGCCGTTATATGTATCAATCTCTCGTTGTGATGTCTTGGTCCTGGCTCTATAATAACCCCCTCAGCGATATGAGTTGGCTGTATTCCATTATCTTGGAATGTTGTCCGCACAATTTTTATTTTTTCTATTCAGAGCGTCACGTATTGTGATTATGGATGGACAGCCTGATCTACCACCTACGTCCCTTTACTCGGTGAAATATGACAAATCTGTAAATATTCAAGGGTTTTGGAAATTTTCCCAATGGTTATAGGTAAGTTAGTGAATTGCCAATTTTCTAACATAATTTATGGAACCGGAAAAGAGTAGGCATACCATGTAATTTATGGGTTATTCATCAGATTGATAATTATTCTGTTTATATTTTCCAAACATTTATTGATATATTAATTCAGTTCTTTTGAAGTAACAATGGAATATATTTCTAGATTTGTCCACAATTTGTTTAAAGACTTATGGACATCTGACTACAGCAACTTATGAGAACGAGACTGGATTTTATGTTACCCTGCCCCCGTACAGTACATTCTTACATGGATCTTCAAAACCCTTCATTGTTTATGTTTGTGTGGCGTCAGTGGTGTAGAATGTCATTCTTAGGCGATGGTAGGTCAACTAATTGGCACACTAATTCAGGAGATGGTCGAAGCATTTCAGATGACAATACTAATAAAAAAGAGCCGCAGCGTGATGTTGGTGATTAGCAAGTGATTCTCTTGATAGTTGTCCGTCCAGTCTTGTTCTGATCAAAGATCTTATGAAACTTACAATATAAGTAAACAAATGATTAAACGTAATCAGTGCTTAGGGCCGTTTCAGTCAGAGTGAACGAGAAATCTCTGCGCAGGAGAATTCAGGTTATCTGTTGCTGTTGACCCTCGATAATTTATAGATTGACCCTCTTCTCCCAAAGTCGTCAAATTGTACAACGCAGAGTTTAAAAACATTCCACGATCAGCAGGTAGCCCATGCAATACATTAATTTTGAGATGTTTTTGTTTGTTTGATCTTTTAGGTCGATCGTAGATGTTTATGTTTTACATACGAAAATAAAATAGTTCCGAAAGATGTTCAGTCGATTCTTGAGGTGTACTCCATTCTCATCATCACGAGAACTGACAATAACAAACGCTCTAGATATATATTCTTTATTGAGATGGAATAGAGAAGGGAGGCATCAATTGAACGACAGACAGGCGATCAGATTTACATCGTAGTCATGCTCTTAAATAACTGCCTGTCATGGTAATATGACTCGTTCATCTAATGCAGTTGATCGACCGAATTTTCGATTGATACAACTGACGCAGTATTGCTCAAGATGTGTAAAATATATATGTGTTATTTGTGATATATATTTTCTCGAATCAGAGTGCAATAAGGGACGGATACATAAAATACATTTAAATTCTAGAGTCAATATGTACTGCTGGAACTGCACATATGATGACTAGTTGATGTGCAGTTCCAAAAATATATTTCCAAGGCTAACAGCTTTGATCCTTTCCCCTGTCAGCAGCATTTCCCACTTCAGATATGCTTACCAGATAGATACCAGATACCATATGTTTGTAGGGACCTTAAGATAACTTCTGAGTCACAGCAGTAACTTTATGTACGAAATAGTTTACGCATTCTTTGCACATCAATTATGAACTATATCTGTATATTGATAAAGTATCTTCGATATCGATGCCATAGTCATGCGGTCTTAACACTTACCTTCATTGTCCATACAGTTAGCTTGACTATAAAACCATGATCTGAAATTATATCGAAATATATATGAAAAATGATTTCTGCTTTAGATAGTAACGCTATAATTAATATATATATATATATACATATATCTTGGGGGTGGGGTGGGGGAGAGACTTGCATTTATTATATGTTTTTATTATTCTTCCGAAAGGTCATCCCGATTCATACCATGTGACTCCCATTTATTCTTGCGCAACTGGGTATAGGTTTTAGAGAATTTGGTCTCTTCCATGTGCATGGGAACTTGTGACCAATAAAAGACTAAGCTTTTTCCTAGAATCTACAACGGAAATTCAGCTTTTAAAGTTGTCTGCAATTGTGTTACCCATTTCGTAAGTTATTGTTTCTACATAGAAGTCCTTTCTAATTTCAATGGACTTCTATGTATATGTTAAAAGATTTTTTCTCACAAATCGACTTTCCTCTCTAGGTGTATTTTCATGGATTTCTTAATTTGTAAAAACTGAAAAGACGTAATGTAAAACTCTATTCTTCAAGAGAAATAAGAATTGTGTAAAGGATGAGCATTCTTCTATTGTAAGAGTGTGCAAAAGTGATTACATAAGTCATTTTATCACCTTCACTTCCATGTTCGAAATTGGTCTTGTGTTGATTACAATGCAAATTACAAAACGATAGCTCCTCAAGATGTGAGTAGCTGTAAAGTTGAACACATAATCTGGTTACTGTAAAATGCTAGAGGCTCGGATTTGTTTAACAGATTTTGCTTCAGTATCAGCATTGAATGAACTAGCTCAATGGAGTCAGTGAGGAAATAACAAATCAAGCTAATGGTGTTCTTTCAAGAGATTGAACATTGATGAATATAATCCTTGATAAAGAATTAGAAAATTATCTAATTGTAGCATAGTTGATATGAAGATAAAAATTAAAGTCGTCACAAGATGTCATCATAACTCTTTTGCAATAAGTAATTATGGTATACATTAAATGTTTGATTAGTATATTACTTTGATGATGGCTTTATGACTTTGATTATAGGCTCTTAAATTTCTACAATTTTAGTCCAAAAATACTAATCTAATCTTTTCTTGGATGAAGTTTGAGATATAAGTATTGATTTAATGATAACATCATACAATTGTTGCATCTCTGATATATGTATTTAAAAAATTTGAAAGAAATTTTTGTCATAGCTTGGATGTAAAGAAACAAGGTTATTAATGAGCAATTAGGTTTTTTTTCAAGCAATGTAACTAGAATTCATGAATTCTCTAAAATTTTGAAATTATTATTTAAATTGAAATTAATTTTAAAAACGATAAGATATTATATCAAACATTATTGAAATTTTATTCAAGTCATCAATTTCTAATGAAATTGAAAAATCTAGTCCTTATCTAGAAACATAAAGCACAAAATCATATTTCTAATTTTTATTTAGGACTTATTAATAAATAATTCTTGAATAATATAAATTTTACGCATATAGTTATCCAATTCAAGATGATTGGAAGATTGAGATAATCATGTGTATTATGCATGAATCATATTGAAAGATTTTAGACAATGTAACAATAATCTTAAGAAAAAAATTCTATTTCAAAAATATCATCTAACAAATGAAAATAATAATAATAAATAAATATCAAATTAAATTTTTTATTATAGATTAATTTATTTGGATATTGAGGAATTGAGCACTGATTTATATTAGTAAAAAAAATAGAAGACATGAAGTCATGTCTTCCAAAAAATACAAAAGTTGATTATTAAAGATTAAATAGTGAAATGAGAAAATTTGAAATTTTATATAGTTTAAAGCAAGTTTTTTACTTCAAAATTATTATCATTAAAATATCATGACATTCACATCTTGATAAAATATACGAAAGTGAATGAATGAAGTTTACAAACTAACATAATTTAAGTAAAATTATTTTTTGGAAATGAATTGAATGAATCTAGAGTATAAGAAGATATAACCAAAAATAACATATCCATACAAATCTTAATATTTTAAACAAAAATTTTAAACACATTATTTCAAACATTTTTATTGATTGTATAATTTTTTTACATTAAAGATAATATTTTATATTTTAGATCAGAATGGAACTTGTTCTGATACCATGTTTGATCAGACGATGCAATTGAGAGTAAGAGATCTGTCGAAGCTGAGGAAGTATTGAAGTTTAATTGATGGATGATAACAGGAGTCCCGGATTGGGTTTAAATAGCCAATCCGGATAATAGCAAAAGCCATGAGAGAGCACACGGATTGCAGCTCTCAGGAGGGATATGCCCTTGACAGTGGTACACACACCTGTCATAGGACGCACTCATTCAAGGGTCGCATCCCCAATTAGTATCCATCCTGACTACTAGTAACCTCAGTCCTAATAACTAGTATATAGTGTATAGGTCCCAAAGAAGTAGGGAGTAATCTGCATTCCAACATTGACACATTTTAACACATATTCAATTATATACTTACAAAAAGAATAAATGTAGCCACATGAATACATAATTATATGCTTAGTTACAAATATGAATATTTTATATTGATAAAAAGATTTATGCAAATTATATTTAAAAATTGAAGAAAATGCATTAATTTTTTATTCATTAAAAAATGAAAGAGATTATCATATTATGTATTCATAGTTTATTGACATATTTTAGCACATTAAAATATTAAAAAAATTAATTGAAAATGAAAAATTATAAATAAAGATATCAAATAAATTAAATATATTTAATTGAAAAAACTGGATTGATAGAAATTAAAATGAATTAAATTTTTGTTACTATTTTTATTCAAAAATTAATTAATTTTTTTAAATAATTGTTTTGGTCAATTTAGATGAAAAACAATTGAGGTATGTTTGAAAATTAAAATGTTAAAAGTTAATAAAATTGTTGGCTGAACTTAGGTATGTTTATGTTGAGTTTAACTCTTGTTAAGGAGTCATAGCTAAACTTAGTTAGGAAGGATAGCCAAGACTAGTGGTATTTGATCTCAAAGACTTTTAACTGTACTGTGTATTTTATCATTTGCAATACATTTTGAGTTTTACTGTCGTGGACATAATACTCAAAAGCTTGAACTTTTGAATCTTATCATGATTACCATCTGGTTTATTGTAAATCGTTGTTGTTATAACACTGTCTTGTGTTTAATTTGATGTTAGTTAATGGAATTTATTAGAGCTCACTAAAGCTCTTGATATTTTTTAGCAATTTTCACCATGAAACATGAGTTGTACATGTGAACGTAACTTAAAATGTTGAATCATGTATGTCTAGTTTTTGAGTTTGCTTATGAATGTGCATTCTTGTGTGTTGATTGTGTGTGATTGAGTTTCAATGATTTTTGTGACAATTGATATCCAAGTGTTTAAAAATATGTAAATGCCAAGTGTTAATATTATAGTCTTGTGTAATATAATGACAAAATTGAAATGAGCTTCAATTTCCATCGAGATCTAAGAGACTTAAACAATATATAGAGTTGTTATGCATAACTCATTTACGAAGTATAGTCAAGAGTGAGCAATTCTTTTCATGCTTCTTCGTGCATTTGGAAAAAATTATTGTCATCAATAATGATATTAATCTAGGAAATGGATAAATTGCAAGATCAAATAAAAACTTGAGTGAGATCAATTTTACTATTGTCAATTGCTTGTTTTAGCTGTTTATCTATGTCTAGAGATATGTCTTGATGTGGTTAAAAAAAGTGACACTTAGAGAGAAGAAGATTTGATCTATAATGATGAATTTTTTCTTGAATAACATTTATGAGTGAAGATTTATGTATGGGAATTTGAAAAATTTCTTCCTTGTATATTCTAGATACATCCACAAATAATTCATTAGACAAGAATCTTACAAGCTACACAATCTCATAGCCTATAACTATCGCTTCACGAGCATATCTAATAAAATGTCTTTTTTTAGATGTGGTATCAAATTTATGCATATAAAAATAAGTTGTACAATAAAAAATTCTCAAATGATTACTATTTGCTCCAATTAAAACGGCATTAAAACATTGATTGCATTAGAGGTACAAACTTTTCCTTATACATTTTGACATTGAGAGCTTCAGTTCAAAATTTGTACAATAATCCAAGAAGTTTATGATAACTAGAAACTTTCTTTAACATTGTTCAATTGTGATTTTCAAAAAATATATTTAATTTCCATTCATGCTCGTTATGAGAATTTTTTTTCATCTTTGCAATAATTTCTAAACTCCTCATGAGTATTATATTAATGATCAATATGCAAATGTAGCACTTTGTGTTTAGTATGAGTTATAACTTGAACTTTGCAACTTTTTAAAGTTGTAAAGCTCTCAAAGTTCTTTGTGAAAAATTAAATCCATACAAATCTTGAGTCATGAACAATAAATAATACATAATATAATATTTGAAAATGAGTTTTTTGAAAAAAATACTCACAAGTCAGATCATTTGAATAATTGAAAAGAAGTAATACGTTATTATATATTTTTCTTGTCTCTCAATTTAAAATCTAAAAAAATTTATGAAAATATTATTTGGTTGTATAAATTTATCACTTAAATAAGATTGAAATAAGATGTTATCAATTTTCATTTTCATATTTGAAGTGTGTTATATTTTTCTGCAAATCAAATGATGCAGATTAGCATGAAACATATAAACACAAGTTATCACCTTATCAAAAATGTAAATTTTGATAGAAACATTGAATTAGTCATGCATTACTTAAATTTTTCATTTTGATAAATTTATGAGACATTGTGCCATTTTGTAAGTTTCACATGAAGAATGGAAGTAGAGTTTACTAACAATATTTTAACATTTAAGCGTTTTTAACTACGCTTTAGTTTTAATTAGCTACTTTTTTACAGAGATAATTATGTTAGATTTCATTTTAGAATTTTACAAAGAAGAATGATATAGCATATGAAGGTTGCAATTCCGATGACAAGATTAAAATAAAAGATTGTTAGGAGTTAATTCAGATTACTTTAACACCAAGAAGTGAAACTGGTCACTATATACAAGATTTCAAATAAACACTTTAAAGATTTTAATCTCAATAAAACATGAAATAATTTCATGGACTTAGCGAATTTGTTCAGCTACTTATGTCAAATGTTGGCTATATATATGCATTTTTTGTGAGTAAATGCTTTTTGACTTTCCTTGTGAAGAAATAATGTTTTTTAAAATATGAATTTTATAATTTGAAATCTTGGCATCTTCTTTAGTTTTATATGGATGTATCTCATTGTGACATCTCATACTTATTCGGAACTCATTGATTTGACTTGCTAAATACCATTTACTGGAGCCGTGAAGTAAAGATGCCGCATGCTATGCAACATGGACTTTATAGATATGCATGTAACGAGTTAAGTGTGCGAAATTGTGACTTGGCCTGGGATAGTCATCCCAGCAGTAGATCTAGAGACGCTTGATTGCTAACCATTAGATCGAGGACAAAGAAATATGTAAAGTATAACATAGTGTTGCATATCTACGTTAGATTTGTTAATAAAGAACAAAATATCACAATTAAAGACATAAACTTAACTAAATAGAGAAACTCAGATAATGGGGTATCAAATCTTGTTTTAAAGTCAATTTATTTTGATGATTAAATATTGTGTAACTAGACCTACTTATTGGAAAATAGTTTCCATTGTACCACTTGATTATTTCCGTACATAGTTTTTATATCCAATTCTCTCCGTGCCTTCCAAAAGGAATTGTTTCACAAATTTTAAATCGACTTCAGAGGCACAGTAGATTAAATATGAGTGTACATCATTTCGTCTATGACAATATATTGCGATCTCACCGTAGATTTCCTCATGCAACCGATAAAACTTGCAAAAGAGCATTGCAAAACACGCGATGGAACTAAAGTGCTAAAGTCAGCTTCAACTCATGCACAATTTGGTCGACAAGACGTGGAGATGAGGGTGCTATGCTTGCTCATCATCGTAGAGGGCATGCCTACCATTCTTCGTCTCGGATAAGATCGGAGCAAATTGCAAGCCTTGAAAGAATCTAATAGGAATTCTCTTTCAGCATACGAAAACAGTGTCGACTCATCGGATCCTCGTGGAGAGGACGACATTCGACAACTGTACTAAATGACGTGTTCAGTCAACATGAAAATACGTGGAAAAAACAAAAGTGATAGCGAAGCCCAGTAGGATTGGAAATTCGAATTTCGTATTTAATTGTATGGTCGACATTGGTTCCGGGAGTGTGTTGAACACATAAAGCTCCATTGCAAATAAGATGAGATGGATGAGAACTGTTCCCTTTTACCCACACAAATTTCACTTCAAAATTGGCAAGGTAATTTAGGGCACACAGCTCAAGAAGGTATCTGTGGTGTGTTTGTTTATAAATATTTTCCTCTTGTTGGGGGACCAGGTGTTGTTATTGCTTTGTGCATTTGAAGACTAGGACATAAGTTGTAGGAACCATGTACTTTCAGCAGATTTTACAGTAGACTTCAAGGAGATATTGTTTTTGAAAGCCTGCTTGGAGAATAGATGTTTCATGCTTACTGGAGAGAAGGAACATACATATCTAAGAAACTGAAAAATCTGATGAAAGTGAGTAGAAAGGCTCAAGATGACAAGAGCAGCAGAATGGCCCTCTGCAGGACAAAGAGTCAACTCCCACATGAGCTCTGTACTGTCTACAAAAAGTTCACATGGCGGCTGCCAGCGTGATCAGAGTCACAGAGTCTCTGGGTCAAAGCGGATTTGGCGACTGACTGTAAGGCTGAGTAACTGCAGTAAGAAGGAGACGACAGTGGAAAGGAAGCTACCGGTGGCTTGGAAGTTGGAGCCTTGGAGACGAAGGAAAGAAAGCAGCGCTGTCTGGCACAGCGACCGAAGCTGCGTAGGAGGGCACGCGCCGCTGACGAAGAGACGAAGGAGCAAGCAGAGCAGAGCAGCAGCAGTGCCTTTTCGTTCCTCACCCCTTTCTTCACAGTTTCGATTACCATTTTGCTTGCAATTTGCATTCCCCCTTCGGATCTTTTCTCCCGTGTTCTTCTAGCGAGGCGAGGTAAATAAGTGGTGTCTGTCGATCATACCACGATTCGTTGCGCGACCAGCTGAACGGCCAGGCTGAAGACGCATACCTTCATCGTTTTTGTTGAATTGAGGTTTATCGACCCAATTCTTCGTTGGATTCTGAGCTGAGGCAGCGGTCTGTTGAGGAGATTTCGAGGAGTCGGTGGAATTTATTCAGGAGGGCAAGATTGCGGGTGTTACAGCCATCACCGAAGGGTTGAGAGAGATGCAGAATGGAAGTGAAACAGAGCTAGATGTCCGGGGCGAGGTGCCCCAGAATGCTAATGAACGTAAGTTGTCCATTCTGTATTGTAGTACTCGTTCGATCATGCTTCGATTCCCAAAAATCCTCTTTACCATGAGTTTGATCATGGTGAGGGATGCTTTTGTTAGGGTTGGATGTTTTTTATTCTTTCACAGCTGATTCTATCAGATTCTTTGAGAGATGCAGCATCATCGAAGGATATGATGTGCAACAGCAATTCGAGGTTTAATTTTTAGTCTTTGATTCCAACGTTTCGCATTTGTGATTGTGCAGATTGTCCCGGCACAGAAGCTGAGGAAGCTGGAAAAGCTGCGTCCTGTGAGGGATGTCCCAACCAGGAAGTATGTGCTACCGCACCGAAGGGCCCTGACCCCGGTACGAACCTCATGTATCAGCTTTCATTTCAACCTTTTTAGCTATTGGTCAAATTTTCTTGTTAGATACACTCAATTATTCGAATTTAATCACGTCAACTTTGCTCATCTTTTATCAAATCTTAGAATAGTTATCGTTATTAGGTGCAAGGAAATTTCAGTCAATTACATAACTCACCATTAGCAGCCACTTGACGAGCTTTACTGTGCTTTACTTGCAGATTTGGCTGCAATCGCCGATCGTATGAGTAGTGTAAAACATAAGGTGGTGGTATTGTCTGGCAAGGGAGGTGTGGGAAAGAGCACATTTTCTGCTCAATTAGCATTCGCATTGGCTGCCCCAGGGCAGGACAAGCAAGTAGGTTTGCTGGACGTCGATCTCTGTGGACCAAGTATACCTCGAATGGTTGGACTTGAAGGCCAGGTCAGTTATTTACATGTTCATACGGTTGTCTAGCCTTCTTATTAAGTGTGTGCTAGTGTCATGAAACCTGTCGCTGTATCTATCAATTACTTTATACTTCAACCTTGTAGAAGTCACCACAATTCTGGTTTTGTGATTGCAGGAGATTCATCAAAGCAATCTTGGATGGTCCCCTGTTTACGTGGAAGACAACTTGGCCGTCATGTCTATTGGGTTTCTCCTTCCGAAGTCTGATAATCCCGTCATCTGGAGAGGGCCGAGGAAGAACGGATTGATCAAACAATTCTTAAGAGATGTATACTGGGGTGATTTGGATTACCTTGTTGTGGACACTCCTCCAGGAACTTCCGATGAACACATATCCATCATGCAGTAAGTCCCATGGCATTCTCTTTTCTAGATTGCTCTTACATCTGATCAATTGTTTGCTTCTGAAGAGATCAGATACACAATTAGATCTAAGAGATTCACTCATCATATTGTTTACACGACAGGTATCTCGGTGCAACGAATGTGGATGGTGCTGTCATAGTCACTACACCCCAAGAAGTGTCACTCCTTGATGTGAGAAAGGAGATAAACTTTTGCAAGACGGTGGGGATACCCGTGCTCGGGGTTGTTGAGAATATGAGTGGCCTTCAACAGAAGATAGGGAGCTTAAACTTTAGGGCTGTTGGGGAGGATGGAGAGGAGAAGGACGTTACAGACTATGCCCTTGAAGAACTGCGCAAGCATGCGCCACACTTGTTGCCCATGTTCGCTCACATGGAAATTTTTCACGTCGGTGGTGGAGCAGAGAAGATGGCCAAGGATATGGGAGTTCCATTCCTTGGGAGGGTACCTATGGATCCAAAGCTTGGTAAGGCTGCAGAGGAAGGACGTTCATGTTTTGCCGAAGGATCAGATTGCACAGCGAGTGCCATCGCCTTACAAAGAATCATAAAAAACATTGTACAGAAAGTAGAGAGTAAGAAGTGAGTACGTAGAGCAATTTTGAAGGGAGATGGTAGGTAGCGCAAGAGCATTGTCAGGCCGGATCACGATCCTGACAACGAATTTTTGATAAGTAGTACGAATGCATACATCTATAAGAAAGTGCCGTAAGATGAAGATTTTGAAGCAGAATGCTGACAAGCTTATGCGCTTATTTGTAAATTCCACAGTAGATAGTTTTCACGGCAATGCTGTCACTCCCTCCTGTGGTGCACAGCTCACAGGACTTGTAGTCTAAGTAATTTTTCGGGAGAGGAATAAATGGATCTTCATCCTTGAGACTTTGTGGAATTAATTTGTTCCCTTCTTGGCTTAATATATCTTCATTAGATATTGGTAGTATCCTTGAGGTTGATAATCCAATCAGTCGTGAGATGTCCCTCTGTATTTGTATACCCTTTGCTCCTTGGTTCTTTGAGTATTAGTGTCTACCTGGAGGACATGACCGATTTTTTTGAATGTAAATTACAGGTTTTCTCATCGTACTCTAGTATTTCTCATATTATACAGTTAGATTTTGATGCTAGAATAACTGTTCAACTGACGTTCAGTGTGTGTGAGTGAGTGAGAGAGAGATATGTTACTCTGCCTCTTATACCGACTATCAGCTGAATAGTTTTCACATTGCAGACTAGTATATATTTTCTATATATCATGTCCCAATTCCCTCATTTTCATATCTTAACGACGAAATGCGGGAACTTGCAACTGTTCCATGATGATCTTAGGATGGGATGAGATGGTTGAATTGAAACGAAGAAGAGAATGCATAGAGAAATGATATCACCAAAGGGCAGGAGAGCATTATATCTTTATCGATAGCAAACTAGGCTCCATCATAGAACAAGTGCCAGTTTTAGAGCGTTCATCTCCAGGACAAGGGAGAAAAGCCAGCCCGACGAGTTGACTGCTACCATGCGCCGACATGCATATTTTCTGCGAAGTGATAGCTCAAGCTCTTATGCTCGACATCCAACAAACAGCTTCGAGTACTGAGGTTTTTCTGTTTCTTAATCCATTTTCGTTGGTCTCTTCGTCTGCATCTTCTAAACCAGACCTTTACTTTTACAGCTACAATCCGTCAACCTATTACGTCAAATTGCTTTGTCCAAATTGTAGTGAGATTCATGTTTCTGATTCGGAAAGAAGAGTTTTAGAAAAGATGGGGAACACGTAGTACACAAGAGAGGGGATTCTTGCAAGGTCTAGCCAGCCTACTGGCAAGAAACTAATGCGCTTCTTTGGATGTAGTCGACGTCGAAACTCATCTGCCAGCACGGTAAATTCGAAAAGATACTTCTGAGCACTGTAAGTGATCCTTATATTCTCATACACTTACATTTGTGTCGTTCTGAATAAAACCACATGTTTTTGTAGTTCAACAACTCCGGCAAGAGAGCTACAAATTCTTGCATCTTGCATCTTGCATCTTGCAAATGTCCCATGAATTTAAGAAGACCGCAAGTGGTAAGATTATGGGACACGTAACGACCAGTTTCAAAGCAAGAGTATACGGAACTCGAGCAGCAAGCGATAGTACCAATGGACATGGCAGATAGACATCAAGGAACAATGCCCCCTTATGATATAAGAGAATCCCCTGACTATCACGAAAGACAAGGACCGCAGCTCCTGTGTCCCAACTGAACTTGCTAAATGGTGTTGGCACAATGATTGACACTAGACCGATCTACGAGCCGACGACAGGATGCAAATATATTCCTCTTCGTGCAGTCCGGCAATTGACAAGTGTCGAAACCGCCCTCGGAGCCAGATCACATCTGGAGGCTCATGGTCTCATGGTCTTTTCAAGAGAATAAGAACTCAAACTCCAAAGGAATCCACACTGCTACTTCCTTAATGTGAGATGACAGCTGGACCGGAGCTATAACTGGTTATTTTCATCCTGTTGGATCAATGAAGACACGTCCTGGGATTCCTTTTGCATCTGCCCATGTTGCTCGCTCAGTGTTCCGATTCCCGAGTCAGCATTCGCTCAACAATGTCCTGTTTGAATTCTGTCCTTTCCGACCCCCAGTGAGTTGACAGACGAGCATTCCCTGGGTAAGAACATGTTCCCTCGGGTTCTCCACTGCTCTCAAATAGAGGATATTACGCTCCTCTCTGACTGATGTGCATGGGGTAATGCTGATGAAGCGTTAACTGAATGTCCCGTTTTCCCCTAACCTGTTGCTGCTCTGGGCTGTAGGTCTATCTCTTTCATGAATCATTAGTAATGATTCATTACCAATCCTTCTCATACATATACTTCTTAGCGTCTTCATTTTTTGTACCAGCATACATACACCATACCTTCTTACATACAAAGAAGTCTACCCATAGACTCCTCTGTATGTAAAGAAAATAATTGATAATCTAGCCTCTGATATCATTGGAGCACGCTAACAACTAGGGGAAACGATTTGTAATTTTCGCTGAGATTGTAAAAATAAGTTGTTCAGATTCTGAGATGGAGCAACAGGCGTTTGTAGTCCAACGGTTAGGATAATTGCCTTCCAAGCAATAGACCCGGGTTCGACTCCCGGCAGACGCACTACTTTTGCCCGTGCTTTAGCGAAAATCTATCTACGTTTGCAACTTTACCTTTCAATTTTGATCAGATGCTTTGCCGTCGAGACTGCAGATGAGGTGAAGTGTGGAGGGTCGCACAATAGGCAACTGAAGGCAAGGAGAAAGCTTTATATAACCATTTATTTCTAGAATACACCAAATTATGTCAAGCTCAGTCGGAGGGAGAACCAGAATCGTCTTGAACAAAAGTATAGGGTCGTTGATGTTGAGTGTGTAGTTCTCATCCACATGTAACCCTCCGTCCACTTCATAAGAAACAACACACGATCTGCTCACAGAGATATAAGACCGTCTCCAACTTATGCCATGACAGTATGTAGCGATCATGCAGATTGCTACAGATTGTATCTTCAAAAGCAATCTTCACATGTACGCGTTTTTCAATTGTTTTTATAAACAGCCAAGTCAAGTATGTTTCAGGAGCAGCATCGTGGCTGGCTTGTTTGTTTTCAGTTGCTGTGATATTTAGATAACCGGTTTTCTAAATGGAACGATACACGTTGTACACTATGCTCGGAATAAGTGTTCCATGAGAAACCGAAAATCAGGTATTTTTGTAAAGTGGCAATTGAAACGCAAGAGAAAGACCGTGGCCAACGACACAAAATACAGGCAATTGAAGTTCAGCCCACGGGCCGAGAACTTGAAGACTTCTAATCTCTTTTGTGTTTGAGTTGAGCCTCCTCAACCCCAACCCCAACCCAGTCTTAGGATTGGTATTTGTGGTTTTGTTTATCAAAATTACTGGGAGGGGGAAATACTTGATCGTACACAGTTGGTGCTCTTGGGCGCGTGCTGACTATCCAAACAAGAGTGATGGCTTGATGCAAGCTACATTATTACAAAGCCCGAATGGTCGCCCATGAGTCAATTAAGCAAAGATTTTGACGTCATGATGTATTTCCGAGTATTTTCCGTCTTGATGAGAACCAAGTCCATCTTTACAGACCACGATTCAATTGATTCAGTCTGATTATCTCCATTCGTTTTCTCCACCATCTGATTGAGTCTCTTGAAAATTATTTCCAGATTTAGAACGCTGCCGCTTTTCTTCTGCTGCCTCCTTGAAGTTGATTCTTGTAAGTCTTTGAGTATCTTTCCATTTCCAGCAGCAAGAGTACAGGAAGTACCGGGGGTTCAGTGATGATCACTCTCTGGATATGGTTTTACCCAATCAAGAATATGAGTTGTGATGCAGAGGCGTCTCCAGGTTGTGCTCCGCCCATGCTATTTCTGACAGGTACAGAATCAGCTGAACTGAAGGTCCTGTCGATCAAGTCATCAAGGTCGCCGTGTCCTGGGATGATAGGCAGTTATCGGAAGCAGTCTTTGTACGTTGATTGACATTTAGTCCCCTCGTGTTACATCTGCTTCGATCAGTCATCACATGGAAAATACCGAATCAAGGAAAAGCAGCGATTAGAGGCAGCTGATGGTCAAAGTCATGGTGCTGAAGCAGTCGAGGGGTGGCGGCGGGTCGCAGAGCTTGGTGGTAGTGGTCGATGCGACGAGGGAACTGTCTCTGAGTGCTTTGCAACGGGCAATCACAAACGCTGTGGGCCGGAGATGGGATACCGATAATTGGTATTCCATCAGGTTCATAATCCCAGTGCATAACTTTTTAAGATGGCTAATCTCGTGGGCATGTAACAACTCTGCGAGGACATAACTTTCTCCATCATTTGTTTGCACACTGATCCATGTCTTCGAATCAGATGCATCGGGGTTGGCTTCCCGGCTCCGGATGTGGCAGTATGGAGACGATGCTGGTTATGATGGCCTTTCGGTGCTAAGTTCTTTACGTTCTCAAGGGTATTCAGATTGTACTTTGCTGCAAAGTTTGTCATCTGACAGACTCTTTCGATAAAATTGTTATTGTATTATTATTGGTGTCATTTCCAATCTGACTGTGTGTATCAGACTTTGCAGAGTGAGATGTTTCAGTGATGTTGGCTGGCTGGTGACTGATCTCCTTGTTCTAGGACCTTTCTTTTGTTTTCACGTTGGGCAGTTTCCAGTACTGTAGTTTGTTATCATCATCGATTGCAAGCATAATTGTTTTTCTAGAGAACTTGATATATGACGTCTGAAAGTTAAAAACTTGGAGCTTTGGAACTTTTAACAGACGTAGTTATCGTAATGTTGACTAGACTAATGTTGACTTCTGTGCACACTCCCAGAGACCACTCTACATGTACACTGTTAGCTTTGCTTACGCGTTGGATCAAGATTCACTAGTATTCCGTCATGCTTTCTCTCAAAATTTATAAGCAATTCATTGCAGTGTTAAGTGAAAACAGGAGGATGTTTTCTAAATGTACCATACACGGATTTTAGTGTATTTGGTACCTTTCGATGCATACGTTGAAGTTTATCAAGGAATAACGCAATCCGGAGCCTATATAGATATTGGAAGTACTTCAATCTTCTGATTTCTTACCTAACCTTTAAGATGTGCCACAATGGACAAGACTGAGCCAATGACGGGTGCCATACAATATAGAGTTTAGCCTGTAAGTATGTGTACAAAATCATACAACTCCGTAAGAACTTTTTTAGTTTTATTCTTTGGAAACTTCTTTAACTAACACCATCACTTGAAAAGAACTCCCACACTCTGGACCGTGTGTTTCACGTTGCATAGTGCATAGCGGATCAGGACATGAGAGATGGATGCGATACATTTGGTGGTTTGGGACGAGCTGAAGAGTGACTAGCCCTTGCGAGCTTGAATCACTGGAATAAA